TATTCTATCATCTACGCAACAGCAGGGCTTAAAAGCCTCCCGTAAGTTGAGGGGGGTCCCTACAAGAAGGTGTGTGTTTGTGTGTGTGTGTGAGGGGGGGGGTTCTGACGAGATGTATTAGATGTGCATAAAATAAACCCCACTGCTGACTCTACCCATGCTGTACCTGCAACCCTCAAATTGCATATCCTCAAATGTTAGATCCCTGAAAACAAGCTATTTTATTGCAAAATATGATTTTGTTTTCACTAATGCTGGGGCTGTGGAAAAGGGTCTCGGGCCATCCTTTAAAATCAGTGGGGGGTCCGAGACCCCCAGACTTTAAGCCCTGCCGACAACAGTAATGTGGATTCTAGAATTCGTTTGGTGGATATCGAGCGATTCATGTGCTCGCGCATGTAGTGCGGTAGATGCGAGCACGGCGAAGAGGCGCTTGCACGCCCAAGAAGATCTGCGTTATCAATATACACGCTCTCTTTAGCTACAGACTTCTCACTAGTCTAAGACTAGAAAAAATTAGGGGTACAAACTTTTTGATAAACCTTGGACAGCTCTCTGAAAATATTCACGCGTATTCTACCCGTCGTGCAGAATGTTGGGAGGTGGTCACTGCAAGAACGAGATAGTGCACACAAATGCTCAAACATATACTATCCCAAAGATACTTAACTTACTTGAAGATGAAGGATTTGAATTCAGTGCATTGTCCCTTAGAGAAATTAGACTAATTTTCTCCACAAATGAATCTGAGTATGAACCAAACTTTTGGGGTCTTATAACTTCTGTCTGCAAATAATCCACTTTTCTGTTAAAGCCGATGGTAAAATATATAATCTGAAACACGCTTTGTTAAAGTGTAATAATCAATTTTTTTTCTTTTTTTTGCGTTGCTGTTATTGTGTTTTGTAAGCGGTCAAGGGCTTGTCAAGCTGTGCCATACAGCTTTTTTCCTTGATCGCCACCATCATCGTTCGATGGAAATAAAGTAATTATTATTATTATTATTATCAAGATACAAAGGAAAAAAAGGCTCTCAAAAACCGCTCTAAATCCACCAAGCGAATTCATAGAAAAACTTCTCGTGCAACCCTACACGATAACGTTTGTAGTGAGTACCAGTATTCTTGCTAGGGGTGTCGCGAACTTTTGTCGAACCGGATTTTTAGGTCGAACTTGCGCGGTCGACTGGGTCGAACCGGTTCGACGAACCTTCGACTTTTTCACTAGATTCGACCGGTTCGACTTTGCGGACAGTGTTGCCAGACCTCAATACAAGCATGTCTAGCTTTGGAGAATTTTTTTTATGCAAAGGGTTATTTTATTTTGTGAACAGTTGCAATAGACTACTTCCATAAAGCCCTGCATGCAACACGGCGCGCGTTGCACTCTGGGAACTAGTTGGCCAGGGAGGAGGTGGCATGGTTTCGGTTTTGATCGACACGTCGACAAGAGATTGTTTTCTGGTCCCGAGAGCGTCATTTGTGGTCTCTAAACTAACCTAAATTGCCAGATTTCGAAGCTTTAGCACAAGCCTGAGACGTATAGCTTGTCTTAACACATGCTTGTTGTATTTTTGTACTTGAGTCTTCCTGTTAGCGTTCCAATCGAGGTATGTGGACGAGCCAGTGCTGGGAATCTCGACGCTGCGAAGCTCGGGGATCTCGCTTGTGTACGAATCAACAAGCTGTAGCAACCAATAAGTATGCATACATCGAGCTCGCGCCTTTACATTAGTGTTGTTGATCAGGAAGTTTGTTTGTTTCGTGCGTCCATAGACGAAATATTACTTTTTGCAATTACTGTTTTTTTTAATACGCCTGAGTATGCGAGGTAAAACTCGGAGGCGCCATTCAAAAGCTCAGTTTTAACGGGTTTGACACACCTCTTATCTTTTATCTGTGCTGACCCGCAGCACTGCACGAAGTGAAGTCCTTACCCGCTTGCATTCCACTAATATTCAACATCGCGTATGCGCATAAAGTTATCCTGCAATCATATAGGCAAATTCGCACATACAGACCGTTTTAAGAAAGCAAAAGTCGAGCACTTGTGTTAAGAATGTCACACCGTTCGCCGGAAGTGCGCCGGACGGGCATGAACCCCTACGCGGTGCCCGTCCGGCGCACGGTGCGACATTCTTCACACAAGTGCTCGAACGAATTCAAAGCGCGTTTGACGGTTGCTAATGGCCATATTATTTGTTATATGTTTGTTTTATTCCTGCCTGCGTATGCCGAGATAATTTCAGACACACCGTTCAGGCACAGATCTTGGGCGTCAGTAAAAGCTCGTCCGAAAAGGCATAGCGAGGAGTAGGGGACGCTTGTTCGGGCCTCCGTCGTAGCTAGCCGGTCTCAGCGTTTGCGAAAAGTTAATCTTCTATCATCATAAAATTTGATTGGGAGATATATGATGACACGAGGAAGACATCATTGTAACTTTTGTGCAGTGGTGAGGTCGAATTTATTGCGTTTCCTTAAAAGTTCACGCGTCAACGCTGGGCTCAACTTTGATACCCTGTGAGGATGTGGTTTGCTTTTCGCCCAATTAAGTAACAAGAAACGGACGTTTGGCAAACAAAATACGTGTAAGGCTCCAGATGAACAAATTTCATTTCTAGTTCACTGGTACTAGACGGGATTATTGAAATTGAGCTCAAACATGCACTCGTGGGGTGAGGTGACTAAACCACGACTTACTACGTTCGCATACGCACCACAATATCCGGTGTTTCGGGAACCAAGGAAAGTGCCCCGGCCTTCGCTTTGTATCGCTCGAGAATGAGTGTATTGTACGTTCGTGAAAAGTCAGATAATCGAAAACGCAAGCAGCGCGTTCGGTCGCGGCGTGATAGCACGAGATGAAGCTGCTCAGTCGAAACCGAAACTGAGTGGCCAACTAGTTCCTAGAGTGCACTGCGTGGTATTTCGCCGCGATGGGGCGCGTCGGTTTTGGAAGAAGTCCATTAAAAGAAGCTAATTCTAATCACTGAAGAAAATTAATAACTCAATTTTTTGTATTGTATTAACGGAATAAACCCAATCAGCGCTGCCCTTAATTCATCTTTTAGCCATCACCATCCAATCCGAAGCCAACTGGCCAGCCTGTCGCGCATGCGCACACGAGTCGAACCTCAATACAAGGTTCGTCGAAATTGCCATTAAACGTTCGAAAAAGTCGAACCTGGTCGAACTCGAACCTCGGCCGGTTCGCGACTCCCCTAATTCTTGCACAAGGAGACGAAAACACAAAAGGAACTCGCTGTTACTTATATCCAGACAGTCACTATCTAAATAAAGAGTCAGCAATTCTATTTGTGCCGCGAAATACGGTAAACACGACCGCGAAAACGAAACAAGTGAAAAATCTCAACCAGCATATAAAGGAGCGACTTTACTGCAGTTAAATATATTTGTGGAAAGCGCATTCTCCGTCTGGGGGTGTAGCTCAGATGGTAGAGCGCTCGCTTAGCATGCGAGAGGTACGGGGATCGATACCCCGCACCTCCAAACATTTTTATTGTTTTTTTTTATTGAATGACTTTTGTAATTTTTGTTTTTACACATGCAAATGTTTGTTCTACGTTAACGGAAGTAATTTTATTTCTTATTTATCAACGTCTGAACTTTAGTTTCTAGGGATTCGTAACCTTTAATTCACGTCAGTTCGCCATTCTTTCCGTAATTTCGCTAAAAGGGTTCGGAAACAGGATCACAAGCACATAGCCAGGATTTTGTTTCGGGTAGGGCCCGCCCATGACAAAATGTTGTATGAGGGGGAGTGGGAGGGGAGGCCCCAGCAAAATGGAAGATTCCGGGGGGGGGGGGGGGGGGGGGGGGGGGGGGGGCGAGGGGGAGCCTGGGCTTAATGGGCCGCCCTCCTGGCTACGTGCCTGCATGATCAGCTCTACTGCTGTTGGAATTCACTTATGCTAGATTTCCACCCTCTTCCAGAAAGATTGTTTCAAGCCGGATGTGTTCTAACTTGAGAGCCTTCTCGTGGGGGAAGCTGAAGTCGAGTCTCGGTACCTGTCGTTTCGTTTAGTGCTTCAGTAAAGTCCGAGGAGCCAGGAATTTATTACGGGTGAGGGGGACGGGGGGGGGGGGGGGGGGGGGGGGGCGTCATGCCTCCACACTCAAAACTGTTCCGTGCCTACTTGTACTAATGTCTACTTGCATTAATTAAAACTACATGTTTACTTGCACTAATTAAAAAGTTAATTTACAATATTTACTGTCCTCTTGACCGTATAACTCACCAGCACGAACCGCATAAGTGTAGCTTTCACGGCTTTTTTTTTTAAACAAAACTGAAAGAATAAGTAAAAACACCATATATATATATATATAGAGAGAGAGAGAGAGAGAGAGAGAGAGAGGTGAACTACACGACGCGACATAAGACCCCAGACGTCGTCCTTACACATCAGATATACTTCCGGAACCCCTGGCAAGGCCTTGGGATGCCCGCGAACTCCACCATGCGCCCGTCGCCTTCCGCCGTGCTTTGGTTCCGCGTGCACGCTCGAGGTCGCGAGACGCAGCAGCGTTATCGGAGGCAGTGGAGCACGCGCTGGAATCGGGACAACTGAAGCACTTCCCTGCCATTCTCATCTTGTCTGTCGGTGACCATTAGCACCGACATTAGAGTAACTGTATAGGCTCTGCTTGCAGAGCCGCAAGCGGAGCATATACAGTTACTCTAACCGACAACCGACATCACCGACATATTTCGTTGGCGCCCCCTTGTGGTTTCCATGCGTGACGTCTCGACCGGAATTCGCCCAGCCGTGACGTCGCGAGTTGGGATCCTGGCTACTTATCATCAGTTCGTAAACCGACACCGTCGGCAGTGGCGTCGGAACTATTTTTCCCCTGGGGGAGCAAAAACAAATACTACCATAAACATCATCATCATCATTTATTTTCTTTGAGGGCTCATGCAGGGCACTATACTGGGGTCGTACATATGATTACATAAATAAATAAACACAGTTAACACACCGTCATAAGACCATGATATAAACACGCTACAAGTGAGCGCACTAACTGTGACAGATAATTAAAAAGCTAGAACCAAAAATGTATCCTTTGTGTGACGTTTTCTCAAGGTTTTGTTACCGATATTCTATTTGACCACACTGACTGTTTATGTACATGCATTATTTGACACGATGACGTTTCTTCTGTGTTCATAAATGATTAACGTAATTATGGAGAAACCAAATACCAGAGAAGAGTCTGTAATTAGAAGGAATAGGGCAATAAATGGAATATATGAAAGATACATGCGTATTGATGGCGCAAATTAACTCTAATTAAAAACAGTCCCAGTTGCTTAGAAAACCTAGGAAAGGAATTTCAGGAAGAACTAGTGGTCGAGTTAAACGTAACAGAGATAACATTGAGAAATCTATAAATCGATGACACGGTAGCTCTGTCGCTGAGGTAGCCTTGGGAGCGACACCAAAGTTATAAAAGCTACACACGTACACACAAGCCAGCCCACGTGTCCCGGTATATATGTAAATAGCAAAAAGAAAGGTTGGTCAGCAGTACCACAGATTTTCATTAATCACAGAATATGAACTCCAGACAAACAATAGGATATTATGAAACATAAAAAAGATTCCGCGTGAGATACCGTCAGCTGGGAGGAACGAACAAGCAAATGTTGTAAACGTGTTCCAGGAAAAATTACAACATGCGCATATTTGTATCATAGACCTAAAGTAACATTGCAATAGTTACTTTACATTGTCAGCGAGAAAATTATGTCAACGCAATTATAAACATAATTTACATATCTTGTGCATAATTTATAAAGAAAGAAAAATAAACGAACAATATTGGCTGTAAAAACGAACAGAAGCGTCGCTACAGTTTCCACCGTGACGTCATGGGGAGGACAGAGATTTTTCTCGTGAGATTATGATCGCACGAATCAAAATACAATCACGCTATGGAAAAATAAAGCAAAAAGGATCTTCCCAGCTATCAGCAGCCGATACCCAACTGTTCGCAAGTTGACCCGGCTGAAATATTGTCTCCTTGACTCACTCTGGCAGGCCGCCAAAAGGAGCCACTGAAACTTCTCGGTGCTAATAACCATAACTTGTAATAAATATAGAGTTTACATATACCCTCCTGAGCGATGTTAGAACTGCTTAAAAGTCGCACAAACATACTTAGGCATTTTTACATTTCACAGTCATGCTGTGCCAAACGTGGACTTCCTTTCCGTGGTTCGTGCGACAAAGGTTTGAATCACGGAATCTAAGCTCAAAGTGGCCGTCAGCGCGCCGTGCACGTGCAATAAGAGTAGATGAGTCAACCTTTCCTATGACATTGTGCTTCGAAAGCAAGTTTTCATACGTCGCAGGGCACTGAAGGATCGTTCGGATGATGCCGACGACGCGGGGACCATGAGAACGAGAAGCACAAGTTTGAAAACTTCCTCAAAAATTAATTTCACGTTTGGAGCTTGATCTTTCAGCAATGCATGAACATCTTGAATGGTGTCGCACTTGCTGCTTCCAAGTGACGGCAGCAATATCAATTGTGCAGCAAGCCGGGAGACGTCGAAATCAGAAGTTTGGAGCCCCAGTTCCTCTTCCAAGACTGCGGCAGAGGGAGGCTTCCTCTTGGCGGCATCAGTCACAGTTCCTTCTAGACGAACAAGCTCGTCGAGACCAGGCTGCGGGAATCTCCTGTGAATTTCCGCCGTCAGAGTATCGACCAGCTCAAAAAAATCCTTTCTCAGGGCATCGTGGCGAACTTTCGAGGAGGCCGAAGGCTCGTCAAGCCGTTTAAACACGACTTTTTTTCTCGGCCTCCGCCATTTTTTTAAAATGGAAAATAAATTATTATTATTATTATTATTATCCTTGTTGGCTTAGACGAACCTGCCTTCTTCTGTTTTGAACTAACACAACGTAAATAAATTTACTATTACTATTACTATTACTATATTGTGCTTGGGGACCCTATTTCTTATAAAATTACAGTAATGATTGCTACTGTGGTGTAAAAAGCTGACGTTGTGACCAGTACAACTGTTTTGCATTCAGAAATTGTCGGGAAAATCAAGAAAATTGCTAATAATATAAATATATCAAACAATAAAACTGAGGGCTTACCAGTAGGGGTGTCAAGAACGCTGAGACTGCTGCTCGTGAATCGTCGCAGAACGAGGAGCTTGTTGACCATAAAAGCTTTGCTCAAAAACTTTGAAAAATTGAGGCCATATGAAGGCGAGAGTTCAGCTGGGGCAGGGGATTGAACAGTTAAAAAATACTCCAGAAATATTGGAGACAGGCGAAGCTCTATATGTTTACTTCGCCACAGTCGCGTCATGGACAGAGAGGACAGACTCTCCAGCAGCAGTATGCTGTTTATAAAGGATGTTGGCAGTAGCATTTTAATTTTTCCTCCGCTCCGCCCCATCTCCCTCCATCGCACCAGCCAACAAAAGGATGTCGCTACTGGCGGTATACGCAGACATCGACTTATCCCCAAGCTTCTGAAGAATCATCTACCGGCCAAAGGAAAGCGAGTCACCTTCTTCCTGCTTCCTAGTATCCGCTCTTCCATTCGCCGACACCGCGGCACTGGCAGGTCGAGAGATGCTTCCGGCTAGTTCAGAAAGTCACTCACAGGAATAGTGCGGCTAACGCTAGAAGCCCCCAAGGGCGCTAGACTGGCTCCCGAAAACTCTTTGGAGGCGAAACAAAAAGAAGACGCGGTCTTCGCAAATTATCTTGGCGCTTCCCCCGGGCATTGAGATTTTTGAAGCTTCTGAAGGTCGCGCACTTGCGGCAGGCGGCCAGGTCGAGTGCTGTCTATTTTTTCATCTATGTACAGTCTGAAGGTCATTCACGGGAATAGTAAGTTTAAAACGGTGAGTATACCGTTCACCGACAATCGCAAGCTCTCTAGGGACCCAACTGCCCCCCCCCCTCCCCCCTCACTCAGTGAATTGGAAGGGCATTTTAAGAACGGCTTCCAGCTTTTTGAAGACCCCGAAGGCCGCGTACATGCGACGGGAGGCCAGCTTGACGAATTCTTCCTACGAGGGTCATTTACAACAATTTATCTGCTGTAGACGGCGAACGTCAAAATCGCTATTTTTCCAGGGTCTTTTTCTCCAGGGCCAAATTTACGCTGGGGCTTATCCTTCGGGCTAGGCCCCAAATGATCGGCTTTTGTGGCGATGGCTCGAAAATCTGACTGAACGAAAACGGAGAGGCAACCCCAAAACAGCAGGCGCCAAATGCTCTGTAAAAACCAAAATCAATATGCGTAAAAAAAAAAAAAAAAAAGAAACAAAATTTGACTGAGGTAGATTGGGAGAGCCGTGCTACCTCATTTGTAAATAAGGGGGAGCCGTCGCTCCCCTGCACCAGAGCCGTAAATGTAGAGAGTTTGGCCATTCGTTGGGAAGTATAGACCGTTTTATCGTGGGCAGCGCCATTTTGAGAGCGAGAGAGAAAAGGGGAAAGGGCTACCGGCGCTTTCCCCCTTTCTGATTGTGTAGAAAGAGTAAAAGACCCGGATGAGAGGCTTGGCCGGTGTTGGGTGTCTGCTGTGCCCCAACTTCCTTCGCGCTTTCTTTTCTGTATTGAACTCGCAAACTTAATTAGAGCCACGGGCTTCGATGGCAACAGTCCCCCGGTCATCGGGACACCATTGCTCGGTCATAGGGTGCACGAATAATGACAGAAAGCGTCGAATACCGGCCAAGGACCTGGTAGCTTGCATGGAATTCGGGAAGGCACGTGCGGCTGCAATGTTTTGAAGCTCCACCGCTTTTCGCGTGACTGGAATTGATGAACCATTCATAAATTTTTGCTTGCAATAGGCCCATTTCAACGCAGCCGTTTTTAGTAATGAACAAGCGATACACGAAACGGGAACCTCAATTAACTATTGTAAACACCCGGAGCTGCTACATATCGTTTTGCTGCGCTGCTTTTATCTTGCGTGTCCGTGTTCTCATATTCAATTGTGGATGAACGACGAAGACGTTCTAGATGTGCTTATATCAAACCGCAGAAAGCGTCAAAGTAGCCACGAATTATTTTACTACTTGATGCAATATTTTGAGTACTAACCTTCAATTTCTATCACTGACACGTTCGCTGCCGCTGTTCCCCCCGTTGCCGCACTGGCGGATGCCATGACTCGAACAGAGAAACGTACACACTGGGCTCGAAGACGCAGATCGCAACACACGAGTCGTACACTGGAGCGACTATCCAGCTTTTCAAAGCGCCCAATCAACGGAAACAACCCAAACAACCCACCAGCGGCACTCCAAGGAGCGCTTTTGCAGGCTCTCTGGTATCGCACAGGGGATCGCTATTCAGGAAAACCGACAGAACTACCTTTTCAACAATTTCTAGCCTAACCCGGCGGCGGAAATAAGCCTTCAACTAAGTGTTGTAAATGATGAAATCGAGTCAGTCACCACTGCAAATTATCAATATTAAGATAAATTCAGTTACAAAATTTTACAAGCTGAAACAGCAATTATCACGAGAAAACTGGCACGCACCTTGCGAGCGTACCCCATGTTCATCGGCGGTACAGCGTTCGGTGCGCGCTCCATTCACAAGCTGTTCCGAGCACAGTCGAGAAGATGGTGTTGAGGAAATGTCCTTTCGGTTTACGAACGCGATCCACTGCCGGCAAGACCGGGGTCATGTGGAAAGCGATGGAGCTTAAAGACATTGCAGCCGCTCTCGCCTTGCCGGATTCATAGCAAGCTACATAGGTCCTCGGACAGTATTCGACGCTTTCTGTCGTCATTCGTGCACCCTATGGCCGAGCAATAGTGTCCCGATGACCGGGAAACTGTTGCCATCGAAGCTCGTGGCTCTAATTAAGTTTGCGAGTTTAAAACAGAAAAGAAAGCGCGAACGAAGTTGGGGCACAGCAGACACCCAACACCGGCCAAGCCTCTCATCCGGGACTTTCACTCTTTCTACACAATCAGAAAGAGGGAAAGCGCCGGTAGCCCTTTCCCTTTTTCTCTCTCGCCCTCTTTCAGTAAAACGGTAGGAGGCGCCATCGGCCGAAAGCGGGCTGGGCGTGTTCCAGGGAGTCTTCAAAAATTTGAATGTGACCAACCAGAAGCCGGAAATAATACCCTGGCGGTGGTCGCGAGAAACAAACCTGATAACTGCATAGGAGTAACTATTAATGGTTGAAAATATAGTACACGTGATGTTTCAATCACGTTAATCCAAAATGATGGTGAAAGAGTGCGACTAGCGGAACGATTGACATGATCCGTACGCCAAGCGCCCATCATCCGTACGCCAAGCGCCCAGAGCCGGGAATCTGCCGTCCGAGCGGCCACACTCTGCTCGAGCAAAACAGAGTTGAGCGGCGCATTCGTTTCTTACATCTTTCTGCATGATCATGATCAAAGAAACACGTGAACCCTATTTTCAACCACGAAGAGTTACTACACTTCACTCTTACGCGCTTATTAAAACCATATATGAACATAGACTTTTGATCAGAACTGTTTGCCGCTACCACCGCTAGGGGATTCTTTTCTGCTTCTGGTTGATCAAGAGAGCATACCAAGCCCTCTTTCCAACTGTGCCGCACGCCCTGACTCTGCCCGCGCCTCCCATTGACCAAACTCTCTACATATACGGCTCTGCCCTGCACCCCCTGTTCCGGCGCCCCTGACCGTCGGAGTTGACAGATTCACAAGTACTCACAACGGTCTTGTGCCCATGGCTTGGTCAATCGTGGAAACTGAGGGAGAGGAGGAGACGAGTGGGCGGGGACGTTTGAACGCCGAGCTCTGATTGGAACGATTAGGGGGTAGAACTAAAGTTAGCTGCCTTTGTCTCCACTGCGAACGCATTCGAATGCGAAAGCCAAACGCCAGACACCGGCGTTCCGCATTCGAACGCCTAGCGCACCCTCGACCACAGGGGTCCCAGGATTTGGGGACAATCGCGTCCCCTTTCGGAGGGGGTGACGAGGGTATAGCGTCTAAGATGGCGCTGTCCCCCTCGCCACCGACGGATGCGTGCGGCTGAACAAATGAATCCAGCGGCTCGCTCCGCGGCCGCTGGATTCGAGGAAAGGAAATGACCGCATTTCCACAAGTTTCACAGCTCTACGTTTTGCAGGTCCAAGATGGCGCATGTGCTGCAGTCGCTGGCGACCGCAGCCCTGCTGCTGTTGCTACTGCTGCCGGAGTGTCCAGACGCCCAACAGGGCTTGCCCTTCAGCACGCGCAAGCTAGCCTTCTCTGCAAATCAGTTCGGTCTGGACCTGTATCGAGCTCTCAGGTAGGACTCGGGAAGTGGGGAGGCGGAATGCAGCATTATTTAAGACACTTCACGTCAGCTGAACAGCACTTCGTTCTAACACTCTCTCTCTCTCTATATATATATATATATATATATAAAAATGGGAAGAACGGAAGTGCGCCTTATTTTACACTCCCGCTAGGGAGGAATGTAGCACGTGCAAGATGGCGTTAAAAATTGTACTAGTGAATATTATAGACATACAAGTCTCCATTAAACATCGCGAGTAGTCGAATCATTTTTCAAACACTGTCGGAGAGTGAACGTCTGGGCGACCAATGAAGGCGATGTTGGGGAAGCTTTTTGCAACCGGAAAAGGACAAGTTACCACATTTGTCGTCCTCATTCGCTCCGAGTCAAATACTCGAATGGTTGCATGCAATAAAGAGCCATAATGTAATCTGGATTCGAATTTCTATACCTGTTTTCACCTCAAGAAGCATAGGAAAAAAAGTCCGGCTTCTCGCGGATAATTACTAATTTTCACCTTTAGGTGGAGATTTAAGATATATTTATTAGCACTTTAGAGTGTATACACGTTATCTTATCAAGGAGTACACGTTTCAAACGCCAAAAGCATCGCCTGTGCCTCGGACAACCAAATCTGGCGAGAACTATTTCGCGCGGCGTATGAACAATGCGCAAAACGTACTGTTTTCTTGAGGTGAAAACGGGTATAGATGGCTAACCGACACCAGAATCCTTTGTTCAACTGAACAGACTGTTGTAAGCGACTCCATGGCTGATTAGCAAATGTCACGTATTCGGCTGAACAGTCGACTCCGAGGCTCGAGCCTCATTTTCACTGAGTCATTGCATACTTCCAGGGACTCTGAGCCTCCGTCCGGCTCCGAGGGAAACGTGGCACTGTGCCCGTTCTGCGTGAGCTCTTCACTGGGCATGCTGCTGCTGGGCGCCCGGGGCCCCACCGCGCTGGCGCTCCGCCACGTGCTGTACCTGTGGGGCATGCAGCACCTGCACCTGGCCGTCAGGGACCTGTCCGCACACCTGGCGCTTAACCTCAGGGACGCCCACCTCCTGCTCTTCAGGTACGACGGCAGGGGCCAGGCGGACGGACACGATAATCACCAATTCAGTCTTTCCGGCGATCACACTTTTTCCGTCTGACTGTGATAGACTGCATTGCAATCGCTCGTGTGCGCTTACGAGAGAGCAGACTGGCGGTATCTACCGGGTCGTCTTGAAACGGTTCCGATCTGCGTATATATATTACGCATCATTCTCACCGTGTGCTTAAAATAATTTTGACGTTATAAGACGCCACGCCATTGCTCATAGATTGTGCGTCAATTTCATCTCGCAAATACTGCGAAACCTTTGGTCTAATTATGTGGAGATCGAACGTATGTTACCTCCTCGTAAGCGATTACAAGGGGTTGCATGATGCTGTCGATGGCACCGCAACGACGCAGTCGTCGTTTTAATGTTGTCTTACTAAACGGTATTCAAATGTTATTTTTTTATTATTTTCTTATTGTCCGTATTGAGAGTGCTGGGCCAGTTTATTTTATTTATCGGTGTTTTAGAGCGTAGCTCTTAGGGGCCCGTTCCCGGCTTGAGCGGCGTCGGCGTCGCCGTCGGCGTCGCCGTTGGCGTCGCCGTCGGCGTCGGCGTAACCAAGGTCATCCCAAGGTCACGTGACCCCCAAAGTCACGGACCCCTCCCAAGGTCATCTCAAGGTCACGTGACCCCAAGATGACCCCACGTGACCCTTTGAAGGTCACGTGACCCCCGAGGTCACGTGACCCCCAAGGTCATCTCAAGGTCACGTGACCCCAAGGTGACCCCTACGTGACCCCCAAGGTCACGTGGGGGTCACCTTGGGGGTCACGTGACCTTGAGGTGACCCCCAGGTCACGCCTCCCCGAGGTCACGTGACCCCCTCCCCGAAGTCACGTGACACCCCCCCCCCCCCGAGGTCACATGACCCCCCCCCCCCGGAGCATATTAAAGAATGAGGGGAGGAGGAGGAGAAGGGGGAGGGGTCTACCCTCCCCTCACTACCCTTCACTCCTCCTCCTCAAGAGCTGCGCTCCAATTCGGCGTTACAGGGATTTGTAAACGGCTTTCACTTTTTGTGTGTATGTTTATTTTCCATTGCCTCATTTGTTACGTTTTATTTTACCCCACACTGCGTAGTTGTAGGCGGTCGGCGATTCAATCAATAAATGACTTTTTGCAGGAGCCTGTACGTGCAGCGTGATTTTGGCGTCAAGTACCCGTTCCAGCGATCGCTGTACCACTTCTACAACGCGTCGGTGCACTCGCTGGACTTTGCGTCGAACGCCGAGGAGGCCCGGCAGCACATCAACGCCGTGGTGGAGAAACAGAGCCAGTCCCAGCTGGCCAACATCCTGCCGGACACGCCGCCGCCATGGACGCAGCTCCTGCTGCTCAGCGGCCTCAACCTCGACACCCACATCGAGCTGGACCTCGTGCCAGCCGAAGGGGTCCGCTGGAGGGCGCGCGCCGAGCCCGCCGACGACAGCGCCGCCCTGGCGGCGTCTGCGGAAGGTGCGCCAACCAGTGCGGGAGTCTCGAAAACCACGCGTGATAAATGGCAAATGATGTCGTGTCTAGTGTGTGTCCTCGTGACGTAGAAAACCTTGCGCTGGCGGCCTTGTTATACAGGACGTGTAGAGTAGTTTCGATTAAAGCACTGTAAACGTGTTTAGGGGTTAAAAGCGCTAAAAACGACGGACGAGTAGGAGAGACACACACCACAGAGCGCTTTTGGTGTGTGTCTCTCCTACTCGTCCGTCGTTTTTAGCGCTCTGTGGTGTGTCTCTCCTACTCGTCCGTCGTTTTTAGCGCTTTTAACCCCTAAACATGTTCAACCAACTAGCCCAAATCCAAACCCTTCTGCACTGTAAACGGGGGAGGAACGCGACTCCTCCTCTTCGAACCTCTCCCTTCTTAGGTGCACGACGCTATTTATGAACGAAGGCATCGACTATAGGTTGTTTCCACATGACGTCAATCCGCCACTTTGTTGTTAGTTTGTTTTTTCAAACAAATTTACTACATTGAAAGATTACATCGTAACCGGTTGAAATGATGTCAGCGGTGCTCTACGCATTTGAGAAGGCATGCAAATCCTTGAAATGCTCGAGTTTGGCACACGCCAGACAGATTGCAACAACAAAACGGTGGACGAAATTACGTCAGTGAAAACACCCTATACTCTGTTTCACCTTGTGTTGTACCGCAGGAAAGACTACAAGCGCAAGCTCCTTGCTCTAGGGCACATCTCGGCGGCAAAAGCTCTCGTGCACCAAAGGCAGCTGCCAACGCTATGAGCTCGCGCTTCTAGCCTTCGCTGCGGTACAACATAAGGTGAAACGGAGTATAGAAGGAACATTGTGAACAATGAATCGCGTTATTTCTATATCTACAGTGGCTTTAGCAAATACGTTATTTTACCACGTTGCAGGTTAAGAAAAGTAGGACAAACTCCTCCCCAAAGTCCTCCACTCTTTCCACCACCGTTTGGTCTGGTGAAGTGGAAGAGTTCAGTGCTTTGGAAAGGAGGTTGTCCTGCTTTTCTTAACCTGCAACAGGGTATCCGGGTAGAAACGGAGGAAGAGGAGGAAAAGCCGTCCCCTACGCGCATTCTTCTGCTTTCCCTCAGTTTCCACCTGTATGGCGATTAATTACACCGCAAATATCAAATCGCCTTGGCGCCGACACCGCTGGAAGTGTGCAGCCCTTGGGGTTTTCCCATTTGAATTTGTAGGGGTGACTGGCACCATTTATCGTCCTGGACACGTGTTGAGAATCCGGTATTTCGGTACGCTGTCTGCAGCCCTCTCCCCAAACCCAGCGCAAAAGCATGGTCAGCGCGATACGTGCGCGTTCCCTCGGACGCGGGCCGTCCCCACCGCAAGAGAGGATTTGGCGTCACAGGTGCCCTGTCTAAAGCAAATCAGCAAAATAGAATGTAATCTCCTATACTTCGTTTCACCGTAGCTAGGCAAAGAGCGAATGCTACGGACTCCTCGAGCCAATCAGAGCGACCGGGGCGAAGCACGCGACTCATCAGAAGTACGGGGGCAGGAGCATAACCCAAGCAGTTGGAGAAGAAAGGAACGCGGACCCTCTCTTGCGTGTCCCAGACATCGCTTTTCTTTCCCTCGGAGATTAGCCCGCCATTCAAAATTCTCACAAAAGCGGCTTTCCTCACTTTCCCGCGCAACTATAGTGAAAATTACGCCGTTTGCCAGTCAGTTACGGTTAGTTGGCTTTAGCTTCGGTTAATCCCCCGTTCCCCCCGCGTCTCGTGCAGAGCCGTGCCTGCTTGACAGCAGGCAAACCCCGTGTCTCTCAGCAGAGCCAGCTGCCGAGGCCCTAGGCGGGAACCCCGCCATGCTGGAGGCCCGCTGGACGAGGGTGCGGCACGCCCGCCACGACTACCTCAACTGCAGCGCTGTCGAGGTGCCGCTGGCCGGCGGGGGGCTCGTGTCCCTGCTCGCGCTCACGCCCCACACCCACGAGGACATGGCCCTGCTGGAAACGCGCGTGAGCGCCCAGAGAATCAGCGACATCCTGGCCAACATGCAGATACGGAGGGCCAACCTCAAGGTGCGCCACAGACCTCGCTCGGACATAAGTTAGGCCGTAGGTTTTCCCACGGTTTTCCGCGATGATTTGCGTGCACAGACAGGCGACTCGCCGCTGAGGTGGCGCTGCTGTCGTCACTATGCATGCTCATACGGTTCACCTACGCAAATCGGGTTTATGCGCAAGCGTAGGGCCCACATCTGGTGTGGCCAAACGTGGGCTTGTTTGAAACAGCGAGTCAGTAAGTATGGTTCCACGTGTTCGGTAAATACACCAATAAACCTCGAAAAATTATCCCCGAGCCGGTTTTATTCAGACGAAAACAACCAAAATACCCCCCCCCCCCCCCCAAAAAAAAAAAGAAAACTGTTTTTAAACGTAAAAAAAAAAAAAGCAAGCAAGCTTTTTTGGAACAATATTTATGCCTACAGCTATGTGCGTTGTTTCTTGTGTTGGCCAGTCTTCTACACGTTACTCCAAAAAGTAATCGATTGCAATTACTTTAGCTTAAAAAGGTATTAAATGAAATAGATACCAACCCCCCCCCCCCCCCCCCCCGCGAATTTTTTAAAATTTTTATACGGAATTCTAGATAGAATTACCGTAAGTCAAAAATAGTTACTCTTAAAACAATATCTACCGTAAAACAGGGTGAAGATTATGATTTTTTAATTACTAGATAAATCAGAATAATTTGGTTTAAATCAGGTTAATATAAACATCACACATTGATTGATCAATACGTCCGATCACCGAAAACGACACAGAAGAAAGAATTGCTGTTCAATTCAATTTGCTACTTTTTATTAACAAACCCCGCCGTAGCAGAATAGAAACAGCTTGATATCGTTTAGTTAGTGAAAAAGCTTTTTCTTTAGCGTTCTAAATTTCTTGCATTGGGACGTTAAGTAACTTACGAACGAAGTGGATGGTAGAAAGCTCAAAGTTCCGATTTGCTCAAAAGACCGCTGCTTTGCGTTCAGCCTCATATAAACATTTCTCACCCAATGATTCCTTGATTTAAATACAAAACAAATGCATATAGAAAGCATAAAATAACATATTAATGGGATTCTTTCTTGCGGATAAGTTTAGAAATGGGAAAACAAATTATTACTCGATTTCAGTTATAGGAAAACCGGTCCGATTTAAATCACGATATAAATCGTCCAGATCCTTTTTTCTCCACCGTGCTGTAAAGGCCCGTTCACACTCTTGCGACCTCTTAGAACTGGGTGCCTTGAAACGTCTTACGAGGACACACTGGTGCCATCTATTGGGTAGCAGTGTAAACTTGACGGTCCGGCATATTGTCTCTTTCTCTCGCGCATTACCCTTTCTTTCTTGGCTCGAAAATCTTGTGTCAACGTTATAAACGAGCCTTTCTTATAGGTATTACGCACATTTGAACTTGAAAATCCCGCAAAACCTTCGCTCTTGTGAAATGCAGTTCCAGGGTCACCGCATAGATGGTGCCAGAATGCCACTGTGTTCCCTCGTCCTAAGAAATTTTAAGAGGTTTTAACAGGCCTGTCTCTCGCGATCGTACTTGGTTGCAACAGTGTGAACGGGCCTTTAAACACCGAGCATGCACCCAACAGCGCAAGACAAAAAAGGAGGAGACACAAAGGGCAGACAGCACCAAGCTTGCTTGTTCTATTGCATTTTTTATGCGTTGGCATCACAATAAGTAGGGATGCCGCAAACTTTTTTCGAACCAAAGTTTTGACTATCGAATCAAGCAGTTCGAAAGATTTCGAATTTTCGAAATTTCTATATTGTAAAATTCGACAGAAGTCGAATTTTCGAACTTGTTAAACTAAGAAGTTAGACGCTTTTCGAACTGTCAAACTTATGACTCTAAAAAATTCAATCCGTGTTTAGACTTTCAAACTTATTACGCTGCAAAATTTGATTCTTGTTGAGCTTTCGAACTTGATAGACCAAAACATTCGATGATTTTCGACCTTTCGTACTTCTTGCACTAATAGTTCGAAGCTTTTCGAACTTTCGATTTCCTATGCTAAGGAAATCGATAATTTTCAAACTTATTTATCAAGGGAATTCGAAAATTTTCGAACTTTCGAATTCTGAAATGTAAAAAAATTCGACGAACTTCGAAGTTTTAGGGTAAAAGTTTGACGTTCGTTGAACTTCGAAAGACTGGCGGACGGTTTCATTTGAATTCAAATAGTGAGGTACATTCATACTTTTTTTTTCTCGAATCTTTACATGTGGTGCTACGTTCCTTAAGAAAGACAATGCCATTTATTTCAATGTCCTGGCATGCATAGTTTAAAAAAAAGAAATTTCCCGAAGGGGCGAGGAAGGACGATGGTTTTTTTGACGATTGTAGTTTGTGCCATATTTGAAACAGCAGGGGTGGAACTCATGAAATGTACTTGGGAGCAGCCACGGGAGCAGCTGAAACAGCTGTTTTGGAGCAGCTAAAACTTCATTCTGGAGCAGGCTAGGAGCAGCTCAGATCAGTTTTCATTGCACTGCAGCTTGTGTCTTATAGACGAACACGGGAGCACTTTCAATTGTGCTTAGCAGCACAGACGAACATGAGTGGCTAGGAACCTAGGTAGATGGGATAACAGTGTAACAGATGCGAAAACTTGGGCTTAGTGAGAACCAAAAAGCAAGTACCATACGTTTCTGAAGATAGTGTCCTGGACATTTTCTGACTGGCTTTTAGCTGCTCAAATTGGAAACCAGCGATGCTTATCACGCAACCCACACGTGCTCGACTTAGTAATTATATGTGCGAACTACGTAACGTGCGTAAGCAACGGACGTGCAGTTGCGCGGAGGAACAGGGCAACACATTTCGAGTTTATCCTATTGTGCAACTCAATATCGAAGCAGCAGACGATTAAAGGAGGAGTTATCGTATTCGAAGCGATAAGCAGGAGCAAAGTTAAAGTACGCCGAGCAGATCTACCGCTCGCTAGAGAGCTACTGGCTGGTAAGGTTTCGGATCAGTTCTATCAAATCACGATTCATCTTGCGGGAATGCGGTTCCAACTTCTAACAATGTAGTACTAAAGGAAATCTTTTGCTCATTTGTTTTCAACTGGCTGACGTCCGGATCCTGGGCCGCAAAGCCTCAGGCAATCTGACAATTAACGACTCGACCTCACCTCGGCCGACTTGCTTAACCGCTTATGGTTGAAGAATAACAATCTAGTCGCAGGCGGTGTACCGCTTGGAATCCGACCCCCGAGTTTTTTCGCCCGCTTCCGACTCGGGATACGCAGGGAGAATAAAAAGAACAAAGGATTGCAATGGACGACCAGGCTAAACGAGCTCATTGTTGCCAATCGAGTCGATAAAAACCGAAACCAAGACAAAATTCAATTTGTTTTGGCGCACGTTTTGCGATTTGGTGCATAATGACGCGAGGTATTGGCTGTGGCGCAGTTTCTGCAACATGGCGCAAGACGGCGCAGACAGATGCGTCTGGCGCAAAATGGCGCAAATGGCGCAGCCGTTCCACCCCTGAACAGCTTTAGTCAAAGCTATTTATGGTAGAGATGTTAAACTGTTTAAGAATGATTTATGTATAGCTTAGGAAAGTGTCGTCTTAAGATGTAATTATTGTTATTCAAGGTAAGTTTCGACGAAATGTCCAAACATGTATCTACGGGTAATTATGCCCTAAACTTGGTATTTTTTTTTTCGTCCAAGTTGTTTGAGGCGGTCAAAATTACTGTTCTATGGTCACACGTCACACTGCACAGGCAAATATTCCAGCACATCCGGGACACTCGTCGTCTCATTTGATTGCCTGACCCAACTTCGCAGAGTCTAAATATCACACCTTAACTGTTCTACACCCGATTTCGTGAAAACATTATTTGAAACTAAAACTATGGAGGAACATGAAAACCGGACATCGAACTTTGAAAACTTGGACCTAAAAAAATGTAGAATCTTCGAAAAAAAATATTTTTTTTCAAATTTAGCTTTAAAAGAGAATTGAAACCTTCGAAATTTTCTAATTTTATGTAGAAAGAAGTTCGAAATCTTATCATTTTTCGAACTTTGTCTACAAAAATACGAAGCGTTCGAATTTTATATTCAAAAAATTTCAAAGTCATCGAATTTTTCGATTTCCAGATCCCAGGAAATTCGAAATTTTTGAATTTCAAGTTAAGAAAGTTTGAAATCTGTCAAAATTTTAGAATTTTATACCAAAGAATTTCGAACTCATTGAATTTTTCGATTTCCAGATCCCAGGAAATTCGAAATTTTCGAATTTCAAGTTAGGAAAGTTTGATATCTTCGAATTTATCGAACCTCAAGTAAAAAAAATATTCAAAATATTCGAACCCGAAATTTTAGAAACTGTGAAAGCTTCGAATTCGAAACACCACTGTGATCGAAAGTTGCGAATTTGAACCTCGGTCGGTACGAAAACATTGAAATTTTGCAAATTCAAAACTCTGTTCGCTTCGGAACCTTAAAAAATATCGAAACCTTTCGAAATCAAACCTAGGGTGGTTCGCGACATCCCTAACAATAAGCATCCACGCGTTACTGTTGAATGGAAAACAAAGCAAAGGACACATCAAGCACCCACCCCAGACGTTCAAGGCCACAAGCCTAGCATGCTCCTCCTCGACGGTCACTTCTCCGGGAACTCTGGTGCACAGAGGTCGCCTCTGCCCGCCCTTCAGCATTTTTGCGCTCTACAAATTTTCGGTGGGAACTTGCTTGGAATTTAAAGGTAGTTAGTTGTAGTTGCTCCAGAAAGTTCTATTCCAGTTTCACTCTGTAAAATGTCCACCATACATCATCGTGCAGTGCAGTAACAAAATTGTTGACGCAAGCGTTAAAAAAAAAAAATTGTTCGATTTTTTTTTTAATTTTGGTTTTTGTTAACAGCAGAATTCAAGACTGAATCATAACTCGTCAACGCCGGCCGCGCGTTCACGGCTGTGAATTAGCATATTTTGTTTGGGTGGTAGGCACTGGAAACGTGCATGTATTGTTCATATCAAGAAATCGGGTTTTGTGCGAAGTAGTTTCTGCAATTGCGCTGTCAGAGAAAGAAATGAAAAAAAATTACTGTCTGTGACTGCATTTCCACGTAGTCATCCTGTAGAGGTCTCCAACCGACTCTTAAGGTGCAGATGGCCACTTTACACGGTAATACAGAGGCCCCCTAGCTCCATCACAGTAACGGGGTAGAACAAAAGACTCGTATCATCAGACGGAGAGAATTTTAGTAAAAGGCTCCTGGCAGGCGCCATGTCAGCGTTTGTGCGTATGGCACATGCTTTGCTCGTTTTTGAAAGCCACGAACGCGCTCGTGCTGGGTTGCGGATTGGGAGACATTGGAAACGTGCATACATGCCATGCCGCCCATGACTACAGTGAAACCCGTTTAGAACGAACCCACGTACAGCAAATTATTGTCGATATCGAACTCACAAAAAAATTAAAATAAAAATGCATATAAAAAATACTTTTATAACAACATATTGGCTATATCGAACTTTTCCCCCCTGGGAACATTTCCAAAAACATGCAAACAACCGTCTTCTAACCTGTCCTGTCCACCCAAAAAGTAGAAAAGAAATAAAATTCCAAAAGCTCAAGTGGCAAACAAAACTGAGTTAAGAGGAGTGATTCAGAAGGGGAGAAAGGTAAAATAAACTGCACGCACGCACAGGAAAAAAAAAATTTCATTCCAAAGCGTTTTCACACAAAGAGATGCGATTCAGAACAAGAAATAAGCTAAAATTAAAAAAAAAAAAAAAAAACTGCATGCAGGCCAAAAAAAAACAACTTTCCAGCGCATTGTTATAAAGTGGAAGTGAAGAGAAAGAGAAGCTCTCGCCTCACATTGAACGCATCATGGAAGTTCGTTGTAAATAGTTCTTGATATATCGAACTGATCGTAGCATTTCCTGCTGTTCATTATAAACGGGTTTGACTGTATACTCCGCAACTTTTCAAGGCATTTCCGGAAAGAGCCCACGCACAGCTTTATTCAGAACTCTAAATGGGAGGGGGAACACGTGCCTGTACCTTCCAAGTATAGTCCCTGTCCACGTCTCCTTCCAGCTACCCCGCATCAAGATCGAGCACAGCCATGACAACCTGACGGCGCCGCTGAGCCGGATGGGACTGGCGTCGCTCTTCGCTTCCGGACGCGCCCAGCTCTTCGACATGAGCGACGTCCCTTGGCTGCACGTCACCAGCATAGTCCACAAGACAGCTCTGGACATCAAGGGACCCCGGAGCGCCGGCGCTGCGTCTTCGCAGCCCCCCGCGAGTCCTGGTGGACGCCGCCGGGATTCGGCCTTCGTTGGGCCCTCCGAAGAGACCCTAGACCTGGTACTGGACAGGCCGTTCCTTTACTTCGTCGTGGACAACGTCAGCGGTCTTGTCATCGCCTTGGGCAAAGTGGTCAATCCGTAACGGGTCACTGTAATGTCTTTTAGAGCACCACGAAAATCGTGGTGGCTATCAGTTCGTCAAAAAGATGTTTCATGGACAGGTCATTTCACCGAAAGGCATTCCGGGTTCGTCGAACACAACGCTGCTGTTTTCGCAACAAACGTTTGCAGTCTTGCCTGGTTTAAGGGGGAGGAGGGGGCCAAGGCTTGGGTAAACACACCTCAGTGAACTGCACGCTAGCTTTTAGCGGCTTTCAGATACGATTACGCATAGTAATATATACATGTTGAGGAAGCATGTGTCCACAAACACCAGTGTCAACAGAAAGCTGTGCACGAACAGTGTTTCGACGGAACGATAGGGACCGCAAACATTGACATAAGACTAACTACCCTGGTTGATCCAGGCTAGAGCCACAATGAACACGTTTCCAATGCTTACCACCCGAGGGTGGCAAAAAATGCCAAGTCACCAGGATGTGTATGCACCAGCAGTGCCTGCTACTTTGCAGTGGAGCTCCCGTGCATGCTGAAAGCAAATTCTTGTCCAGCAAACACAGTAAGCAGCCCACAGTATTTGGGAACCATATGCCATGACTTGCTTTCATTTCTTATTGTTACTGAGACGTTTCTCAAGCACTGGAGTCACCCCCACGTTCTCAGGGATCTGTCAAGGAATCTCAATCCTGCCCATTTTTTTTTTGTTTTTGTTTTTTAGCAAAAGCCCAGATTCCCCCCCCCCCCCCCCCCCCCCCCAACGTAGAAAATTTGCACTGAATAATACAAATAAATCTTAAAAAAAGACCGTCCAAAAATTTTGGAGACAAAATAAAAACTTAAAAAATAGAACTTTATACATAAGCTAGACTTAGCATACCGTATCAGCACTCCGTTCCAAGATATTTATACGGGTGCCGCCATTTTGGTGCCCAGTGCAGTGGGCACTATCGGCAATTGTTACACGATTCGAAAATGCGGCTTCCGTGGCTCCAGATTCCACAGTGTCAGGAAACTCGAGAGATGTAGTTTTGCACTGTCACGGAACGTTTTTTACGGCAAAACGTTTTCAGCAATTAGATAAAGCCTCAGATAAATGGCAGAAAGTGTCGGCTTAGTGGCCTAGTTCAGGCGTAAAAATGCGACCGCCAAGATCATAAGGCCTCTGTCAACATCCTTTGGCAAACATGAGCCGTTCCACCCGCTGGAATCTGTATCGGGTGCGTAACTGCTCTACAAAGCGAAATGTATGAACCACCAACAAGCGCCATTCTTATTTGTGTGGCAGTCTCTTAGCAACGACAATTAGGATCAGTGACAAAACGGACATCAAAACCTATTATTCTGGAAAAGGAAGTTTCTCTAGAGACACCGCACTATGGGATGGCAGGTTTGCAACAGCAGGCTGGAAATTTAAGGGACCTTAACACGAGAGGCAGAATTGGAAGTTGGACAATGGCCGTCTTTCAACTGGAAGGTCCAAGAAAGAATGGTGGGGGAAAAAGCAGTAGTATTGAAAACATCTTTAGAAAACCACCCATAGTGTGACCGGAATATAAAAATACCCAAGACGATACTGCAAGCAATCACAGAGTCGGAACGGAGGTATCTCAAAGTTGTCACTTCATTTAATCGCGTATCAACTTCATTATCATCCTGCACTGACCACATTTTGAGCATTTTCAATGGCGCTTCATGACAGCGAGCCAAAGGTCTTCATACAGCAAACAAAAGCATCCTCGAGAAGAGCCTAGTGTCAAAGACGGCAAACTGGAGATAAAAAAAAGATGGTGGAAACAAACAACATTGTCACAAAAGATTCCAATAAATATTCTAAATGACAGACCACACGTCTTGCCCGTTTCGTCAATTACTGGTGTTTCAATGGCAACATGAAACAAGCACAGTGTTTCTCCACGACGGCCAAAAAAAATCCAGAGAGTATTCCAAGGACACTTCACAGAACAAATCGGCGGTTCTTACAACTGATAGTGGCATGGAAGCCACCAAGTGTTCAGCAGTCTGAATATTGTACAATTCAAATAGAGAATGGACAAAAAAATTTAAATAGTAGTATTTACCTAAAGAACAAGCATAAGTACATACCTTCTTTCTTAAACAAGAAAAAACTTTGACATCATCAAAATAACTGGAAATGACAATTCCATGTCTGTAATGTCACTTCCAAAATACACTACAATAGCCAATGTATGTCTGTCTCTTCAATATAGCCATTTCATATTTTTAATGCCTCCCATTGCTAACTTATAGGCAGCAATGTGGAAATAATTACTACAATTTTTTATGACTCCTACACAAGCAGCATTCAAATTTCATTCTCAAACTTCTGAAGCACAACTGCATTTTGACAAAATTGAATGCGCATGAAACGAAAATTAAGGCGGGCAGACAGTTTTGATGAGGACAACAAAAGTCTCATGCTTTCATTCGTAAGACGTTGACTGGAACACAACAATAAATGCACAAAAATTTGTTTCACATCAGCGAGGCTCCGTTGACACACAAAAAAAAAAAGAAAAAAGAAAAAACTCTGCACATGGACTTTTGACAGCGTCACGGCACTCCAATACCGAACAGACGGACGTAACCTATGGCACTGTGTCCCCTCGGAACATTCCAATCATGAAGTCGCTCGAACACAAAAACCTTCAAGACTACAACTGGCAAGAATGCGCGAAAGCCGTGGCAGAGCACAATCGTACCAAAACACTCCCAGACCATTCTCACAAGCTGCACCAAACAAAACATGGTAAGCGACAGTCCTAGTTTCACAAACTTGCACGTAGGCCAGCATCTAGATAGATCCTTCCCTGTCGGATCCCCAAACAAAAACAACCTGACAGCAATTCATGTTTCGGAGAATGTTTGTTGTCTCGCGTTACGACGAACCGCAGCGGACGCTACGAGCCGCCGAAGCCAACATAATGTTGTGTGTGTCACGTGACCTTTGAGAGGAAAGCTGCGACTTGCAGAATGCCTAATTGCACGATACGTTCGCAGCACCGATCGGCTGGGATCACTTACAGCCTAGTCACGCTTGACCAACCTTGCCTTTCAATCTCGCTCGCAAGCGACAGCAAATGCTGTTTATTCGCGCGTTAGGGCTTAGGCCTGCGAAGCCACGCCTCCAACTCCTGCATCAGGTGCACACGCAATCATTCTCTTTTTTACGCACACGCGCGACGTAGTGCAGAAACGAATCGAAGACCTCCAGAGAAAAAATAAAATAGAGAAGACCCCCGGCCACCCGTTGCGCCTTCAAGGAACACAGCCCACGGTTCCCCGACTCCCTCGAGAGAAACCCCGACCCGGGAACAGCTCCGTCAGTGCAGGATGTCAACCTCTTCGTCCTCTTCCGCATCCGGCTGCGAGGATAAGGCCGTCTGGGGGCAGTCCTGTCCGGGTGCGGTGGCGGCGGCGGCCTGGGCCGTCCCGCTGAGGGACAGCACCTGTTCGTGTACAAAGAGGCCGCTGCGTTGCTCCTTGAGCATCTGTCGGCGGGCCTTGCGCTGGTGCGACGCCATCGCCGGCTCCCGGCGGTGCCGTTTTCGCTTGTCCTTCTGCGTGCGGGGAGCCACGCCAGAGTTGATGGGAGCCTGGAGAGAAGGGGAACCTTCCTTCGGTGAAAACGGTTTTCTGAGGAAAAATACTCGAGCGGCTCTACAATCATTAACCGTGCACCTCTACGGGTCGTGGGGTGTGTTCGAAAGACGCGCCCCGTCGTTCCCACTCTGTCGATAACGTAACAGTGCTACAGTTGCGCCCCTTTATAATGAACACCAATATAGCAAATTACTGGATATAGCAAAGGAATCACCAAGTTTGTTTGGTCATGCTTTACTTGGATGGGAGTTCTTGTTATATAACGAAACCAAAACTGCAAGATCTGACGCGCTATTAGTCACAGTAAAGCAATTCCTGTTTTTCTTGAGCAACAAAATTCCATGAAAGTTATTCAAAAGTAAGACAATACAAAACATAATTTTTATAACAAAAAATTTCCAAAGTTTAGTATGCCAGTCTTTGCGAAACACCAAGAACAAGTGCAGAGTAAAGCCGACCGACAACCACATGGAGCTGCAAATGGCGACAAAGCGGGAAGCCGCCTCTGGAGACAAAAGGCAAGGTTTCAAGGTCGGTGGACAGCGGTCGGAAGAAAAAAGACATTGCTGCGGACTTCGAGCTTCCATTAAGCACAACATCTACAATCCTGAGTACAAGGAAGAAGATAGAAGACTGCTATGCAAACAACACAGTCAAGATTGACCGAAAGACTTAGGCCTTGCCTTCAACCGGACGTGGAAGAATCACTGTTCTCATGGTTTAAGGACGTAAGGTTTGAAGAAGCTGCCAGTGGTCTGGTCAGCTTCTTCAAACGAAAGCAATCGGTCTGTCATGTCTGTTAGGGCATGATGATTTCAGCGCGAGCAGCGGTTGGCTTCAATGCGATGGCTTCAGGTGAGGAGTGACCAGCCCAAAATCACATCTTTCCTCAAATAAATGGAATGGATCCAGCTAACGTTTCTCGTGTTGCAAACTGATATCCTCATGTTCCCATCTATTTTTTTCAATGCTGCTTAGTGACAGGTAAGGATCTCGTGGTCCGCGATAGAGCATCCTTCATCTTAGTGCTGCGCACATTCATGCACGGGCTCGATTGCGGGAATGGTCGCGTCAATTTTTTGTGTACTTTTATAATGAAAATTCCATATAACGAACAAGTATCTGCTCATGATGCTAGTTCATTATAACGAACTGGCATTGTGTTATAATGATACTAACATGCCCATGTCTACGCTCATTACAAGACATTTGGATACAACAAACCAATTTGTGAAGTTCGGTTGATTTTCCTTTACATACCACTGACTCAGCTTCCTGTCTGCCCCCCCCCCCCCCCCCCCCATATAACATACTTCTCTTACAACAGACCAAAATCTTGGTCAAAATCAAGGTCTGTTATAACGAGCTTAGACTGTAATTGAGAAATGAAGTCGTGGCCCATTTCCTGCGTGTTCAATCGTTTCTATAACCGCCGCAACAAATATCTGTTTAACGAATAAAACGTAAGGCCCCGCAATAATAAATGATGATGATGTATGGGGTTTTGTGGCGCAGCAGCATCGAGGCTATAATAAATGACCTCCGCTACGAAATGGGGAGACGAAAAGGAATCGACTTCGCAAATGACTGCCCTCAAGGAAGGGGTTACCAAAGTGGCAGCAACATCAACTGCGATGCCGAGCACTTTCTCTGTCTCGGGCACAACTAGCTCATTAATTGGCAGCCCCTCTTCAAAATGGCACCAGGTTGCCAACAGCCATACTTTTATTTGCCCACATTCACTCGGGCACACTTTCCCATTGCTCGCGCCTCATTTGCTTCGTTAGAAAGTGCGACATGGGCCACTTCCAAGACGAGTTTGCTTATCACAAATGGCAAAAACGAATGCGGTGTAGAATGGCAACGATTTCCCATGGAGGGGGGGAAAAAATAGGCGGAACTCAAGGTGGAATCAGCAGATGAGAAAAAGCGGAGTGGTGCCCACTGTTGGACAGCGCTACACTGAGCAGCCGAGCAGATAGAGCTCCGCGGCTCGTGCGCATGAACCCGTGCCTTGCGCCCGTGGCTAGAACGTACCCGGCTCTGAGCCGATCGCCATATTAAACCTCTTGTTCTGCCTTTCTATCGTGTCACCGTTCCCTGGCGCAACTTGCAACATGGTGTCAGAAGTGGGATGCCGCCAACGATGAGCCGATTTCAAGAGCTCTTCAGCGGGCACCGCCGCACCAACCAGGGACCCACACGAAGGTAGGCGACTTTGCTCTCGGGGATTTTCGGCTGCAGCCACGCGATAAAGGATGGCGTCCTTTGTCATACAACCACCGGAAGCATTTTGTTTCTCATCACCGACCGAGTGGCCCAAGTGGAAAAACGTTTCGAACGTTTCCGCACATCCTCCGGACTTATCGCCAAGCCCGAGCCACACCAAATAGATGCGTTGCTCTACATCATGGGAGACCAAGCGGAAGATATATATGGCCCGTTCCAGCTGTCTGCCAAGGAGGCCAAGAAGTTTACAGTCGTCATGGAGCAGTTCGACAAGTATTTCATCCCGCGGCGAAACGTCATCTTCGAACGAGCTCGGTTCAACACGAGAGTTCAACAAGAAGGCGAGTCTGCGGAAGATTTTGTCGCGGCGCTCCACGCACTTTCGAAGAACTGCAACTACGGCGAGCTTCAAGAACAGCTCGTCAGAGACCGTCTAGTAGTTGGAATCAAAGATCAGAAGCTCTCAGCAAGACTTCAACTCAACGCCGACCTCACGCTTCAGAAGGCACTTGAGACGGTCCGACAGGTCGAAAGCGAACGTCAGCAGCAAGCTGAGCTCAATCCCGACAAGTCGACTGTCAACAAAGTCGCCGCGGCGCGTCAACAAGGAGCAAACCAAAGACGTTTTGTCAAGACTTCGGCGAAATTTGCTCACGCGAACGACGAACGACCTCACACAGAAGTGAAGCCATCTCCAAGCTCAAGCAAGTACGGCGTTCAGAGACCGTGTCGCTGGTGCGGAAAAGAGCAGCACGGACGCGCCCAATGCCCAGCGCGGTCGGAAGTGTGCCGTAATTGCCACAAGAAAGGACATTATTCGTCTGTTTGCAGGTCTCGACGAGTCGACTTCGTTGAAGCGCCTGAAACCAACAGCGAACAAGGATTTTTAGGAGCAGTCAAGTCCTCCGAAACGGGAGACTACAATCCTGGTTCAAGGCCAACCCGTAAAATTCAAAATCGACATGGGGGCCGACGAAACCGTCCTTTCACAAGCAACATTCGACATGCTCAAACGTCAGCCTCTGCTTTCAGAAGCACCTCGTCAACTTTACGGGCCCGACGCAAAGCTTCTCGCAACTAAGGGCGTTGCAAGACTCGAACTCGCTTACCGCGACAGGACAACAATTCAAGACGTCTACGTGCTTCACGACGTCCACACGTCCTTGCTCGGAAAGCCCGCCATCAATGATCTGCAGATACTTACATCCGTTAATGCCGTCACCCAGAAGGTAATCCCAAAAGTCGAATTTCCTTCACTATTCCAAGGTCTCGGCAAGCTGCAGAAAGAACACCGCATTCGCTTGCGCGATGGAGCGGAACCATTTTGTATCAACTCTCCACGCCGCATCCCGATACCCTTGTACGAGAAAACAAGGTTGGAGCTACAGCGAATGCAGACAATCTGAGTCATTTCTCCTGTCGACGAACCAACCGAATGGTGTGCGCCCATGGTAGTCGTCCTCAAGCCAAACGGATCGGTAAGAATCTGCGTCGACTTTACTGGTCTAAACCATCACGTCCTGAGAGAATGGCATCCCATTCCTTCCGTCGAGCACACGCTCGGACTGCTGCACGGCGCGAAGATATTTTCAAAATTAGATGCTAATTCGGGATTTTGGCAAATTCCACTGGACGAAGGCAGCAGGAAGCTCACCACCTTCATTACACCCTTCAGGAGGTTTTCCTTCAACGGACTACCTTTCGGCATATTGTCTGCTACAGAGCACTTTCAAAAACAGATGTCTAGTCTTTTGCATGGCATTAACAGAGTGGTCTGTCACATGGATGACATCCTCATCTGGGGTTCAACCGAAGAAGAACACAACGAGACGCTACGCACCGTACTGCAGCGATTAACCAAAGCTGGATTGACGCTGAACGGAAACAAGTGCCTATATAACGTCCAAAAGCTCACGTTCTTAGGCCATCAACTAGACTACAACAGCATCAGACCCGATGAAAGGAAGGTAGAAGCTATTTTGAAAATGAAACGCCCGACAAACAAAAGTGAGCTGCAAAGAGTACTGGGTATGGCCACGTACCTTGCCCACTTCGTGCCAAACCTTTCAGAGGTTCTTCAGCCACTTTCATCCTTGTTGTCGAAGAAGCAGGAGTTTCTTTGGGACTCTCCACAGCAACAAGCATTTGACAAATGGAAGACAGTACTATCTTCTCGTCCCGTACTGGGCGTATATGACTCCGGAAAGGACACAGTCGTCAGCGCAGACGCTTCCTCCTTCGGACTTTGAGCACTGATCCGGCAGCCACAAACAGATGGCAAGTTCGCTGTCATTGCATACGCCTCAAGATTGCTCTCAGACACCGAAAAGCGCTACGCGCAGATTGAGAAAGAGGCTCTTGCCTTAGTCTGGGCATGCGGGAAGTTTGAGGATTACCTGGTAGGAAAAATGTTCACGCTGGAGACAGACCACAAGCCGCTCGTCCCCATCCTCATGTCGAAAACTCTTGACGACTTGACACTCAGACTCCAGCGGCTGAAGATGAGGATGATGCGCTATTACTACAGCGTAGAATATGTACCAGGGAAGGACCTACTAGCTGCTGACACACTTTCCCGAGCACCTCTACAACAGACAGAGGACACAGACCTTGAAAAAGACGTCGAAGCTTTTGTCTGTTCCTTGAACAAAGCTATCCCAATCAAGGACCATTGCCTACAATGGCTAAAAGAAAGTAAAAAATCGGACACAGTCTCTAACCAGCTACGAAAACTAAGCTCAAAGGAGTGGCCATCCAGAAGGGACTTGCCACAAGACCTGAAACCTTTCTTTGAGCACCGACACCAGCTCACCGTAGAAGATGACTTGCTCCTCAATGCAGCCCGTGTCGTCGTTCCTGTCTCGTGCAGAAAAGAGATCATGCGCCTCCTTCACGAAGGCCACTTCGGCATCACGAAAACACAAGCAAGAGCAAGGGACTGTGTCTGGTGGTCAACAATAGCAGCAGAGATAACTGCCACAGTAAAGCAATGCAACGAATGCATCAAAACCACGTGCAATTGCAAGATGCCGCTTCTAAACACGGAATTTCCTGACCGACCATGGCAGCGCGTTGCAATGGATCTTTTCTACTTCAACAGCCACTGGTGGTTGATCATGACAGATTATTTCTCAAGGTACCCCGAGATAGCACAACTTGAGAAACTTACATCGCTTACCGTCATTAACCACTGCAAATCAATCTTCGCTCGCCACGGCATTCCAGAGGTGGTAGTGTCCGACAATGGGCCTCAGTTCTCGTCATCAGATTTCGCTACATTTGCTCGAGAATACGGGTTCAAGCATACCACCTCAAGCCCATATTTTCCCCAAAGTAATGGACTTGCGGAAGCAGCCGTGAAATGCATCAAGAAATCAATGGAAAAAACGAAAGACCCATACTTGACCCTTCTCTCTTACAGGTCGACTCCGCTGAAGAACGGCTACAGCCCCGCTGAACTACTTATGGGTCGACGTTTACGAACCAAGCTCCCTATTGTTCCCGAGAAGCTCATGCCTCACATGCCAGACATGAGAAAACTTCGCGACTTTGAAGAACTATACCGAGAAAACCAGAAGAAAGACTTCAATCGACGGCATGGCGTACGCACACTGCCTGATGTCCTAAATGGAGATGAAGTTTGGATCACTGACATCAAGCAGAAAGGTACAGTGCAGAGACCAGCAGAGGAACCCAGGTCTTACTTCGTAGACACTGACAACGGGGTTGTGCGACGTAACCGAACTCATCTTGTTCCTTTTCCTGCAAATATCCAGGAGGCGGAAGTCGTTGACAGCGAAGATGCTCAAGAGCCACGTACAGAATGTGAAGGCAATCTTCATTCACACACGAGAAGTGGCCGATGCGTCAAGGCTCCCCAAAGACTGACTCTTCTGCATGGGGGAGATGTTGGATAGCGCTACACTGAGCAGCCGAGCAGATAGAGCTCCGCGGCTCGTGCGCATGAACTCGTGCCTTGCGCCCGTGGCTAGAACGTACCCGGCTCTGAGCCGATTGCCATATTAAACCTCTTGTTCTGCCTTTCTATCGTGTCACCGTTCCCTGGCGCAACTTGCAACACCCACGAGCATAGAACGAGGGCGCCTGCAAGTTTATTGAAAAATCAAGTTTATTCCGGACATTTCCTATCATTTTTGTTTTTGCTCGCTTGATTATATTCTCGGACGTCCTACCTTAATGAGTAAAATAAAAAAAATTTTAAATCAAATTTGCACAAAAATTTTGGTAAAAAAAAAAAAAAAAAACGTTTCGGAATTATTTGCGGCAACCTGACAAATCCACTGACCTTGGCGGCGGACGGGTTGGACGACCCTGAGCTGCTGTTGTCCGAAGTGGAGCGCCGTGAGCGCCGCCCGGGGCGCGGCCTTGCCACCTCCTCTTTTGCGGCGGCGTGGCGCCGCACATAGTCTGCAATCTGGCGCAGCTTGCGGTCGTCCAGGTGCCTCAGGTCTGCACAGAGGGGGTGGGAGGGGGAAGCAGGTGGCAAGCGTTACTGCCAGTCCTCAAATGCCGAGCGAAAGAGGGTTTTGCGTTCTTCGGATTTATTTTAGAACACGGAACCCCGATTGTTCATTTCGGGTTTTTGTATTCTTCAGAAGTCGGGTAATAAAAATTGGATGCTATTATCCAAGCTCGTTACAAGAGAGAAATCGGGTTTTTCAATAAATTAGTACATAACTCAAGGTTTTCTGGTTAAATATAAATATCAATAACTGACGATAAGTACTGATTGGTTTTAGGACATGGAAGGTTTCATTTACACAACTAAGTAATTAATGTGCAGATAATCGGATTAAAACGTGGTATAAGAGCTGACCTGGTGAATTCAATTTTCAACAAATTCTTTTTTTAACAATATCTGTCGCGATAGTAGACCTGTCCAGTCTTCAGACTATCTTAACAGAGGAAATGTTTGCTAAACATCAAAGCTTCTGGTTGCAATGCACAGCACAGCATTCGGTAGGTAGTTATTAAAATTACCTTTGCAAAAATACACTTCTTTTCTCTATGCAGTATTATTTAAATATCTTCTTTTTTTTTGTTTCATTAATGAGCCATACATTTCAACAAAGTAAAAAAAACATGAAATTGGTGGAATGTTTGTTCAGAATTTGGCAGAAAATCATGTTACACCAAACTTTCACAAAAAAAATGTGTTCAGTGTACGAACATGGGGAAATATCAGGTCTTCCATGAAAACGAAGGGCCCTAATGCAGTCTTTCACACTGGGCTTGAAATGTTCCCGACATTTCAAGCCCACTGTAGATTCAAACCTGCCAATACAGTCGAACCTCGATATAACAAACTTCAATGTAACGAAATCCTCGATTTAACGAAGTATTTTATTTTTCATAATTTCTTGCCCATAGACCCCATGTATTATTAGTCTCTAATAACGAAGTCTATTTTGCTGCTATTTCAATATAACGAAGCGCCATTGCCATAGAAGGCAATAAATAAGTAGACTCTAAAGAACTTCGCAAAACAATTGTGCTTAAAAAAAGATGCGCAAACGCGAGCGCTTGATAGGTTACTTTACGAGAACAGGCCTTCCAACGTTCCTTGGCTGCCCGAGGATGCGGCGGCGGTAGCGCCGGCGAGGCACGCGGCAAAGCGCATTCCGCGGGGCTGGCCAGAAAATGCCGAGCAAAACGTTAACACGGCATAACAGCATCACCACTGACATTCACTGATCATCATAGTCCACTGTATCGCGGAGAGCCAACTTCAGCGGGGGAGCGACGTGATGGCGCGACCGCACGGGCAGTGCCATCTAGGAGAAGACCTATTATCGTCTTGTGAGCGTGATGTAAAGCAAAGGCGCAAGCACACTGTGGGCGCAAGGGGGCAAGTGAACTGTGCGGGCAAGAGTGCTGTGTAGGTTTGAAACATTGGCACTGCCTAAACAGCTTTATTTTTCAACCGCGCGGTTCACTCAAGTGCTTGGTGCCATAGGGTAACGTAAAGTTCTTTCTTTGGATGAGAAAGCAAACGTTTTGGACGCCATCCTAAAGAAACTGCCGAGGTCACGAGCGCTCGGGAAGTGCTCGACGCAATGGACGTACTGAGGAGGTACACGGCGTCGCATGGGCAGCAAGATGCCGTGCAAGCGCTCTGGGCACTCGAACGCCGTATGACGCCGCTGCTACTGTCGAACAAGGCGCAAGCAAAACTCACGGACTACTTTGCCCCTAAATAAATGTCATTTTCGGTGAGTTTTCATACCGTAAAATGTTTCGGAATATTTTTTTTGCATGCTAAAGCCAAATTTTGATTTAGCGAAATTTCAATGCAACGAAGTAAATTGCGAATATTACAGACTTCGTTACATCGAGGTTTAACTGTACTGCCAAACCTTCCGCCTAATTATACGCAGACTGGAAGGATTCCGGAGTCGCCCAAGAGATGGCGTCAGTGTAGCGGCCACACTCGAATGTAAACATCTGAACCAGCCTTGATAACTAACAAAGAAAGAAGAGAGGGCAAACCGACCGACGACAAACTCCCGGTCGGCGGCGGGGTCCACGCTGGCGAGGGGGTCGATGATGCGGATCACGTCCAGCTGCTCCCTCAGCCCCAGCTGGCGGCTAATGGCCTCCGTCAAAGCCTCCACCGTCCGGAGCTGCTCCTCACCGCTCATCAGAGACCTGGGACGGCACAAGGGGGAACGCATTGGGTAAGCCCCGTCCCAGAATGTTACCAAGTGATTCAAGGCACCGCAAAAAAATACACTATGCCGGCTCTGTCCACGAACGCTCGTCGGAAACCTGGGACATCGCAAGAGGATGCACTATGTCAGCCTTGTCCCTAAATGCTGATCAGCAGCTTGGGACTGCAAGGGGGGCATACTATGTCACCCCTGTTCCAGAATGCTTGTCAGTGATCCAGGACACTGCAAGAGCACACCTATATAGGTCCCATCCCCAATGGGACACCGCGATGGGATGAACCAAGTCAGCCCTGTCTCTAAACGCCCGTCAGCAAACAGGAGTCCGATTTAGGTCAAGGCGATAGCGTTCTCGACTGCTCCTCTGGCCAATTCGCTCACAATTGGCCAATATTTTGGTGAAAACTCCCCACCAACAGATAAACAGCAAGAGACGTTTTGCAGCATCTAATGTGCTTGTCCTTATTACTTAATCCATCGGTCTACATCAGCCTAAACACAGCCACAAAACTTGAGATTTTTGGAAATGCGGGTTGTCAATGGCTTTTAACGTGAAATAGCAGACAATCACAATTTCAGCCCGCATCCGATCTCACTTCACCATGGTGCTCGGTTCACAGTAGGCGATCAACTGTACCAAAAATAAATGAAATAAACTGCTCACAATTCACCCGGGTTTCAGGAGGGTAAATGCCAAATCATTGCAGAAAACCTTGAGCGGTTTCAACAATTTGGCCCCAGGAGCAACTATGTCGGTTTTGTTGCTTACTTTTCCATAAAGTGGCAAGCTATGGAAGCATAGCGATTCCGCACAAAGTTAAGATATAACCTATAGCGCAGTCCAAGTTTGTCTCCTGTCTACTCTGTGAATGAAAACAGCTACAGTCTGTGGACGACACTGGTTTCTCACAACTCAGAAAGAAACATGATCAGTCTTTCCCACCAACGCTGGTTCACACGTTGCAATTTTGAGTGTGACTGACTGCACTGCCACCGCCCCTTATGACACTTAAGGCAACAGTACATATTTCCTGATCCTTTTACACACCATTCTTTCACTTTGTACTGAAAATAATACTGACAAAGTTAAAAGGAGGATTCCGTGTTTCTGGAGTACTCGTGAAATTCAAAGGACGTTTTTCGGAGTTTCATCTTCGCTGAAATCGGGGGGTTTATCGGAGTTTACTTTCGTTAAATTTCCAATTCTCCTAATTTTTAAAAATTAAAAAAAAGTTTGGGTTATTACATACAAAACTTGGAAGTGTAAAACAGCTAGGACGAGAGCAGGACATCTTTCATTTAGCAACAACATAGAATGGCACAACGATAAAACCGCCCCCAAAAGTTTCAATGTTCCCAAAGAGGGAAAGGAGACAATTGTTGTAAAGAAAAGGGAATTTACTAAAAATATAAAAGTTTAAAAAGTGCTGGCGTCACGACGAGGTGTCACTAACCTATTGTCGGTGACAGGTCAAGAACGAGGAGGAAGCTCTTCCCACCCCTTTCCACTTCAGAGGAGCGAATAGGGGAGCGGAGGTCACCTCCTCTCCACCGTCCGCACTACTAAAGCGAAAAGAAGTGGGAGGAGCTTCCTCTTCGTTCTTGACCTGTCACCGACCATAGTTATCTTTGATTACTTAGAATTCGACCTTTGTCATTGTCAGCGATAATGAAGGTGCAGAAATATTGTTGTTTACAGTCCCAAAGGGAAATGTACTATAAATACAAAAGTTTAAAAAGCTCTAGCGTCACGACGAGGTGTCAGTGATCTAGTCATCTCTGGTGTTAGGAATTCAACCTCTGTCTTTGTCAATGATAATGAAGGTGCAGAAATGTTGTTTACAGTCCCCATGGCAAATGATTCATTGATTTCTCTCCCAAATCTGTTGTTGTGCCCGCCCAGTACTCTAGTATCGGAGAAATAAGGAGTACTGTCACATCGCACGTGCGGCTGTGAACTACAATTGGGTGACACAACTCATTTGAAGCCTTTGATACTTGTTGTGTCCTCCAAAGGACGGTTGACGCATCTCACAGTCTGTCCAATGTACTGACTGCCACAGCCTAGTGGAATTGAATAAACCTTTCTTTCTTTGCATTTTTTTTTACTTTTTGGCATGCTTTACATTGCACCCTCTGGGACTGTCGCTCCCTGTGGCAGTCAGTCAATACATTGGACAGACTGGGAGATGCGTCGACCATCGACTCAGAGAACACAACTTGGAAGCCTCAAAGGCTTCAAATGAGTCGTGTCACCCAATTGTCGTTCACAGCCGCACGCGCGATGACTGCACTCCTTAATTGTTTGGGTAATAACGACCAGCTGTCCTGCAGGAACCAAGACGAGCTGAAAGGCAAACCTCCTTTTGTTGGTAAATTGAGATGTCAAAGGAAGCTGAAGTGGCGTCTTTCTTCAGGACCACTGACCTCGTGCTCTTATGAAGAATCGTATTTGCACGAATACAATGCGAGTTTTAATACATAAGCATTAACTGTCCCATGGAGTGAACCGGCGTTATCAGCTTTTGAAGCCGCACCAAACGGCACCTAAATTCCCCTGTCCGAAGGAGCGAAGCCTGTAGTCTGTAGCAGTGAATTGATGGATAGACTCCCAATGGCTGGTGCGCGGCAGTGTTGCAAGGAACGCACCCCACTGCCACGGCGCAGCGGCCGGCTGCGCAGCCCGTCCAGCCAGCACCCGTACAGGTCGCCCGGCCAGGCTCAGCGCGGTGCGTCGTTTGGAGGAATACGCTACATATATGAATGCTTTCATTTAGACATGTTAGGAGTCTGAAGTGTCTTTGTAGTTTGTTTTTTTTTAGAAATTACGCGCCCCAAAACGCACCCTGCATTATATTCGGAATAGAGTTCAGTCACGAGGCGCACGAGTCTTAAGAAAGCCATCTATCCCGCTCAATGCAGGGAAAAGAAGCAAGGGTGTGGGAGGGAATTTATTAGCTATTGGGCAATGTGAAGAGGGCAATAGAAAACATAAGAAGCATTTTTATAGCTTTTGTGTTTGTACAACGCACCCCGAGAAAAGCACACCGCAGAAATGCAGCGCGCCACGCGGGAATGGGAGCACTGGAAAATTCAAGCCAAGTCAACAGGGAATAGGGCACTGGACAATTCAAGCCAAGTCAAGTCAACAAAAGCCATGCCAAGACCACACACCGTGCTTACCCAAGTGCAACACAAGGTGTTTGTTTATGCAGAGGAACCAGAACAAGAATGGGTGTGATCATGCATCGGGCCCAAGTCTTTTTCGTTTCTGCGCATTTTTTAGCTTCTGCTCCAGAGTGGTCTGGTGTTTGTGTGTTGGTGCTTCTGCTTCCTGCCTTCCGTTGCTTGTGGACACGCCGGGGAGTACACGCCGAAGAAAAAGGAACTAACAGACAAGCAGCGGTGAAGTAGCCAAGTGGATTGGAAAACGGAATGACCTGAGCAGTGAAGATGAGTGCAGTAAAAAAATAAACGAATATTTCTCAGATTTTAAAGCCTTTTCACTTCTGCGATGGCCTAGAGTGTGGCAAATTTATGCGGCCTCGGCTCGTGTTATAATAGTAATAACATTTTTACTTCTCTCCAAGGGCCTCAGAACCTGCCCTAGTTTAATATCGTGGTCGCGTTATATTCAGGCTAATATGGTATACAGTTGAACCCCGATTTAACGAAACCCGATTTTACAAATTTCCCGATTTAACGAACGAATTCGGATTCCCCGCGCAGCCTATGTGCGAGGTCTCCCTTCCTTGATTTTACGAAGTTCCCGATTTAACGAAGTAATTAGTGGGTCCCAGTGACTTCGTTAAATCCAGGTTCAACCGTATTTGTAAAACACCGTCTGTTTTGCATTTTATTTCGTCAATTCTCAAAATTAAAGAGTTTTTTCGGATAATTACCAATTGACAAAACATTTACCGGCGAAAGTTTTTCAGATAGATCCGAAAACACAGAACACTAGTCATGAGCAATCATTTCTCGCAGACAGTGCATAGATTTGATCTCGCAAACACTGCGAGACCTTTGGTAAAGTTATAAGCAAATCGGAACAGCTCCAGGGCAATCAGATAGGTGGAGCCAACGTGTTCTCTGGTCGTGAGCGGATACAAGTGCTTGCAACATGTTCCATTGCACTCAAACAGAAAGGTGTGATTCAGCTCTTAGGAACAATCCTGAAACATGCTCCTAGTTTATGCTCAATGTCTCGAAATTGATTTCTTTATTTAGTTCACAATACTGCAGGCAAGTTCTCTGCTCCAAGCAGGAGGGGCAAAAAATAAAACGTATAGGTATTAAAGCATGTTTTGAACTTTTTTAGATTCAAAACGAGTTTAGCGACGTTGCATTAAAAAGAATATTTTTCCGGGAAAGTCTGTATTTTGACACGCACGGAGTTCAGTGTCCCTTTGGAACCAGCCATGGCCCACTACACCGTGAATCCGAACAACAAACAAAGACAAGTGCCTTGATGACCACGGCCGAATCCGGGTTCCGCCTGCCAGGGCATTGGAGCCGCTTACCACGACTTCGAAGACGACGACTCCAAGATGTCCGCGGCCGCCACTGAAGCGCCCCTTCGCGACCTCTCTCTCGACCGGTGACCCCCAAAGTCTGCCGCGTCCTCCCCGACGTCGTAAGCCGGCCAGCCGCTGCTCCCGCTCCAGTCCGACAACACCTCTGACGACTCCGTCGGATCCAGGCTCAGCTCGTCCAGGTCGAGCCCGTCTGCAAGTAGGGAAGAGGTGTTTCTCAAATGTCTAGTGTAAAACAAGGCTGCCAAGAACGTGAACTTTTTTTTTTTTAATTCTAGAACTCTTTGTCTTGCAGACACGGGAGTTAAAATGGGGCACGCTTACCAGCGGGACCGAAATTCGGCCCCCGAAGAGCCGCATGCGGCTCGAGAGCCGCGATATGGGCACCCCTGGTATAGATATTCAAGAGACAAAAGTCTTAACAAAGACAGGCAAGGACACCCTTTCGTTAAAAAAACTTGTCTCGTGAATATCTATCAATGTTTTCGCAAATAAGGGCCCGTTCACACCGAGTACGACCAAGAGAGACTAGATCTCTTAAAGGGCCCCTGAAAAGAAAAAAAAAGTTATTTTAAAACAGTCTGGTTGGGACACGCGTGTCAAAAAATGAATTTTACGCGAAAAAAAAAATTTTTTCAGAGCAATATTGACGGCGAGAGATTTATTTGAAAATTTGCGCGCAACTTCCAGGTCATTCAGCTCGGCTTCTCATTGGTAACCATGGTCATTCAAATCGGCTTCTCATTGGCCAATAGAATGAGTGACAGCTTAGATGTTGGTTCTAAAATCTCCGTGATCTCTTGAAATCGCCTTTTGAACTACATATTTTTAGGTTTAAGAAACAATCCATCGAATGAATGTCGCAATTGTTTACAAACGTTTTACAAAATCGTAACTTCCGTTCGGATACTACAACAAAACAACAAACAAAAGCTTCGCCATTTTGTTTTCTGTCGTGGTCGCAGTCTTCGCGTTTCGCGTTCTGAAGAGGGCTTGTTGCTTGTGTTAGTTAGTCAGTCATAGTAAGCACTTAGGAAGTGGCGCGGGGTGACAGGTTTCTGTTTTTCTGCTCTTCTTTGCGCGATTCGTGCGTCCCGTTTACCTCATCTTTTGTTTGTTTTCTGGCGCGCGCCAGTGCCAATGTTTGTTTAGATGTCGGTTCCCGTGGTTCCCGTAAAGAGTTTAGTGAGGCACGCGGCACCGCACTCAACGTTTAATAAAAAAAAAATCAGTTACCACTGCGTGTCCTCGCGGCGGCTTGAAGGATCGTGCGGCTCGAACGAACTCGTCGAGGCACCCGCTTCGCCGCGGCGAAGCGGGTGCCTCGCGAGCGGTTGTCTCGCGGCGATCGGAGCGGACGCCTTCCGGCTGGCGAGGCGTGTCCTCGTACGGGTGAAGGCCCAGCTGCTGGCAGCGTTGAAGCAACCGACGCTTCAGGTCGGGGTCCACCGCGACGACTATGTACTGTGTGTACGACCACGGTGACCACGGTACGTGTACGATACGACGCGGTATGTCGTTCGACCGGCAGACAGCCGGCCAGGGGCTGTGTTCCAAATCTCCAAACGGATCCGAGTTTGTCCGGCGGATCGTATCACGTGACAGCACAGATTGAAAAACGCTGTACGCGGGTAGGTTTTAGAACGCCAAGAGTACAAAACCCTCACCCTGGGGTAAGATCGAGTCAATTTTGGAACACGGCCAGGAAGTAGCAATGGCTCTCGTGCGGGGCGCAGCCAAGCCAGGAAAGCAGCCAAGCCGATCCACTACGAAGAGGCGGGGACTACCTCTCCTCCACGCGCCCGAGATGCCGAGAGAGAGAAAAGTGGAAAGGAGGTGACTGCCGACTAAATTGCGTCTGGCGCAGTCAATATTGCTCTAAAAAAATTTTTTTTTCGCGTAAAATTCATTTTTTGACACGCGTGTCTCAACCAGACTGTTTTTGAAAAACTTTTTTCTTCTTTTCAGGGGCCCTTTAAAATTTCTTAGGACGAGAGAGCACACTGCCACGCTGGCGCCATCGATGCGGTGACCCTGGAACTGCATTTCACAAAAGCGAAGGTTTTGCGGGATTTCCGAGGTCAAAGGAGCGTAATACCTATGAGAAAGGTTTGTTTATAGCGTTGACAAACGTTTTTCGAGCCAAGAAAGAGAGGATAATGCGCGAGAGAAATAGAAAATATGCTGTACTGCCAAGTCTACCCTGCTACCCAATAGATGGCGCCAGTGTGTCCTCTCGTAAGAGGTTTCAAGAAGCCCAGTTTTAAGAGCTCGCAACAAGAATGTGAATGGGCCTTAATAAGAGAGGGGAATGTATTCCACCCGATTCCCTCCATTTCATCCTGTGTATAATCATTTCTAGAAAGCTCAAACGATTTGGGAAGTGAACACTAACTAGGTAGCATCGGCCGACCAATCACGCCATATCCACACAAAAGGAAAGGGTGCCCGGCACTCACATGTGGCGCAGGTGTCCTCCTCCAGAAACCCGGCAAGAATGTCGGCAAACCCAGACTCCGGCGTCGGGGCGGGAGCCACGGGTAGCTCGAACATGGCCGGCGAACCCTCGTCCTCGTCCGGGGAGTCGGAAGACAGCGGCAGACTGCGCAGCAGAAGAGCGAAGGAAGGCAAGGGCTAAGACGACAGGAGGCAAAAACCATCGCAGTTCGCTCGTCCTTCGGGGAGATCGGTGGCCGAGCGTGTTAACGCAACTCGGCTCAGAGCATGTGGAGCAGAAGCATGCGCTGTAGAACTTTCCGGGATCCATTCCCACTTCTGCCCACTCAGATCTGGATGAGCACCGCAGCGGCGTGCGGTCGCATATCCATGCACGTTACAGACCGGAAGGCTACTGGGGCTGACTAACTTCTCGCTGTCTAAACAAATACGCAACACAATTAGCAATTCTTCGACTGGCGCAAGGACAGTCGGGACTGCGAGACGAGCGGACAAACGCTTTGGAACAGACAAGCATGTAGTCACCTTTGTCAAAAGCTAGAATCCCTGGCTCTGCTGCGCTCTCAGGGTCGTTGCGGTAGACATAAGCGTTTCGCATGCTTTCTGAATTATGCGAGGTAACCTGTCCACCAAGAAGCCAATTCCAAAATAGTGCAACCGGGCGGCTCAAACAGCAGATTGAATTTTGTTCTAGTAACGGCGGCAATGATACCGTAGTATTCCACTGAACACTGCCACTTTTGTATGCCCACCGTAGAGAAGAATGGATTCTTTGCCGTACAGTTCTTCCTCAATGTTTCAAGTCTGAGGGTTACAAAAACGCAACTGGTCACCATGAAGTGCAAGCAAAACCGTTGATCGAAACCTCTACATCACGGGGGCTTTGAGTCCCTTGATACGGAAAGGCAGTAGTCTGCACCAGACAACTGACTGGACCAGAGCCTGAAATGAATTCTAATGCAGCAACTGCATCTAATTCATGCATTGCAATGTGTAACATCTGCAATGCACGGACCTCAATTGAATCACACCTTTGGGTGCATCTTCAACTTCTCTCGTCGGCCGCCATAAGACTGCCATTAGTGTGGTAGAAATTTCACGCACTTGGATGATAAGAGTTATCACAGTGGCTAGAGAGCATTTTGGAAAAGGTCCAAGCCACATAAAACCCGCAACCAGCTTGAAACAAAGGGCTAACCAGTGGCTACCACACAGAAATCGTCGTCCTTCCGCGGTCTTGCCGGCAGGGCGTTTGAGCTCGAAATACATTTGCCAAGACACATTCCAGTTAGGCAAACACAAAACATGGCATCATTCTTTGGCTACATACGCACCGCAGGAAACTACACCACTCGGCACATCTAGGCTATAGTGCTTTCGGGAAATCAAAAGTACATCGATAGTTGCACCAAACTTTTCTACTTGGAGCAGCTTAGGAACAGGAAAACCTGCAGTTTGGAGAAACTTGGGATCTGAAAATCTGCATACTGAAAGACTAAGAATAAAAAGTTTTTTTTTTTTTAGCACCTTAAGAGTAACAATATTATTATAAGAAAGCATCTGAGTGAATTGTCCAACTAGTTATACTTCAAGCAAACGAGGTTTGTGCTACAAATGTTTGAGAGTATTGAATACAACTTACTGTAAAATATTTAAAATTACACACAGGAAGTTATTTTTTTATTTAGGAACAAATTTTGATTAAAAAAAGAGGCATGACTTGGGAACATAATGCTACGTGCTGTTTTGCACCATACACCGTAGCATGATAATGCAATGGTACGATGGTTAGGATGTCTGGATGTATACAGTGAAGATCAATAGAATAGATGGATGGATGAATGGACAGATATGGCTGAACCAAGGAATCCTTGCACAGTGTGGTGCGATTTTGGTTGATCTCACGCCCTTTGGCACCGCCAGGCACAGGAAAGTGTGAATGTATCAAAATACTGTAACTAGGCTGCACTTATTAGGTCCCAGCCCTTGCCGTTAAGTCTGGTGGGCTTCTGGGGCATGGTTTCGTTTATCACAAGAAACTTTTATGTTTGCAGTGCCGAGGGTTCTTACCAGTCTGCAGTATCTGAAAGCAGGTTCTCGAAGGCCAGGAATGATGTTCCATCCTTCCACAGGAAGGGGTCTGTGTTCCAGGGACTGTAGAAAGAGGTGTGCTTAGTTTGGGCATGAGCAAACCCAAAATGCAGGGCACTGATTAAACATCAACACCAAACAAGAGCCTAGTCTTCTATTGAAAAAACATTTTTGGTACTCGAGAAAGGGTCCTAAAATACCTCAATAACACTGCAACTGTTTTTTTGTTTTTTCTTGGTTTGACTTTTCTAAAGAGTAAACAGATTACCAAAGAGTACCAACAAAGACAAAATCAAATAAACTATGCTGCCCACACTAAAAGAAAAAAAAAACAGACCCCAATCACAGCAATAATGTTGTGCATGACTACTACTGCAATTGCCAAAAGAGGGGGGGATTCTGTGCATAGATTAGGACTAGATAACACAGGCTTTTTGCCCTTTCCTGCAATATGCAGGGAGTGGCAACTGGGGACTTTCCACATCCCCAAGGTTTGCTCCATGACCCACAACTGAAGGCTGTCTTCTGTTACACTTCTAGCGTATCCACTATCTAGTAGACTATATATCCATTACTAGAAGATAATTCCACTTCTTTTACTTTGCTCGTGACTATATATCTAGTATGTTATATATCCATTACTAGAAGATAATTCTACTTCTTTTATTTTGCTGAAAGCATCCTCAGTATCACTAGACTACCAGTACTTGTGAAATCAAGTTTACCGGTGGAAAAAGTAGTTGCCATGGGGGGAACTTCGAGCCTCAACCTTTCTTAAACTCGCAGGCATAATAAAAGATGTGACTTATGGTTTCTCTAATGTGCTGCAACTTGACAAAGCAAGTGAGTGGAAAGCATGTGCTGCAGATTCTTGAGATTATAACCTCATCCCACACTTCTGGCATTGTAATGGTGTGTTAGTCCAATCACCGCTGTGTGATGCACATTAAAAAAAAAAAACCAGAATAAAGCACACAATTTGCACTGACATCACAACTGCTGAGCGCATGCATGCTCACTGCAGCCTGCACTTCGCACCACTGAATCGGTTCTTCTTAAGGACAAGTAGAAACGACTACCAATATGGTGCGCTGACGTCATGTGCAAGCCATGTATTGCGATGTCTGCAGGCAACACATGGACCTATGTGAAGACTGACTTTTAACCACAGATTTGATTGGCGATTTTCGTACGGGGATTGTTTCATTTTCTTTTGCCTCTGCTGCTTGCACTACTTGTACTGTCAGCAGCATACAGTAAATTGCCAGCAAACCATGAAAACATTTATGTTCCCAAAGCACTCGTGTTTGCGCGCAGAGAAAAACGCAGGACAAAGTGCAAGTGACTGTTGTCATGTGTGCCGATGAAGTGAGAAGTCGTCCAAACACACCATAAAAGATCCCGCCAAACTTCGAACACCTCGTACTACGAACGCTCGCTCAACATACCACGAGCACCCGATCAGCTTGACACAAAAAGCAATACCGCACCAAACTAGCACATGAGTCACTCTTCGCTCAGATACCCAGGACATATCACCGAAATCCGGTAGGAGAAGAACGCCACGAGACCCCCGAAGCAGGTGCTAGTTTAACTTCTAAAAACAAACAAAAGACCATCCCATTCCAAAAACGCCGCTGGTATGTCCGGATTGTGAATCGTGTCCCAACACGTCGGTACAAAGACTCCACAACACGTGGCCGACTGTCAAAAGAACGCATACACACCCGGCCACCGTGGTTTCAGGACCCACTAGAAACACGGCGTTCCAGCACCATATGTTCCGAAATGGAACGCAGCCAGCCGGCCGGCGCGGCCTTCCCCTCGATTTTTGGCGGCCTTGTTACAACGACAGCTTCCTTGTCCCTCCGGCCACGAGATGGAGGATACAAATAGACTTGACGCCCACTGCCGGCTAACGTAAACCGTAGCAGCGTCACGAAGAAACCCCGTCCAATCTAGCAAAGCTCGTAAAACAACTTATTTACCGCCGCAAACAGAGTTGGCGGATACGGAACGCAAGAAGGTCCTAGGCCTAACACCCCCTTATCTGAAAGAGCGCGTCGCCGCGCCACGTACGAGTGCTGACGCCCGTTTCATTTCGACGGCTTTTCTAGTTAGGACTCTTATCTGTGTAAAGGAAAAAGTGTTAGTCGCGAAAAGGGGGAGGCTTAAGTTCACGGAGAGATCGGTGTGCGCGGGTCCCGCATTACCTTGTCCCGAGAAGGCTGCTGCTGCTCGATTCAATCATGGTTTCGGCGCGCCGTAAGAAAACGGCAAGTTCAAGTGAGGCTTCGCCGGTTTGCTGAGCGAAGAAATCCTTTTTGTGGCAAGGCGTTGAGTTCCGCTGTTGGTCACATTTTTGGCTCCTGAAAATCGCTGCGATTTGCGACGTATGGAAAGCGTCCAAGACGCGCCGCCACACACACGCACCACCACGGCCACAAACACTTCCAACACACACAGCAGCCAGTCACAGTGTAAAGGAAGCAGACAAAAAGAAAAAGTAGGCTCTTTTTTTTTTTTCTGCTTGCGGTGCTGGATTGAGAGTGTCTTCGTTCGTGATTGGTCCAAATGGGCGGCGTGCCGGCGATAGTGTGTTTGTGATTGGTTGCAGAGCGCTGACCGGAACAGGAATGCAACACGTTGAGAGAGACAAGACCAGACAAGACTAGCCAGCAAAACCGAAACTAAGCTACTTTGTGTTTTTACGTTTTCTTTATATAGTTTATTGTTTTGTCGTTATTTTGAGAATGCTAAATGCAGTAAATTTAACAAGCAGAAACTACTGAACAACTGAGAAATATTTATCTGTTAGTGTTTACGGAAGTTTGAGCCGTTTGAGCTGCGCTTGAAGAAAATTCAGATATTTGTTTGTCAGTTTCTTCTACGCCCGAATCCCAACCACGGTGGAAGTAATGTGTTTCTTCCACCGTGATCCCAACAACCGCAACCAGCCAACGTTGCAACCAGCGTTGATCCCAAACGTCCCACTGCGCTGTGACGCATCGCGCTTCGTTCAGTCGCCCAAGGAGGCATTTCCGTCCAGCGAAGACGTACACGAACAAACTCTAGCAAAAAGAGCAGGCACAACATTCGTGTACATTATTTTCCCTTTGTTTTTACTTGACTCAAGTTTCACTTTCCGTGGACGGCTTTCCCGCTTTCTCTCTCTGCATCTCACGGAAACCAGTTTGCGGGCGGTGCTGGTTGGTGAAACGGAGAGGCAGACGACACAGTACACGACTCTTGATGCAGACGACAGGCTGAAAATCAAGCTGCTCTTCGGGTAGGTGTCACAGCTTGGCTTCATATGACCTAAATTGGGACTAATTATCTATGACTCGTGACTAGACACGTTTTACAAGTGCTAACACGCGACATCTCTAATGAAAACCAGTTTAATAAGCGCTCCAACCCGACAAACGCGATTTTTATCGCCGCTAGCGCCATCTCTCCTCCAGCGTGTAAGCTAACCATCTGTTGTTGAACGCGCTGATCCTTACTAATTTAAAGTGATTAGTCGAAGCTCTTGTCATCTACAAGTTTTTCCGGCTTTTGCGAACATACCTATGGCTTCTTTCACTCGAACATCTCGCTATTATAAAACGTCCGCATTGTGGCAGCTTTCTTTGGCGAGCTCGATCGGTTCGAGAACACGAAAGTACTCGTAATGAGCTGACCAAAGACCTTGAAAAGTGATAATCGCCACCAGGCCGACCAGGCGTGGAACTCAAGGAAGTTTGAAAGTGTGGCCGTGTGGCGTCATCGACGGTAAGAGAACAGGGAAGTTCAATTATCGTAGACCTCGCATGATAATCCTAACGGATATGTTAAAATATGACCTAAGCGGGAGCGTTTGTGTGTCGTATGAGCTGACGGGGACAGTTTTGTACGCGCATGTCTGTATGTGTGTTTGTCGTCGACCTGAATCCGCGGTAATCGTTAGTGGTTCAAACAATGCGAGGGGGCAATTTTCCCATGCGTACCCTCATTTGTGAGGTGATTAACTCCGTGCCGGTGATCTTTCGTCGTGCAAAGTATACCGCAAAAAGGAGACCGTGCGAAGCTGACTCCTTTCACTTGGCCGCCTTAGCAGACGGGCTTGCGGTAGCAGACGGCGCGTTTGTTGCTTCAAGAAAGATCCAGCGATGCTGTGTGCGCACGCAGTTTCAAAGCAGACAAAAGTTAAAGTCGCTCAAAACGAGTTTGAGAAAGGCGATCCCGACAAACGGGGGGGATAAAAGACCTAGGCGGATGTGCTCCCGCGTCTGCGGACGGTTAATCTTACGACGACCTTCGATCAATTCACTGCAAGTTTTCTCGTCGGCAGTCGGTTCACTTTCTCTAACTTTTAATGGTGTTTTTTTTTTTTTTTTTTTTACGAACAAACGGAATAAAATTTAGATCGTATATGCATCAGTAAAAAGTTTCCGCGTTAGAAAGTGGAGCTCTCATCGACTTCTTGTTCTGAGTGCTTTATCTTTTCGATGCTTTACAGATATCCAGTCATTTAGTGCTTTTGAAGTGTCTGGTGAAACCTGTGCAGAGAGCAAGTCGTCTGCTTCTTGCGAAGGGGTTGAGGTGACGTCAGAATGACGGCGAGTTCTGGTTGGCTTTGATTGGAAGGATAGTGGGACGACCTCAATGCTACATGCCTTGAGGTCTACTACCCACTATTTTTTCAATCAGCCAATAAGAGCATTGCGTTCTGACAGCATCGCAACCCCTGTACAAGAAGCAGACGAACTTGTAATCCACATACATTGTCACAAAAAAATCATATTGATGAAGAAAACAGCTCCATTATACTCGTTTTCACCTCAAGAACTGTAGTAAAAAAAAGTCTGGCTCCTCGCGTAGCATTGCTAATTTCCCCCTTTATGTAGATAAGTAAGAAATACATGTAGGTGCATTTTAGATTAGATATATGTTACTATAGCTATCAAGACGCGTACACGCTTCAAACGCCAAAAGCATCGCTTCTTCCTCCAACAACTAAATCCTGTGAGAACTGCTTCGCAGAGCATATAAACAATGCGCAAAACTTCCTTTTTTTCTCGAGGTGAAAATGCGTATACTTCTTCCTTTATAGTTACTTGCAGAACTCTTGTTCATTTAGATTATTTCGCTAAAAGAAAATGTTTCCATATATGCTTGTTACATGCATATTGTAAAATCTATTTTCTTTGTTATATGTTACAGAACTGACATTCACATCAAAGCATACTTGCACAGCTATTGAAGTTTGAACACATGTTTCTGATACTCTTAATGTTTATTTGTTAACAATGGACCTTTTCCACATACCGACGGCACCAGGTGGTGGCTGCACAAACTAAAAATTGAGGAAATGACCTACCTGCGCTACCAGTCGATAAAGCGCGAAACACATGTACGACGAAACCATCACATCCGATGTCCGACCAGGCAATACGACAGTCGGAGGCGAGGGTTTTCAACGCTCTCCGATGCTACGAAAACCCTCGCTCCCCAAGGTCATTCCGGCAATCCGCACGTCGGGTCGGATCGGAAGGTTTCGTTGTACATGTGTTTCGCGCTTAATGGGAGCTAAGCTACCAGTTTCTTCGCTCTCTGAGCTGCGGCACGTGCCCAACGCGACTTTAAAGATGGGCATTCGTGGCGCCCACCCAAACGTCGTGTTTTAGAGCGCAGCTCTTAGGCGCCCGTTTCCGGCTTGAGCGGCGTCGCCGTCGGCGTAACCGCGCGGTGCATTATGGGTAAATTTCCCCGCGTAATCTAGCGGGAAAATTTCCCCGCTAAATCTAGCGGGAAACTTTCCCCGCTAAATCTAGCGGAAAAAATTTCCCCGCTAAATCTAGCGGAAAAAATTTCCCCGCTAAATCTAGCGGAAAAAATTTCCCCGCTGAATCTAGCGGAAAAATTTTCCCGCTGAATGTAGCGGAAAAATTTCCCCGCTAAATCTAGCGGAAAAATTTCCCCGCTAAATCTAGCGGAAAAAATTTCCCCGCTAAATCTAGCGGAAAAAATTTCCCCGCTAAATCTAGCGGAAATATTTCCCCGCTGAATGTAGCGGAAAAATTTCTCCGCTAAATCCCCGCTAAATCTAGCGGAAAAATTTCCCCGCTAAATCTAGCGGAAAAATTTCCCCGCTAAATCTAGCGGAAAAAATTTCCCCGCTAAATCTAGCGGAAAAATTTCCCCGCTAAATCTAGCGGAAAAATTTCCCCGCTATATCTAGCGGGGAAATTTTGGTCACGTGACCTGGGGAGTCACGTGATACCCCGAGGTCACGTGACCCCTCCCGAGGTCACGTGACCTCGTAAGAGGGCACGTGACCCCACCAAGTTCACGTGCCCTCGGGGGGGTCACGTGACCCCCCCCCCCCCCCCCCCCCCCCGAGAACACGTGGCCCTCAGTACCCTTCCCTCCTCCCCCTCAAGAGCTGCGCTCCAATTCGGCATTACAGGGAGTTGTAAACGGCTTTCACTTTTTTCTTTCTGTCCGCTTTCTTTTTTTGTGTAACACAATTGTACATATACTGCAATTACGTGTCCTACTCGCTGATCCACCGCCTCCTTTCAGATTTCCTCAATTTTTTGTGCCGACTTCCGCCACTTGGCATCGGGCGCTCGCGCATGCGCAGAACGCTTCTAGTAAAAGGTCCATTGGGAGGCCACGAGCCATGGTACTCTGGTGAATTCTCATTTATGGTGAAGAAGGCTCACTAAAGTCCTCTTGTGTGCTGACTTTTACAATATCATCACGCAGATGCCTGTTTGTACGCAGACGCTAAAAGATGGCATCAGAGTCTTTTTGTATTTATGTTGCACATTAACACCAAGTGCCTTTGCAAACTGGCAGTTCTGTATATAGTAATCAGTCTTCCTGTTTCAGTATACTGGATACTCCATTTCAGAAAAATTCACCCGTTCTCTTATGCTATCCCTAAGACGACTTGAAGGCAAAAGCCCAAGCGCCGATCCCGGTGATAGCGAACCTCCAAAGTGACGATGCGCTTTTGGCGCCGTTAATCTCACGGCATGTCGCATGCCTGCTCTTCACCACTGTACGAGCGAGAGTGTCCTCCTCTCCCGCTGGGTTTGCGCCGCATGCGCGCCTGTGCCGATTCTGGCACAAGTAACACCATCTCGCGGTCTAGTGGCTAACCGTGGGTTTTGGTACCTTTCATGTTGCAGTGTTTTCATACCTTTTGTGTCACCGATGTGTTTCCATACTTTTCGTGTCGTCGATGTGTTTTCGCTCAAGGACTTTGAAGGTCGACTGAACGATGAGATATATAAGGCTTTTGCCTTAATAACTTGTTGGCAAGGAGCCAACAAAGCAAAGAGAGTGACTGTAGTACTCCACAGGTGAATACACTCCGACGGTACATATTGTCGTTGCCTCGCACTGACGCTCTGATTACTTTACTGGAGCCGTTGTTTGTAACCATTTTCCAGGTTCTGGTGAGACAAAGTACAGTTCGTTTGCGCACTACACTCCATTTCACCTTAAAATGGACTGCAATGGGCGCTGAGCCATTGGAGCCAATCCAATGCTGCGCGAGTCTCACGTGACTTTTGGGAAAAGCACAACGATGTATGCGTTGTGCATCTGATATTTCACGGTGCTCGATTGGCTGTGGTTGCTCGTAGCAGCTACTGCAGTCCAATGTAAGGTGAAACCGAGCATAGAGTGTCATTGGGGCCAAAGCACACTATAAATACAAACCATTTCCGCTCTTGCGTCGTCGGTCACCGTGACGTCACTGACCGTCCGATTGGCTCGTCTTTCCCCCATTATAAGGCGGGGCGCACAAATTTGACGGGGACCAAAGGAAGATGCGTATAAAATACAAGTTCTCATCTGTCATACGTTTGTTCTTACGGTAATTGTTTTCGTGCTGTTTTTATACTGGAGCTGTCTCATTCCCCAGTGCACTGTGGGGGAGGAGGGGTGCCATGTCCCGCACCCTCGCCCTCTTCCTGGGCCTCCTCGCCTGTGGCCTGTTCCTCCTCGCCTCCCTCCCCAATGCCATCGAGCCTGCATCAAAAGCGTCCTCGCGGCACCGCCTGCCCACCCTCCTGGCCTACGAGGGCGAGGCGGAGGTGCACACCTTCTTCTGTGACACCCACCCGAGCACCTGCCCCTCGGTGGCGTTCACCGCGGCCTCAGGGTGGCAGGGCGGGATACCCGGGCTGCGCAACTTGCATCTCTACTCGGCGCACTACGACGACCGGGTCATGGTGCACGGGGGCAAGAACCGGCACCACGTGCGGATGCTCGGGGTCGTCAAGTCGGAGGACGCGGACGCGACGCGCCTCTTCTGCCAGTTCTGGTGAGTCAGTGTCACCGTATAGTTATGGTGGAATGCACCTTCCGCAAATGAACATCCCACACTCGCTCGAGGTCAGGGTTGGCGATAACGCGTAACGAGCAATGCATTACTTTCTTTTTTTTTCGGTAACATAGCAATATATGCTCGTTACGTTTTCAAAATGGTAACGGATGGCATACTTGCGTTGCTCTTTTCGAGTAACGTAGTTGCGTTACTTGTTACATCCTTTACCCGAGACTTCAGGAAAAATTACAATTCACATCTTTTTGTGCTTAAAGGCACCAAGTCACATAAATTGTTGCACTTGTCTCACGTATCTGCAAAATTTTGAAAATATGCGGGATATCTTCAAAATCAAAATATATGGCATTTATGTGTTTAGTTTCTGCATGAACATATCATTTCTTGAAATATGGCCGTTATGCGTACTTGTAACGTCAAAACAAAATTTTTTTTTGTATTCATAAATAAAAGGTAATGTGCATTACATTTGATGACCAAATCTGCCAAACTTTTAAAAAGTTTCGACAAGGATTCGGAAAAATTTGGCAAATGTCTGCGCACACGCAAGAACGCAACGGGGCTATGGATTGCAAATGGACGCCCTGCAGTTGTGCAGTTACCATCGTACACTGTAGTACTTTCACACACATTCGCACAGTTGAACACAACAACAATCTTTGTAGGCGCGCTCTTCCTCTTCAGAGCGAACACATGGCCTACCCATGCCGAGTCCAAAGGGCAACTGATCACGTCACTAGGAAATGGCTATGTCAACAGACAAAGAAACACAGCCATTGGTTGGTAGCTATTTTAGGTTTTACAACGACATTACAGTGAATTGCCATAGTGAGTGAATAAAGACACATAAATACATAAAGGTGATGAGCTCCTTCAGTACACAATGTTGTAAGTTCTAATCCCAATTTTTCGGGGCACTCCTCAAGGGCAGTTTTTTTTTCGATTGAGCCAAGTCTCTTTATCAGCATCGCGGAAGCGAAAGAAAAGAAAATTAAATAGAAGCGTTCTGCCCTCAGTCTCGTCCCAGCGCACTCTTAGCTGAGAAAAGTCGGGGACCGCAGATGATAACAAGAGATCAGGACCTCACTATCTAATAATACCAAGGAAGGCCGACTCGCACGGGTTGTCCCCTCTTTTTATTTATACTTACCGCGACCAATCCAAACGGAGAAGCGCCTTTTAGACAACAGTTTTTTTTTCACATCCTTGGATGCATATTTTTCCAGATCCTAACACACAACAGCTTCGCTGTAGAAATATTCAGCTTCAACGGCCAATTTTTCTTCCTGAAACCGACCCCCGCAGGTACGCCGAGCTCCCCCGTCCCATTGTCGTTGAGTCGGAGCGCACCGAGATCTGGCTCCAGTCCTGGGACGGGGCCAGCACCCACCCGGGCCAGTACTATCGCCCCTTCGTCTTCTCCTGCCCCGTGCCGTACAACATCTCCCATGCTCTGCCGGCAGGACCGCGAAACGCGTCCCTCGTAGCCGAACCCTGCGCCTGCCCCTCAAACTCCCTCCCCCTCCCCGTCACCAACGTCCCAACGGACGGCAAGAAACGAGGCATCGCCGTCTGCGTCAAGGGGCTGGACTTCGCGGACGACATTTCCGCACGCCTCGTCGAGTGGCTGGAGCTGCAGTTCCTACTCGGTGCAGACCGCATCTTCTTCTACGTCTTCAATGTGCACCCCAAGGTTGACCTGGTGCTGCACTACTACCGCCGGTTCCGCAACGTCCAGTTCGAGAAGCTCCGTCTGCCGGGACTCGACGAAACCAACGCCCCACTGCGGAGGAGGAGCTACCTCGCGAACAACACTTGGCAGAAGCGGAGGCATGAGCTGATCCCGTACAACGACTGCTACTACCGCCACATTCCGACGCACCACTTTGTTTTGCTCGTTGACGTCGATGAAGTCGTGGTCCCGCGGAAGCGTTCGTCTTGGATCGAGGCACTCGACGAAGTTGTCTCAGATACGCCGGGGGTGCTTGCAACGTATGCGTCATTTGCTGTGCCCAACGCCTACTTCTTTGAGCGGTTCGAACGCGAGCCGAGCTGGTCGTGGTTCCTGGGTCGCACAACTCGGTCGGCCAACTTTACGCGGCCCGGGTTTGCGGTGAAGAGCTTCTTCACAACGAACTCGTCACTGGCCGTGTTCAACCACTACACATTGGTGCCGCTGTATACTAAGATTCAGCGCGTCGCGCTGCTGAGCAGGGACCTCATTCAGCTCAACCACTACAGGGAGGGGTGTCCACGTGAGATGGATGCGCAGTGCCGCGATGACTACTTCCGCTACACCGTCAGGGATGTGACGCTGCGGAGGTTCGAGGCCAAGTTGAGGCGGAAGGTTGAAGAGGCAAAGCGTGGCCTCAAGATCAAGTTTCTTGTTCAGGTGTGAGCGGGGAGGTCAACTGCCGCCAGTGTGACGTGCCCGGTGATGAACCGCTGTGGCCCCTTCTGCAAGTCTTCAATGTCTGTGCTAGGATGATCAGGCAACACACGGGTGGTCACGCAACACACAAGTGGTCACGCTCAAACATAAATGTGCGAAACTTTTAAGGTTTTTCGTTTGAGACCAAGCAATAGGTTATGCTTAGAGTATCGGCACTCCATTCCCCAATTTTCTGGTGGACGCCACCATTTTGGTGCTTGGAGCAGAGCAGGTGCAATTGGCAATTGTTACAATTAGAAACTTTGACCTTCCAAGCTTTCGGGCTGTATCGTTTTGCTCCGTCGCAAACTGTTTTAACATTTCTGGTAGACGAAAAACTGTTTCTCTGCAATTTCAGATAAAGCTTCCGGTAGCCGGCAACCATGGTCTTATCCAACAAGATTGCTAAAGCGTCATCAGTCTGAAGCATAGTTCTAGTCTGTCTGCAATTAGTCGGCTGCACGGCTGTCAATTGGTGTGTCTGTGGACACATTTCGAAATTTACTCTATCCGGCTTCAGAGTAGAGGCTAGCTCACAAATGTGCATTTAAGTGTGGCCGAGTGGATCGTGACCACTTATGTGACTTTTTACGCTGACAGACCACACTGGCGCCATCTATTGTGCAGCCCTGGAACACCTTCGATCTTCATATAGTTCACCTTTTACACATTGTGCTTTCACTGTGGACTTTAAATACTTTTGAGAATGTTATTAGCAACCATTTCTCATAGATAATGCGTAGATTTGATCTCTCAAGTACTGTAAAGCCTGCAGTCTTGTTACACACAGGTCCAGGGTTGCCCGATGGATGGTGCCAGTGTGCCATTGTGTTTTTAAGTGTTCACAGAACACACACAGCCACACTCAAACATAGATGTGCAAAACCTTGAAGGTTTTTTGTTCGAAAACCTATATTAGCCAGAATATGTACTCTATTCAAAAACCTGGACCTCGAGATTTTGCAATCAAGTCTATGCGTGACAAATTTAATTTGGTAGAAGTGGTAGACAAGATTGAGCAGAACAGGTGCAGCGTTGTTGTGGCTGCAAAATTAATTATTAAAAAAAAAAATCTGTTTTAGAGATTTTTGAGAAATGTGATCAACTTTGTTCACAATGTTTTTGTACTAGGAATTGAAGGGAAAACAACACTGCCAGTGTAGGATGATTTTTGTCTGGACTTGTGAGATGTGTTGGCCATCCAGTTAGTCAGCATCAATTTCTACTTTTCTTTATAAGTGAGGTGGCACAGGCTACTGCCCGTTATGTAGGATACAGCCATTGATAATTCGTCCATCCATCCATTAGTTTTATTAGTGCTGGAGAGTCCAGAAATGCTGGCATTTCACTAACAAAATTCTGAACAGTATGTCCTTTGACGTTGCTTGTTTATTATGACAGAACAATGTGAGATCATTTTTTTACTTGGGTGCTGACTGAAGATTTTTTCTTATATATATATATATCCTCAAAAGGACCAATATTTTGCTCCAGTGCCTTAGAAGAAATCTCTACTAGTTCTTTCCAATTTTTCAAAGTGTTTGGGGGACTATATACAACCTGTCAAACCATATGCTGTGAGTAGTTGCTGCTGTCCTTTACACTAGCGTGTATGCTTATTATGACAAGTAATTGGAGCTCTGGGAACACTAGTGTGAATGTTTATTGTGACAAGTAATTAGAGCTCTGGGAATTAGCTTATTTCATTAGCAGTTTTGTGTCTTTTATAAGAGATTTCTTTTTGTAAGTAATGATTTTACTGGGGGCCATTTATACTGCAAAACTATTATAAAAACTACCAGAAGTACTTTGGTGCTTTTTAAGTCATTTGATTGTTAAAGAAGATTAAGTTTTTACTCAAGAACCAATTCAGGTGTGAAAACTTTAGGCTGCAAGTACTAAATTTATTGCACATGCTTAGTTTATTATCGGTTCCTCAATTCAGTGCATAAATTTCCTGCCGGGTCTGTTGAGGGATGTGTACAAAGTAAGATAGTATGTGATAATAACTGGCTGGCAGAGAAATTATGTTTTAAAATCTGGTAATGTGGTCATCTCATCAAATACGTTTGAGAAATGAATGACTTGTAATATATAGGGTGGTTCAAGTCACCAGGCTCGATCTAAAGTGTACCATAAAATTCGACGCCTGCACGTAGCCATCCAAACTTTTCGTCAAGGGTGTATTTCACAAGTCGGTTTTTTCTTGTAAAATTACAAAGCGGAGCTCTTTCTGTAAAAAATAAGGCCAAGAAACTTGCCAGGGCTACAGCGGGCAGCAACGCAGACAACAGGGGTCCGGTAGCGGGGTGTGTTTGGCATTCGTATTGATAGATGGCGCTACCTCCTTATCATGACTGCTCGCGACCACCGTGGCTTATTAAAATTAATACAATCTTTTTGAAATGTAATTTCGGTTAAAAAATAAATGCGAACAATAAAAGCAAAATTTAAAGTAAAAAAATGCGTCTGCATAACGGCGGCGCTTTTGCTCCCAACGGATTTCGTCCGCATGTCGTCTGCTATCTTTCGCTGGTCGGCTGCACGTTCAGACGCTGCTCCCGACGCCATATATCAATATGAACGCCAAACACACCCCGCTACTTGACTTGGTCGTCTGGGTTGCCGCCCGCCGTAGACCCTGGCAAGTTTCTTGGCCTTAGTTTTTACAGAAAGAGAGCTACGCTTTGTAATTTTACAAGAAAAACCAACCTGTGAAATACACCTTTGACGAAAAGTTTGGATGGCTACGTGCAGGCGTCGATTTTTACGGTCCATTTTAGATCGAGCCTGGTGACTTGAACCACCCTACATATATATATATTTTTTTTTTTAATGGGTTCAGCATTGCTGTGCTTGCTGGGCCCATAAAAACTGTATGAAAATATGGAAAACATCTGAAAAGGTCCTAACAGTAGTCAGATGCAAACATATACTTGTGTGGGATCTTCTCAGTGATAGCTGCTTCTATTGTTTAGGAATTTTTCATGAATTGTGTGCATACTATTCCTTTTTTTCTTGTATCTTTGCAAGTTTTACTGGTTTTATTTTGCTCTGGATGTATGCATGTCTTATTTAACAAGTTTGCAAGTTTGGTAGGTTATTACCAGGTCTTTTTTGTCTTGTTCCCAGGTCAGGGAGGCTTTTGTTGAGCGTTAGTTGTTCTTTAAGTGTGAGCAAGCTTTGTTGGGCTATTTGTAGCCGTTTATATTAATGGACGGCTACTCTTCTTAGTTATTTATTTATTTTTAGTTCCAGTCATGGGCCTGTCACTGTTGCTCATGTTTTGCATCTGTGTTTCTGCTGATAGTTTACAACAATGTTCTGATTTAAGATGATACAAAGATGCTTAATTTCTTGACCGAGCAACTGGAATCACAATCTTTATTTTACTGCCGTGACGTGCAAGATGCAACAAGAACAAAAATGGAAGAGATATACTATGCCAATCAGAACTATGCTAGTGGTTGGTTCATATTTAAGCTGGACCTGTTCAAACTGTAGAGCAACAGTAAACCATTAAAATTGCAACAATTGAATTCTCAGCTGGAAAAAGATTTTCTGGGGACAGTTCTGATCCTGGACACAAGCAGTGTACATCTCATTTTGTCTGTGTTCACAGAAACATAAAATGGTATACTGGTTTTACTTTTTTACTTTATTTTGCAGTGGTAAACGTCACTACTGTAACATCTTTTGCAAACATTTGTTGCGTGGACTGCAGCTAAGAAGCTGTGGTTTCCACAAACTGAGAGTGTGAGAACCGGTGTTATTTTTCAAGATTTAATGTGCTTGTTGCCAGGCAGCCGATGAGCATTCATCATGGTGAAAGTGACTTCAGCAGACCCCTTAAGTTCTGCAAGTGGTTAAATTATGTCTTCCAAAGGCAGCTATTTTTTGAATGAATAAAGGCTTTCTTTTTATTTTTGAGATGTATTTGTCAACTGCTCAGTCATTTGTTATGACCTCAGTATGTAGATTTGTGTGCAGAGGAAATATTGTTTTTCCTAGAAATTGGCTACTAAATTTAGCACAAATAATTCCATCACAGTGATGTAATTGCTGCACCATTTTCACCGAACTCTGCCAAAATGCTCGCCCTGTTGAATCCTGCTACATTTAAAAAAAATGTGAGGAATTCCCACCTACATTGTGTAAAGTTGAACCGATAATGTCTGGGGTAGTTTCGAACACTGTGGTCCAGCACCGACCTGCACAGATCACACGGTACGACCATCTGTGGCGACCGACCGACTGACCCATTGCTAGTGATACTGAACTGCAAGGTCAGTGATCTATGGATTTGGGTCTGGTAGAGTGCAAAAGGTTGCACGCCATACTGACATCCGAGGAGGTGGGATTTTGACTGACATAGTTTTTGATTAGAGCCGAACTACAATTGTTTGTTTTGTTTTTAACCACTTTTGAATTTTTCACACCGGCAGACGTTTACCGGTGTCTTTTAGTCAAAACTGTGAAGTCCGGCCTGGCTATAGTAAGTGTATGTTTTCTGGTTCACTCTCTCATGCTTTTTCCTTCAAAAGGCTCGCAGCATTTGTGGAAATACTTTTATTCTTTTCTATTGACCAGTGGCAAGACTGTAATTAGGCAAGCCAGCCTAATGATGAGCAAAATTGTGGGCCAGAACACATCCACATCTGCATTGGCAGCGTGACACACAGACTCGCTCAGCCACACATACACGTGCATGTGCAACGAAGCAGTGGTCAAGCGCAGCTACAACTTTATTTACAGACTCCTCCACGATGCACTCGCCTCCGAGTTCAAACTCTGTCGTCGAATGGAAGCTGCCCACTAGTTCAGATGCAGTTTCGGTGCACACCAGTTTGGGTGCACCAGTCCAGGAAGACACCAGTTTGTTCACACAACAGTTTTGGCACATACCACTTTGGACACACCAGTTTGGGTGCAGATCAGTTTGTTCACACACCAGTCTAGGCCCAGACCACTTTGGGCACACACCATCTCGTAGGGGCGTCAGAACTATTCAGCAGATGGGGGAGCGAGATTTTTTGCCCCCCCCCCCCCCCCCCGTATTGTTTGCATGAAATTTCTGAAACAAATGGGGTGGCAGTCGCCCCCTGTTCCGACGCCACTGCCATTTCAAGCCCACGCTAGTTCGGGGGCAGCCAGTTCATTCCCACACCAGTCTGGGCACACCCCCCCCCACTACTCCTGCTCTTCCCGATTCGCGTGCTGCTTTGCCAAGTGTCCCCTCAGATAAGACGGCTTGATAAACCCTTTCCCACACAGCACGCACGTGTGGGGGTACTCCTTCGTGTGCATGACCACCTCGTGCTTCCTCACGTCCGACAGACATATCGACCGGAAACCGCACAGGCCGCAGTGATGCGGCTTGGCACCCGTGTGGATGTGGCTGTGCCGATTCAAGTCGCTCTTTGTCACAAAGCCCTTGCTGCACTGGGGGCAGACGTACGGCCGCTCGCCTGTGTGGGTCCTTTTGTGGGTCCTCAGGGCACGCCGCAGGGCGAAGCTCTGCCCGCAGGTGCCGCACACATGTGGCCGCCCATGCACAGCCTCGCGATGCTTCTCCAGGAAGTCCCGCGAGGAGAAGACGCTAGAGCAGTTCAAGCACGAGAAGGTCTCCACAGTGGCCAGGATGGACGGCGCATCCTCTTGGTCTGCGCACAGAAGCCGAAAGGGAAAGGGGGGGAGGAGGGAGGCAGTGTTAAGAAGGCACACATACCTATAGCTGGGATTGCGCATTTGCGATACAGACTATGGTCCGCCACGGGTTTAGAATAGCGGGGCAGGCTCTCCCGCGAGGCCCTCCGTCGTTTCCACTTTAGTAGAGCGAACGCCGGAGAGAGGAAAACCACCAATTATGGTGAGCAGAGAGCTTTGTAGGGAACTTGTCCCCCTATTCTTAACCTGCAACAGGCTATGCGGAGTACAAGTTTGTCCAGTTCTTGCGCAGGGGTCGCGGCGACGTCAGAACGCAGAGCTTTAATTGGCTCCGATTGGAAGGATAGTGAGTAGACCTCGACACAGCTGGCATCGATATCTACCCACTAGCCTTCTAATAAGGGCCAATCGAAGCTTGACATCACGCTTTTAGTTTTGTTTATTTTATTACTTTTGAAGGCATCAAGTGATTCATTACACGAGAAGAAACAAGAAAGTGGGAGAAGTTGCAACGCGTAAACAAACTTTTTTTACTAGCAATCGATGTTGCGTCATACATATATACAACAATGAAAACCAGCAAACTGTCAATACCAGAAATATAACGACATTAGAGAATAGAAAACACTCGAGACAAACTGACGCTCTCTCCATAACTCAACACATCAACGAGCACAAGAAAAGACAATCATTCGCAAAACAAAATTTGTCAAGAAAACAGCACATTAACAAACCAGCTCTTCACAACTTTGTTTAACCAATGTTGGGTCTGAAAAAGCTAAATGACTTGAAAGACTATTCCAGGGATTTATAGATAAGGCAAGTGCAGAAAATGGAAACAAGTTAGTATGCCCAGTACGACTAAAGATTATTTTCTCGAGAAAACTCGATTTGCAAGAATTCATCTGGCTCGAAGGCTGTGAAAAAGAAGAAGAATTCTCCTGTACATGACTTGGACCGACGTCACATCAGTGGCCACGATGATAGCATTGTTGCTGAGTGTGCGCTACCTGCAGCACACATTTCGCACCACCCAACTTGTTTTTCTCCTAAACAACGAGTGTATCGTCTTCCAATGCTTGCACAGGTAGTCTGAAGGGGCTGGCAGTCCTCGCAAGGTAAAGTGTCTGCCTCATTGACGGGCAGTCTCTCTCATTGGTCTGTTCGGAAGGGGAAAAAGATGGGGTTGGAGAAAAACAATTAGTACAACAAACTAGCTTAGCTGGGATTACATTTGTAAGCCCAACTATGTTTGTTATATTTTTTTTTTATGGGTAACGGCAATCTTTCTGAGTGCATTAAAATGCCAATTCCACGAGAGTCTGCTAGGCTCGTAAGCTACCATTAAAAAATGGCAATAAATACTAAAACACATAATATAAAAAAGAATGAAAATGACAAGTCCCTGTAATGCTGAATTAGAGTGCAGCTCTTGAGGAGGAGGAGGGAAGGGTACTGAAGGGAGGATATACCCCTCCACCCTCCTACTCCTCCCTCTGAGCGACGTCGCCGTCAGCATAACCGTGATGTCACTAACCCTCGTGACCTCGCGGGGGTCATGTGATGTCACCGGGGTCATGTGACCACACAGGGGTCATGTGACCTCACGAGGGTCAGGTGACCTTACGGGGTCACGTGACATCACTGGAGTCACGTGACGTCACCGGGGTCACATTTACCCCAATGGCGACGCCACTCAAGCCGGAAACAGGTGCCTAAGAGCTGCGCTCTAAAAATGTTTTTGATGGCAATTTGCCCAGTTTATGTAGCTGATACTTTTGCATGAGGTTGCCATTTATTAAAACTGTGCATCAATGTTGCCTTTTCTGGCTTGTCTTTTTTCTTATGCGGGTGAACTGTTTACTGCTACTAAACACTATGCAACGCTGCTTGTTCCATGTACCAGCCACTGTCCAGGCAATGACTAACTGCTGGTATTGGCTTGAAACCAGCCTAGCCAGCCGGGCTACTGGCTAGGCTGTTTTCCACTATTACCCAATGATCAAATTGTCTTTGGCAAGGAAGTTTGGCGACTGACTGCCCATGCCAAATGAAGATGTAGAGCATGTCCAGCTAATAATAATAATTTCATTTGAATCCTGGGAGTGACGGGTTGAGGAACAAAAGGGAAGCAAATTTTAAACGATCAGGCCCAGCACCCAGTGGCAATCAGTTCATTGAACGACGTTTCATTGAAAGATTATTTCAAAAGCACGCAATGTTTCCCGAGAGCTTAGATTAACTTTTCTCTGTAGCTGTACGAGACTGTCGCCGCAAAGCAGCGTATACGGGTCGGTCAGGTGGGTTAACATATTTGTAATGAGCCGCTGCATACTGTTGCCACAAAGCGGCGTAAACGCAGGATTAACGCGCACCCCAGTGATACACGCATGATGAAATGTCCATACAGCGTGCAATTCGCATAACGAGTGTCAATGAAAAGTGTTCATGAAACTAATTGTACCAAAACGAGTTTCAACAAAACGACAGGGACCCCCCAGCACCCTCATACATTGCACGGCAGTAAAGGTATCATGCAGATACAAAATAGTTCCACGCGACCAGGCGTTTTTTTATCTGAGGAGCGCTTGACTGGTGACTTATGTGTGAACTAGCGCTGACGTAAAAACTCGTCCATGTGGAGTGATAGTGGGAGCCCATCAACGCAAACTGCTGTTTTCATCTGCGCCTGTGTCACTGCGGTCTGATTGAAAGGGGGTCAGGAATCTTGAAACGTCGGACGGCAACGGCAGTTTGCATTGATAGGCTCCCCAGTTCCCCGCTAGCTGCTGCACATGAAAGAGTCCTCACGTCAGCGCAAGTTTGGACGTAAGCCACCAGTCAAGCGCTCCTCAGAAAATAGTGCCCGCTTGCGTGGAGCTATTTAGTATGTGCATGACTCCATTGATATCCAAGAAAAAATAAAAAGTCTAATCAAATAATATAGCACACTAGTACATGATCAGAAAACCAGTCTTAAACATAAAATATTAAATTCACTAAAAGAGTTGTGCAACAATTTTAATGTTAAAAGCAGTGTGTCGAACCGATAAAAATACGGGTTCGGTTATGGTTCAGGTTCAGGTAAATTTATTTTGTTCCGGTTCAGTTCCGGTTCGAATAATTCGATCCGTGAACCGGTTCGCGAACCGGTTCGGGCCGCTGAACCGGTTCGCAAACCGGTTCGGAAATTATAAGTGACAAATTGTAACATCAAAATAAATTACAAATAAAACATCTGAAATCAGCACATACGAAATGGGGTACATCGTAGTGTAAGGCTCAGGGATTTCTACCAGGAATGCTCTCGTTATGTGCACTCAAAGGTTACCTCACCGATGTTTACGCATTCGGACTTCATCGAATTGGGTCCGACGCAGTAGCTGTAAAATCCGCGACCTCCTTACAAACCCACTTACAAGTAGAACTCGCTAACTATCCCGCCACCTCGGCGTGTAAGCAATTGAAGGAACAGTGGGGAGAAAATACAGCTTTCTTTATTTGAACTAGCCTTTGGTAACTCAAATTAGACCCTTAAAGAAGTTTTCCTTGAACAAGATACGGAATATGAAAAACACTTCACCGAACACAACGCCAGAAGGACGTAATAGGATAAATATTAAAATAGAAGAGTTCGCTGTCTCACAAATATGTTAGCTTCTAAGTGCCTATACGAAACCGGATGCATTATTATCAACCTCCACAGCCTTTTCTTTTCTCATTCCGATGGAAGCAAGCTTCAAGAACTCGCGGGTTCTAGAAACGTGTTATGAAATGAGCACACAGCAGCATTTAGGATTTACGAGATTGTAGGAAAATGAAATCCCGTGACGCAATTTTTTTTTTTTTTTTTTGCACATCTTTCCAATTTTTTTTTTTCCGTGCCAGCCGCGACCAGCGCAATACTGGTTCCTATGTCAAGATTCATGAATGCAGCGTTCGTCAAGACTCATGGATGCAGCGTTTATATTCCTAAGACTGAGTGGAGAAGAAAAATATGTAAGCGAGGTGTGTGTCAGTTGACGGCACTTAAAAAACAAATGGCATTGATAGCACATTCATTGTCAACAGCGCATGGCCGAACCGTTTTCACATGAGCCGGTAACCGTTATTTTTTTTCCGGTTCAGTTCTGGTTCGGGTTCATCGCGATAACAATATAACGGTTCGGGTTCAGTTCCGGAAAAAATACCGGTTCGGTTCCGGTTTTCGGTTCGGTTCAGTTCCGGTTCGACACCCTGGTTAAAAGAATTGGAATCTTCTACTTTTTACATTGTTCACCTCGTCACATATGACAGAAAACACACCTCCTTCAATCGAAATGTTGCGATTCCGCCGCATAATAGCGATGCAAAACTTAGAATATTCCCCGACCTGCAGCCGCGAGCGGCGGCCATGAGAAACATGCGGCATGACGTCAATGGGGGTCTTGTAGAAAGATAGCTAGTTGTGCAAATACCTGCTCGATAAAAGGTAACTTTTCTATAAATCTTGTCGTTCCAACATAAATATAAATGTGTCAAAAATCTGGTATCATCGACAAAAATTTTATTATACGGAGTTTTAGTGCCACCTTCTATCCTGGGTCCACAAAACCGTCAGCTCTATCTGCTACCGCGAACAGCCGCCAGAAACCGGAGTGGGAGGGAAACAGGGCCAGACGGGTATGGCCGGACACGGATGAGACTTTCCTCTTTTCACCATATTGTTCGCGCTGCGCCCGCCAGCACGTGGTCACGCGGTCGCGAGCGGATGAGTTATTGCTGCTCACTAATGGCTCTAGAGAGAGAACTTTATTGGAACCCCGCGCCTACCGCATCGACGTCACTGCACACGTGACCCGGAAGACGATGTACGAGTTGAGAGGTGGCAAAAACCTGGAACTTTTTCATTTTTTAAAAATAAAAACTAGGGTATCCAGGCAAAATCTGTTTTCTGTATTTAAAAGCTTGGTCTGCTGAGCAAGTTGGTAATGGACATTCATATTAAAAATAGCGCAAAAAAGATAGGGCAAAATAGACGAGACTTTCCTCGTTCGGATTGTGGGGCAAGGTGATGTAGCTGTTTTGCTGGCTTTTCGAACAGGCGGTGGGCGGGCTGTATCTGCTGATTTGGCGGTACGCTGTGTTTTTGTTGAGACGAGACTATGCGCATGCACAGCGATAGCAAAGTTGGAAGCATTCAATAAACTTTAGTTGCCAGTTAGCACTTGTCCCGTGTGCTTCTTCGTTTTTTTGTCTCGTCTTTTTTGCGCTATTCTTAATATGAACTGTTTTCTGTAGTTCACTTCAGAAGTGTCAGGCATCAACTTCCACAATTATTTAAGCAAAGCCCTGAAATTGTTGCACAGCTCCTTTAAGTTGCACCACTAACAGAACATATTGAGAGGATAGCAACCTAAGAGAATAGGGCAGCTTCAAATAGAGAACAAGGATACATATGTTAACAACTGAATATACAAAACTTGGCACAAACTTTCATAACAACCAACACAGTTAAACCAATTATGTTTGTCTTCCATCTGACCTATGAAGGCGAGTGTTAAGGTTAGGCTGGCCCTCCTTGGCTTTGTGCAACCCAATCCTCAAAAATTGATCCTGAATGCAGTAATTTCAGGAACCACTGTCTCGTTCACATTTTCAACTAGTCCGCTGGTCTGAGGGCTGCAGGGGTTATTGCACAAGTGTTTCCTTCAGGCCAACAACGCACTCCTCTTCCTCGTTGTTGCTTGGGAACCGAGTCTTTCACGATAAGCCATCAGCCTAAAGAGCTCCTCTATGGTTCTGTAATAAGGAAGAGATGCAGCAGTTATGCACGTCCAGCTCTTCTTTCGAGCTCACCTCTTCTAGGGTCGTACAACCCAGCTCTGCCACGCTGAGGCAATTCAACAATAGTACTCATTCCCCGGCTCCAGTTCCTGCCATCGCTCTCCCGCGAGGAATTCGATGCTTCGTAATCCACTCAACCACAGTAGTCGTCAACAGGTTTAAACTCCGAGGTTGTGAAGCAGGTCATCGGGGTTGTCATGGAATCCCCCCCATCAGCATCGGACGGGAGCGCAGTCCAACCACGATCTGTGCTCGCATGTCACACGTTTGCGTACAAATACGCTTGGGGTGACTCGTGTCAGGGTTCTCGTTAGCGTGCAACGCCATCGCCATGCGACTCGTGTCTAACTGAAGCACTGGCACTGGAAGCAGTTTACAATGCCGGCCCATGCCTATGCGGACAGAAAGTCGTCTGCTTCTAGCACAGGAGTTGCGGTGATATCAGAACGCCGCCGAGCTCTGATTGGCTTTGATTGAAAGGATAGTGGGTAGACCTCAATGCTAGACATTTTGAGTTCTACCTACTATTCTTTTCAATCAGCCAATAAGACTTGCTCACATCATCGTAACCCGTGTGCCAGAAGCAGACGAACTTGCACTCCGCATAAAAAAGTTTTCGAGAGAGGAAGGCTAAGGCGGAGGAAGCAGACGAAACGTTGGAGAGAGAAAGAGGTTTCCTTCTCTCCTCTCCAGCATTCTGTTTGCTTCCTCCTCTCCTGCCCTCCTCTTTCTCGAAGACCGCTCCCCTGGGAAGAGCGGAGAGAGAAAAAATGCCCTCGCCCTCTCACCCCGCGCACCAACCGCCAAGTGGACTGTACCTAACATCTGGCCGGCGTTCAAACTCGGTTTAAAATTTAGTCATTTTGGAAATTTCAAGCGGAGATGCGCGGATTTCGATATGCAAGTTATCGTGTAATGCTATTATGCTCGATAAAAAGAGTAACCGGATCCAATTACGCTGTTACCTGCATGCAAATAAAAAAAAAGAAATGGGAAAACTGTGTCAGAATAGCCGGTCTTTTTGGCAAAAGGTAAAACCGGTTGCTGTAGCTTTTTTTACTGTACAAAGTTTGTACTGGTGTAGGCCTTCAGTGACAATGAATAGCAGTCTGGAATAACAAATAAAAATGCGCTCTCCTGACACAATAGGCACAGTGGTTGAGGGTAGTACTGCTGGCTGACTCCACTGCTATTGAAGTAACGGAACAAAGACACGCTGGTTGATTATTTACTGAAATAAAACAACATAGCGCTATAGGCTGATTTTGGAGTAGCCATAAATATTCTAAGAATGCAAATCACTTCACAACGGCAGCCACAAGCGAGAGTTCGATATGTTCGGTACAGCCCACCGGTACAGCCCAAAGATGGAGAAAGGCCACCTCCCAGTTTGTCGTTCGCTAGCGGAATCGGGCGCGTGCCTTCTCTCTTGTTTTACCCCGCCGAACCAACACCAGCTAGAGCTAAGGCCGGAACACTCCGCGTTGTGACATCACAGATTCACGAACGGGCTGACCCGAGAGGAAGGCTTCTCTGCAACACATGCTCTTTTTTTTCTTGTATTTGTTTTCCCCTGGAACGCAAAACAACGCATGCTCCGCCCAATTTTTTTTTTTTTTTTGGCAGCTGTGCAGTGACAATTTTTGCCTCCTTAGTGCACGGAAGGCTTGTGCAAGGCTGCAGCAGGAGTATGCAAACTGCTTTAACCGTCTCCTTCGTGTTTTGTGTGCATGGCGGTTAGCGCATCGTGCTTGGCGAGTTACGGGCAGCTTTTGGGCTAGCCATGCCTCATAAATGCTGTGTCCCTGGATGCTATGAGAACTATGAAACGCTTTCTTGATGAAAGTACCTGTATTTAAGTTTCCAGAACTGCAAAAAGCATGGGTGCGGGCAAACCCTCGAGAAAATCTGGTGCTATTGATGCATGCCAGGGTGAAAACTTAAATATATTTAACAACACATTTTTTTAATTACTTTTCTTTTGTTAAATTTTACGCTGTTGTGTTCTGATTTGTATAGCTGCGTTGTGTTAGCAACATATGTACAAATCATCATCATCACCATAGGATCTGTACTTCATTTTCGTCTTTGTCGATAAAAGTCAGTCTGATTTGGAACGCTGACTGGGCTGGTCCTGTTCTTTTTCTCTGCTGTGTCCCTGAGGACACCACAGCTGACATGGCAGCGAAGTCGACAAGTACAAGCTAGCTCGTGTTGTTTGTTTTACAAACTTTTCTTTGTAGCGCATGCTCCCATTCACAAAACCAAGGTCAGGAGCCTGCAGCCTTCGCTCCCTGTCCCTCTCTTGTTCCTGTCTCTGTGGCACATATTATCTAAGGAATCAATGTAATCTCTTCAACTGAACTCGGGCTCAGCTATGTCCTGCTGGAAAAGATTCAGACCGACAGCTTAAGAGACCGTTTCGGGACGTACTGGCAGCTGGCTGGGCTCGCAATATCATGCATCTATAAGGGAGCTCTATGAAGGAGACGACCGACGGGAGGAGCTTGAAAAACAAGCAGACATGCCACGGCCTAGCTGCGACATAGTCGTTCCCGAAGAGGCATTGTCACAAGCGATAAACGAGACCCTCCCAGTCCTATATAGTCGTGGCAGGATGCACAGTTCATGCCACTTTGAAAAAGCTGAAGTGTCACAAATGCAGGGCAGCGCTCACCGCAGAAGACAAGATGGCAAGTTTCACTCACGTAGGAGAATTGCTCTCTTGTCAAGGAACTAGATCGAGGGGGGCTTTTTTTATCCAAGTATGTTCGTCGTTAATGCCGTGAGACACAATTACGTTGTTGCTCAAGAACTTTCCAAACCAGTACCAGTTTGTCATTAAGCTCACAAAGAGACTACCAATCTATGATTGGTACTCTCATGTTCTCAAAGTGAGCAGTCTACCAACGAGACTCCTCACTTTGACACCTGTGAAGAATGTTGGTACAAGTGAGGTCACGCTGAAACACTTGTGGTGCAGCACAAACACTGTGCTGAACAACTATTGTGGAAAGATGAACGACCAGATTCATGAGGCCGATTCCAAGTCGAAGAAAAGGAAATGTGAATCCCTAGATCTAAATAATTAATTTATATTCCACGCAACAGTTGTCATAACATTATCATTGTGCAATGGCATTAAAGTCTACATGCCATACATGCACTTAGTCTTTGTGTCGCAAAAGCTACAGAATGACATCTAAGATGCTTGTGTTCGAATCCTGTCAAGATGGGTACCAGAAGAAAGTATGGATACACGAGAAGATAAAATTTGAAGCTTTCAAAGGTGAGAAAACTTCTATTCACAGCTTCTATTCATATGTGAATTAATGCAGATGGTAGTGGGCACGAAGCTCCCACACATCCGTTCCTTACTGAAAATTATGTCTGAAGTTTGCACTAAGTTTGCCTGCCCTCAGTTCAATCAGAGCTTGTACATTTTGATTTAGACGGTGTCCGTCAGTCTTTTTTCTGTCTTTTCTGCATTTACTTTTTTTTCTTTTTGTGCCCCAGTCAAGCACTGCCCAGCTCGCCTGCCGTTTGCTTTGTTAAATTATTTGTTTAGTTCTGCTAAAAATTACATTTGAACACATCACTTTTTTTTTTTAACTCCGAAAGAGCATCAGTCTACAATTTTTAAATATCCTTCTTTTGAAAAGTATTAAAATTATATGTTTTAGATTAATTACTTTATTATAAACATTCCCAAGCTCGCCTGCAGTTCATTTTGAAATGACTTGTTAACTTCTGCTAAAAATTACATTTGAACAAACTACATTTTTTCAAACTTCACAATAGCATCAGTCCACAATTTTTTTAATACCAGTAACCATAGATGTGCAAGCAGCACCTCCTCGACTGTTGCTGTTATGCACTTCAGCGGGTCTCTTCACTTCTTAGAATAACGTTTCAGGGCAATCATTCTATGTTTGTTTGTGTCTACTCGTTTCTGGAGACAATTAATGCACCAAAGAGTTGGTTGCCTAAAACAAAAACTCATCTTTCGCAAAACGTCATTAAAGAGATGGTGAACCAAAATATGGATTTCAGAAAATAATGCAGGAGTGGTAGGCGGGACGCTAGAATCCCTACAACACCACCCATAAGGCGATATCTCGAATGGACGGCCATATTTTTAGAAAAAGAGGTCCCGATTGAACGAGGCCGACGAGGCGCGTGACGTCAACATATCTCGTTTCCTCCTCTCCGTTTCACCACCTCAAGGCGGCGAGGCGGAGAAGACGCAAGGCTGTTTCCTCTCCTTCTCGACTTTTATCGGCGAAACAAGACGTCAACGTATCTGTCAAATGCGCCTCTTAATTTAGAAAAATACGGTCATCCGTTCGAAATGTTGCTACATGAGTGATGTTTTGGTGTTTGTAGCAGCCCGTTGCACTCTTCTGCCGCCATGTTCTGTGGAATCCAAATTTTGGTTCAGCATCCCTTTAACAATGTTCTTGCATACCATAACAATAAAGGCCGGTTCACTTACTTGCGACCTCTTAGAACCGGGTGCCTTGGAACCTCTTAATACCTCTTACAACAAGAGGACACACTGGCACCATCTATTGGGTAGCAATGTAAACTTGATGGTCCGGCATATTTTCTATTTTTCTCGCACATTATCCTTTCTTTCTTGGCTCGAAAAACTTTTGTGAATGTTATAAACGAGCCTTTCTTATAGGTGTTACGCACCTTTGACCTCGGAAATTCCGCAAAGCCTTCGTTCTTGTGAATTACAGTTCCAGGGTCACCGCATAGATGACGCCAGAGTGCCAGTGCCAGTGCGTTCTCTCATCCCAAGAAATTCTAAAAGGTTTCAAAACAGGTCTCGTCTCTCTCGATCATACTCGGTCGCAAGAGTGTGAACGGGCCTTAAAGGGATACTACAACGAAATTTCGGCGCTAATTTTTTGGTCTATATCTGTTCAACGAAGCAGCATCACATGGAACATACCAATATCTTGTTAAAAAAGTCACGAAAAGGAATTTTAATACGAATTAAACGATTACCAAAGAGCACCTGGTGGATGTCGCTAGCGCCTCGCTTGTAATGCCCGTCTAGGAACCTTGACAGCTAGTGACGGAGGTTGTCTCGCCTCCGGCCACGACAAGAGAAGGGGGGAAGGAGGAACTCCCCTCTTCCCGAGAATCCCTTTTGTGTGTCGCAGAAGTCGCTATTGTCCCCCTACAAGATTATAGAAGATTAACCCGTCACTCAAAGTTCGTACAGAAGCAGCCGCTTCGGTGGCTGGAACGACTAGGCCATCCTCTCGACGTCAGCCTCGCCGTAGCTTTGCTCGTCTTGAGACGACCTACGTGACAATTGCGTTGGATGTCACGTGGTCTCCGCTGGGCCTTCTCCGAGCGCTTGCCAGCGTGGGACGTTTATAACGAAAAATACAGCCACCAGGCTCAAAATACAAACGTGCGATTGTCATTTACGGATATTGTGGATCATATTCAACCTATTTTTGAAGACGACGGGAATATTTCAAATATTGTTGAAGTATCCCTTTAAAGAGATAGTTCAACGAAATTTGAAATATTCCATATATAGACCAAAAAATGAGCGCCGAAATTTCGTTGTAGTATTCCTTTAGGTGTACGTCCTGAGACTTATCAATGCTGAATGCTGGTCTAGTTGGTATTGGTCTTGGGTTGCCAAAGGCATAGTAGTGCTTTTTAGACGAGGACAAAAGAAAGAAAGAAAGACAGACACGAGCGCTGCAACAAGGAACATTTAAAAGGGCCCGATGCACTAGAAATGAGACTTATCAATGCTGAATGCTGGGCTAGTTGGTATTGGTCTTGGGTTGCCAAAGGCATGGTAGTGCTCTCGACAGCGCTCGTGTCTGTCTTGTCTTTCTTTCTTTTGTCCTTGTCTAAAAAGCGCTAACATGCCTTTGGAAACCCAAGACGTCCTAAGAGGCTGCCCGTGTACAAAAATATGTTGCCCAGTCATATACTAGATGTTTATACTCCCGTTTTACCTATTAGCAAACGCTTTTGTCAATTAAAATGCCATACTAAGTTGGTAAATCTATGCGCGACGCCTTCAGTCCAGCGCTTTTCTGCCGCCCTAGCCAGCCGACTTGGCCGACTCGTGTGACGTCACCAGAGGATCGCTGCAGCCTTCAGCTCTAGGTGGCAGGGACGGCGCCAACGGGAGGCGAGGGGTGGCGGGCGCCTCCCCTAAAATTTCTTCTGCCACCCCAAGATGAAGCAGCTTTGTTCACAAATAATTACCAACGACGTCGGCTTGAAGACCCAGTGTAACGAGTGTCCAGACTTTAGAGCAGTGCATGCCTTTAATTTACCCTTTTTTTTCTATTAACGTCCACCCACTGGAAGTCGCACCGCGAGCGAGTAAGCTGTCAAGCGCTTTAGAAAAAGAAGCTCCCCTTTGTGACGCCTGCTGGCTTTTCTCTCCGTATTCCGCTCTGTGGTGCTTATCTTAGCGGAGACCGGAGACGTGAACGAAGGGGAGCTTAGTTAAAGTCGAGGTCATGGGGAATTCCGGACTGTCTCAGAAAGGGAAGCAAAACCTGGTTGGGAGTCTGAGCATTGGAGACAGAAGTCCCTACTGTGATAACCCCCCCTCCACCCCCCCCCCCCCCCCCCCCCCCCACTCTTCCTTCTCGTGTCTCCGCATTTCCCTTTTCAATGAGCACACCGCATAAGCTATCTTCGATAAGCCCGTGGGCGACAGCACCTCAGAGCAACCCCCCCCCCCCCTTCCCCCCAATTTGGTTCGCCTCCCCACTGCCCCCCCATTATGAAGATCCTGGCGCCGTCCCTGCTAGGTGGGGTTGGCCGAAACGCTGAACTTCCCGGATGCGTGGAGAGGGCACTGCGGTTGAACGAAATGGTGCCGCCCTGAGAACGTTAAAAGGAACGATCTATAGATGCTTGTGGCATATGCCAGCTGAACCAACGTTACTAGAACACTCAGTTGGGAAACTCGCCGTCGAAACCTGGGTTGCTGGCGTCCACCGAGACCGACAACTTTTCTTGGCAATGCAGTGGAAGGTACAGGCCCGCGTCCCCTCTCCCATTTTGAGTGTACGCAGGCTCTCCTCGTCCCCTTTTCCGGGGAGAGGAGGAGAGCCCGCGCACAATCAAAATGGGAGAGGGGACGCGGACCTGTACCTTCCACTGCATTGCCAAGAAAAGTTGTCGCGGAGTATAGTAACCTTGAGCTGAACGAAAGAGAGAGAGACACGAGGAACATACACATGCACTCCGCTGGACTAACAACCATTTACTGAATAACATCTTTTCCAGCGGAGTGCATGTGTATGTTCCTTGTGTGTGTCTCTCTCTCCGTCTTGTACATTTTTTCCTTCGTTCAGCTGGCATATCCCACAAGCATAAATAACCAACCTGCTCAGCTTCAGGCGATCTATAGATTTTGCAGCGTCGCGACCGTCAACCCGCCTAAATACGAAAGCGGAAATATATGGATGTGCTAAGCAAAAAAAGAACGTGCACAAGAACGTTTCTGGCGGACGACCGAAACGTAGTGTTGCTTTAAAGCAACGACGTTGCTCGTCTGGCGCGTGTGTGTGTCTCTCTCTCCGTCTTGTACATTTTTTCCTTCGTTCAGCTGGCATATCCCACAAGCATAAATAACCAACCTGCTCAGCTTCAGGCGATCTATAGATTTTGCAGCGTCGCGACCGTCAACCCGCCTAAATACGAAAGCGGAAATATATGGATGTGCTAAGCAAAAAAAGAACGTGCACAAGAACGTTTCTGGCGGACGACCGAAACGTAGTGTTGCTTTAAAGCAACGACGTTGCTCGTCTGGCGCCGCGTACTCCTTGGGTTGTACATCCCTACATCTTGCCTTTCCGTCGTTTCCTCGGTTTCCTCCACCTTCAGACTTCGCAATGCTTCTGTTTAATTCCTTCACTACTTGTAACGTCGGCCCAGCCAGCACAGCGCCGGAACACAGCCGATTGGTTTGTTGTCTTGGAGCCTTTCAATGTGCTCGACGACGGTCGATTTCTCAGTTCTTTCGCCCGTTTCACACAGATCAAGGTTCGCACTGTTATCACTCGTTCAGATCGAAGTGGCAATCTAACCTGTTTATTTATACTTAAACTGCTCGAAGCAGAAATTCGGAACTCCCCAACGTGGTGCCCATTTCGCGCTAGTCCTGCCACTCGCTCTGGGCTTGCGGCTGCTGTAGTGGCGCTAGTGGTCAGTCAAACAAATGTCAAACCGAAACCGTTCGGTAAAATGGGGAAGAGTATCTGCAGTACCAGCCCGTAACAGCCGACAAGCGAATCAGGAGCAGCGACTAACATAGTCTTTGATTAGAGCCGAACTTATAATCGTTCCTTTTGTTTTTACCCAGTTCCGGATTTTTCACGTTGGCGGATGTTTATCGGTGTCTCTCCGTTAAAACCGTGAAGTCGGTAGCCCAGATATGAGCGTATGGCTGCCCGCTTCTTTCCTTCGTGCTAATTCCTTAAAAAAAATTCGCAATATTTTTAGAAAAAAAATAAATAAATAACAATTTTTTTTTGTATTAACCAAAGTTGTAGGACCGTGGTTAGACAAGCTGACCCAAGGATGAGCAAAATTGTGGGCCAGAACATATATTCATTGACAGCGCACACACACACTTGGACGCTCAGTCATACACGTGCATTTGCAACGAAAGAGTGGTCGAAGTACACCCAGGGGCGGATCCAAGGGAAGGGGGGGGGGGGGGAGGGGGAGGGGGAGGGGGTGACGGGGGCGGCCGCCCCCCCCCCCCCCCCCAACAAAGTCGACCTCCCCCCTTCTTGGGGGGCAATTTTACATGGGTGGACCCCCCCCCCCCCCCCCCGGTGCACACAAAAGAATGGGATAATAGCATCCTTACAAATTTTTCGCCCCCCCCCCCCCCCCCCTTCCCAAACGGGGTTCTGGATCCGCTCCTGAGTACACCCACAACTTTATTTAAAGACTCCTCCACGACGCACTCGCCTTCGGGTTCAAACTGTTGTTGGTTTGCTCACACCAGTTTGGGCACACACCAGTTTGTTCACACACGATTTTGGGCACGCACCACCTCATAGGGGCGTCAAAATCATTCGGGAGAGGGGGACGCGGGGAGGGGGACGAGCAAGTCTTTTTGGTCTCCCCATTCCGATGCCACTGCCATTTCAGGCCCACATCGCTTTGGGCACACACCAGTACTGGTACACACCCGTTTGGGGGCAACCAGTTAATTCCCACACCAGCCTAGGCACACAAGACCCCGCTACTCCTGCTGCTCCTGATTCGCATGCTTCCTCGCCAGGTGCCCCCTCAAGTCAGATGGCTTGATGAACCCTTTCCCGCACAGCTCGCATGTGTGGGGGTACTCCTTAGTGTGCACGAGTACCTCGTGCTTCCTCACGTCCGACAGATAGCTCGACCGGAAACCGCACAGGCCACAGCGGTGTGGCTTGGCGCCCGTGTGGACACGGCCGTGCCGGGTCATGTCGCTCTTCTTCACGAAGCTCTTGCCACACTGGGGGCAGACGTACGGCCGCTCGCCTGTGTGGGTCCTTTCATGGGTCCTCAAGTTGCCCAGCACGGCGAAGCTCTGCCCGCAGGTGGCGCACACGTGTGGCCGCTCTCCCGTGTGGGTCCTCGTGTGCCTGGTCAAGCTGTCCTGTAGTGTGAAGGACCGGTCACAGGTGGCACACACAAAGGGCTTCTGCCCCGTGTGGGTCCTCTCGTGGGCCACCACCTTGTACTTGTAATCGCTGGTGTAGGGGCAGCGGCTGCACCGGTGTCGGGGCTCGAGCTCCCCGTGCACGGTCTTGCGGTGCTTCTCCAGCAAGTCCCACGAGGAGAAGACACCGGTGCAGTTCCAGCACGAGAAGGTATCTACGGTCGCCAGGATGGATGGTGCCTCTTCTTGGTCTGCACACAGAAGCAGAGATGAAGGGGGGGCAGTGTTAAGACGGCACATATGCCTAAAGCTGGGATTACACGTTTGTGATACCGACTACTGTCCCCCGTGGGTTAAGAATAGCGGGGCAGGCTCTCCCTTGGACCCCTTAATCATTTCCACTTTAGCAGAGCGAACACCAGAGAGGGGAAAACCATCAATCATGGCGAACAGAGAGCTTTGTCCCGCTATTCTTAACCTATAACAGACTATACGGAGTGCAAGTTTGTCCGCTTCCTGTGCGGGGGCTGTGGCGACGCCCGAACGCCCAGCCCTAATTGGCCCCGATTGGAGGGATAGTGGCTGCACCTCGAGCCAGCTAGCATTGAGGTCTACCTACTATCCTTCTAATAAGAGCCAATTGAAGCTCGGTCAATACCATAAATATAATGACATTAAAGAATACAAAACACTCGAGACAAACTGATGCTCTTTTCATAACTCGACACATCAACAAGCGCAAGAAATACAATCATTCACGAAAGAAAATTTGTCAAGAAAACAACACATTAACAAATCAGCTCTTCACAACTTTGTTTAACCAATGCCAGGTCTGAAAAAATGACACAACTTGAAAGTCTATAGAAAGGCAAATGGGGAAAATGAAAACAAGTTACTAAGTATGTCTAAAGATTGTTTTCTCGAGGAAACATTCTATTCGCAAAAATCCATCGGGCTCAAAGGCTGTGCAAAAGAGTAAAACTCCTGTACACGACTTGGACTGACGCCACATCAGTGGCCACGGTGGTGGCACTGGTGCCGAGTCTGTCCCACCTGCAGCACACATTTTGCAGCACCCAACTTGTTTTTCTCCTAAACAACAAGTGTATCGTCTTCCAATGCTTGCCCATGTAGTCTGAAGGGGCTGTCGCAGTCCTCGCAAGGCAAAGTGCCTGCCTCATTGAAGGGCAGTCTCTCTCATTGGTCTGTATGGAAGGGGAAAAAGATGGGGTTAGGGAAAAACGTTAGTACAGCATACCAGCTTAGCTGGGATTATATTTGTAACCCCAACTATATTTGGTATATGTTTTTATGGGTAAAGGCAATTTTTCTGAATTGCACTAAAATGCCAACTCCATGAGAGTCTGCTAGGCTCGCAATCTACCATAAAGAAAATGACAATGAAAAAGTTTTTTGATTGCAACTTGCCATTTATGTAGTTATGTTTGCATGATCTTGCTATTTATTGGATGGATGGATGGTAATGGCCATACCCTTTGTAAAGGGCAGCAACTTTGTGTATCAGTGTTGCCTTTTCTGGCTTTTATTTTTTTTATGCAGATGAATTGTCTATTGTTATTAACATAGTATGCAATGCTGCTTGTTTCGTGTACCAGCCTTTGTCCAGGCAATGACCAATGGCTGATGTTGGCTTGAAATTGGCCTAGCCAGCCGGGCTACTGGCTAGGCTGTTTTCCACTGAAACCTAATGATCAAACTGTTTCCGGCAAAGGAGTTTGGCCACTGACTGCCAATACCAAAAGATGTTGAGCATGTCCAGCTGATAAGAATAATTTCATTTGGATCCTTGGAGCGACGGGTAGGGGCACACAAGGGAAGCAAATTTTACATGATTAGACCCCGGCGGTGCCAGCATCCCCATAGATTAGACAGCAGTAGAGGTACATTCAATGATATCTCCAACCAAGAAAGAAACAGTCTAATCAAACAATATAGCACACTAACACATGACTCCAACACCAGTCTTATAAATAAAATGTAAAAAAGTAGAGATGGGCTAGTTGGTGGAAATTTAACACGGTGTAGGTATGACAGTGCGTAACAGCGAAGAATAAGAGGAACACACAACATAGGACGAGCGCTGACTCACTACTAAACTAAATGTTTAATAGTGAAAACATAAAACGCACACTCAACCACGCATGCACCACCTAAACTTGTTAGTCGATGCTGCAAATACCACAAAGCATCACTGGAAATATCAAATGAAAATCACGTTATTTAGAATGTGCCACATCATTCTTCACTTGTGCACAATCTTCTGTTCCTGAGGCACAAAACGTTGAAGAGAACCACATTCGTAAAGGCTAACACACAGTTACCATGTTGCCTACTCCACACCTCTCCGTAATCGCAGGTATTACTACACTGCACAATGGTAACCGCACAGCCCCATGGCGTCCATTTGGAATCCATGGCCCCGTCGCGTTCTCGCGCGTGTGCAGACGTTTGCCGAATCTCTGCTGATCTTTTCTTCAAAAGCTCGCCATGTGCCGAACTTTGCCAAATCTGAAGTTTGGCACATTCGGTCCATCACTAATAAATACCAACACAGTTAAACAAGTGATGAGTGCCATCTGCTTGGACAATGAAGGCAAATGTTAAGATTAGGTTGGACTTAATGGCTTTGTGAAACCCAATCCTCAAAAATTTATCCTAGATGAAGAAATTTCAGGAACCACTGTCTCGTTCACTCTTTCTACGTGGGCTGCAGAGGTTCTTGCACAAGTGTTTCCTTCAGGTCAACAACGCACTTCTCTTCCTCGTCTTTGCTTGGGAACCGAGTCTTTCCTGATCAGCCGTCTGCCAAAAGAGTTCCTCTATGGTTCTGTAAGAAGGAGAAGAAGCAGCAGTAATTCACTTCCAGCTCTTCTTTCGAGTTCATCTCTCCTAGGGTTGTACAACCCAGCTCAGCCACGCTGGTGGCAAAATAGTACTCATAGGCTTCAGTTCCTGCCGTCACTTTTCCGCGTGGAATTCGATGTTTCGTAATCCACTCAACCACAGTAGTCATCAACGGGTTTTAATTCCACGAGGTCGTGTCATGCGACCCCTCAACAGCACCTTACGGGAGCGCAGTCCAGCCATGATCTGTGCTCGCCTGTCGCACTTCTGTTTAGAAATAAGCTTGCGGTGACTCGTGCCGTGGTTCTCGTTTGCAAGCCACGCCATCCACCGCGACTCGCGTCTATCTGAAGCATTGACGCTGAAAGCAGCTTTCAACGCCGGCCCATGCCTAGAACTCGCAGCGTTGCGACCGTGAACACGCCTCCATCGCAACGACGTAGCTCGTCTGGCGCCGCGTACCCCTCAGGTTGTCCGTCCCCACCTCTTGCCTTTCCGCCGCTTTCTCCACCCTCGGACTTCGCAATGCTTTTGCTCAATCCCTGCACTACTTGAAACGTCGGCCCAGACAGCACAGCGCCGGAACACAGCCGCTTGGTTTGTTGTCTTGGACAAAGCCTCTCTTGGAGCAGGGCCGAGAGCATTTCGATGTGCCTTCGACGGCGCTTCCATCCTGTCGCAATCGACGGTCGATTTTTCAGAGTTATTTGGCCCGTTTCACAGAAATAAAGGTTCGCACTGTTACCACTCGTTCAGAACTAAGTGCCAATCTATATTGATACTTAAATTGCTTAAACCAGAAACAATTTAAACAGCAACACCGGAACACCCCAACGTGGTGCCCATTTCTTTTTACGCTAGGCCTGCCACTCACTCACTACGCTCACTACTGTCTTGCGGCTGCTCTGGTGGTGCTAGTGGTCAGTCAACCAAATAGTAAACCGAAACCGTGCGATGAAACAGGAATAAGTACAAAGTGACTTGACATAACAGAAAAAAAAATTTCATTAGACGTTTCGCCTCCCATGCGGGAGGCATCTTCAGTAGTTACAACAGACAATAGACAGGATGACATCTTTTGAGACGTCGTTCTGTCTATTTTCTAGTGATGGGACGAATCTTTATCCGAATCGAGATTCGGCGCCGAATCTGCAGATTCGGAAAGATTCGGAAAAGTAGCCGAATCTCAAGCGATTCGGAAAAGTTCGGAAAGATTCGGAGCGTTGCCAGGGTTGCTAAATCACGTTGATGTGTGTTTCAACTTTTTTGTGATATTAAATTCACTAAATTCTACAAAGTACACGAAAGATTATTGTAATATAATATCACAGTAATAAATAAAATGTTCCACTTTGTTTATATTATTTTGGATGGTTATCGAGAACGGTAGCCAGACATCGCGGGAAAGTTGGTTTCGGTTCTGGATTACGACCCAAATAGGCATGCTTGATGCACGCACGTGGAAATACAAGCGCATGTTTTCATCGCCGCAAGAGATCGATGCCGTTAGTGCTGTTCGGTACAGACACATTTCGTGCCGATAATTACTGTCAGTGTGGCACACACCACACAAGTGAGTATGTTCGATTCGATTATCTCCAACGATCGACTATCCACTGAGGTATTGCTATCGGAACACGGGAAACAATCTGAAACTTCGTTAATGCATGCTATCCGATTTAGTTAGTGTCTGTTTCCGAACAATGAAGTTGCGTTGGACACCCCTATATTCTGTTTCTTTTTCATCAAATAAAGTTCACGTATACAAAACTTGCTTCTGAGAACGGAGAAACGACAGTGCCACGTTTTTCTTTGCCACCGGTATCTCGCTCTCGCGACTTACATGTACAGACATACGCAGCTCTCGAGAAGGAAACGAATCATTTCCTACTTCAACCACACCGATCAGCTCAGCTGGATCTGGGAGCGTGCCAGGGTCTAGAATGACAGTACAGTACATACCATACGTTGAAATAAACAAGACGAATTCTGGTTATATGCAGTAACAGTAGCTAGAAAAGCACAACTGACCGCATTCGCGAGGTTTACGACAAGGTTCATGCTGCCGCCTGCAACCAGCGACGATTCGGACGAATCTCCGAATCTGCCGAATATTCGTCGAGGGAAGTTCGGAAATTTCCGAATCTGTCCGAATCCGAATCTCGGGTGATTCGTCCCATCACTACTATTTTCTGTCTCTTCTACGTTTTGATGTTTCTTCTCTACCCCAGTAATTCAACATGGTTAATATTCACCAGCTCGCCTGCACCCTTACGATTTTTTCTATGCCCACCTGTTGAAGAAACCTAACCAAATATGTACCTAAATTATACTCCTTCAGCTGACCCCCGAGTTTTTCCTGGCTCACATTATCGTACGCTCCCTTGATGTCCAAATAAACTGACCATAAAGGAGTCTGTTTCTTCATTGCTATTTCTATACATTGAGTGGTGACGAATAAGTTATCTTCCAGTTTTCTGTCTCTTCGGAATCCATTTTGGAGCTCGCCCAGTATTTGCATATCTTCTGCCCATTGCTCCATTCTTCGCTTTACTATCTGCATAGCTAATCTGTATAGAACTGAAGTTACCGTTATCGGGCGATATGACCTAATGCTGTCCTTGTTTCCTTTGCCTTTATATATTCGTTTCATTTTACTTCGTTACAATCATTGGGTACCTCTCCTCCCGTAATTACTTAGTTAATCGCATGCCGTAACTTCGATTTGCTTGCTTTTCCTAGTGTCTTTATGACTTCCATGAGTATGTTTATTTATTTATTATTTATTTATTCATACTGCAGGCCATTTCAGGCTCAAGCAGGGTGGGACAACAAGAAAGAAAAAAACATAACTAAACAGAGTAAACCAATAAATGTGGTACACTGGAGGTCACAAAAAAAAAAATACACAAGTTCAAAGGGTGTATAGATAACACAACAATGGGGCCACTGATAGCAAAATAGAGCACATAAAAAATAAGGTAAGAACGATAATGACACGTTGTATTTTAAAATCATGACTACAACATTACTAAAATATTTTTAAAAAAAACATGCAAGCGCGTTAGAAATGCGAAAAACATGCATCAATAACAAATTGTTCTACGGTCGTACATGCAACAATCCCGTCAGGTAAAAGATTCCATTCATCTACAGTTCTGGAAAAGAAAGAAAACTTGAACACATTGGGTGACGATCTAAAGGGTCGAATGTGGTGCGAGTTGTTTATTCTACTGGAGTGCTTGAAGGGAGGGAGCAAATACATGGTAGGATCGATACCGGTTTGCCTGTTCGCAATACAGTACAAAAGTTTTAGCCTAGCTAACTTACGTCGGGCGCACAAAGGTTCTATGTTTGACAACGACAACATCTCAGTGATAGAATCCGTCCTTTTGTACCTGCCGTACACAAACCGTAGACTCTGGTTTTGTATACGTTCGATTTTAGAAGAACTAACTTTGGTATAAGGATCCCATACTACAGTGCCGTACTCCAACATTGGCCTTATTAGGGTCTTATAGGCGGTTAGTCTGGTGGATGTTGGTGCCAGCTTTAGTTTTCTTCTAATGAAACAAAGTTTTCAGAAGGCAGCTGAACATATATTATCTACTTGCAAGCTCCAGCTAAGGCCAGGAGTGAGCGTTACTCCCAGATATTTCACGGAGTCGACTTTGGAAACGGGGGAGCCATCAAAAAGGTACTCAAAACTTAGAGGGCTTTTTTTCTTAGTGAATGTGATCGCTGCCGTTTTTTGTAGATTAAGTTTCATCTGCCATTTCTTGCACCATTCAGACACTGAATCCAGGGCGTTGTTGAGCATAATCTGGTCCTCGACACTCTCCACTTTCGTATACAGGACACAATAGTCAGCAAAAAGCCTGATCTGGATTTTTTTTTTATCTATATCGTTCACAATGTCATTTATGTAGACAAGAAATAATAACGGGCCTACGACCGATCCTTGGGGGACACCGGGAAAAAACGTCAAGGGAGGGAGAACGGGAACCATTGATTTCAACATATTGCTTCCGATTGTACAAATAGCACCTTATCCACTGCACCAAGTCCTCACTAATACCAGTTTTTCTTAATTTAAAAAGTAGTGCATCATGAGGAACAGTGTCAAAGGCTTTCGAAAAGTCGTTAAAAACGGCGTCAGCTTGCCCCTTTTTCATTAAGAATGCTTGCCAAGTCATGCACGGTGCAAACGAGCTGGGTAGTGGTAGAGCGATTACGCCGAAAACCATGCTGGGATTCAGTGAAAAATTTGTTGCTTTCGAGGTAATCAGTAATATGCTTGTTTACAATGTGCTCAAGAAGTTTGGAAGATATGCAAGTCAAAGATATGGGTCGATAGTTCGAAACGGAAAGCTTATCGCCCGTACTACGCGCGCGCAAAGCCAGTCGACTGGAACAAGCCTTTCTTTAAAAGAGGACGTAAATATTATACACAGAAACATTGACATCCACTCAGCATACCTCTTCATAAATTCAGCAGGAATGTCATCTGGGCCAGACGCTTTTTTACTGTCTAAATTAAGTAACATAGCAAAGATACCTTGGGCTGTCACAGTTAGGTCAGACATGGGAATAGAAGTGCAACCTGAAGGTGCAAGGTAGTCTACAGCGTTTGTTGGTCTGGTAAAGACAGACTGAAAATATGTATTAAACTCACTACTTATATCCCTTGGAGTGTCTATGACTACATTTCGTATTTTAACTTTCTCAACCACTGCACGTGAGGGAGACAGATATCGCCAGAATTTTTGAGGAGAATCTCGCATAATGGTAGGGAGAGTTTGCGAAAAAAAGGCTGTTCGACCCTCCACAATTTTTTTCCTTCAAAGTAGAACACATATCTTCGAAACTCGACGAGCTACAAGCTCTCCGTCGGCGGAGTCTTTTAATTCGCCTTATCAAATGGATTACATCTCTTGATATCCAAGGATGCGGCCTGTTAATGGTTATTTTCCTTTCCGGAACAAAGCGTTCGATGCAGTAACTAACTGTGTCTCTTAACATCTGCCAAAGGAATTCTGTGTTTCCGGAGGAATTGCTGAATGCATCGAATCTTGTTTCAAGATAGTCGAGTATACTGACATCGTCCGCTCGGCCAAAATCCCGTATCAGCTTACGAGACGGAGCTTTCACTGTAGCCTCAGGAAAACAAAAAAACTAACGATACAAGATCGTGGTCTGATATGCCTTTATGTATGCTGACCTCACAGGGCATAGAAGGACTCACGAAAGCTAAGTCAAGTATAGAACTTGTTGTTGGTGTAACCCGCGTTGGCTGAGTAACAACCTGTGAAAGGTTTACGTTGGAAAGTAGGTCAAGTAAAATTGACTCTTTTTGCGTATTTGACGTGGTTAGTCAGATTATTCCAATCAGTTCCGGGAGCATTGAAATCACCAACAACAACTTTAGTTCTATTTCTAACTAATCCAGATAAGTAGTCGTATAGCGTCTCCAAAAAAACACCAGGCACATTTGGAGGCCTGTAAACAACGCCAAGAACAAACACAACCTTTCCGACTTCCACTTTGCACCACAAGCTCTCGTGGTTTTGAATTCCTTCCAAGACAGAGCAACAAACATTGTTTTTCGCAATGATAGCCACACCCCCGCATCGGGATGAACGATCGTGTCGTATTATCTGATGAGTCGGAGGAACAAGTTCACAATCAGAGATACCAGAATATAGCCATGTTTCCGTTATCGCTGTTATGTCAGCATCATATTCATATAAAACGCCCTCGACGTCAGCAAGTTTATTCAATACGCTTCGCGCGTTAAGTAGTACCAAGCGACAACCTGACGACTGTCATTCATTGCGTTCTGGTGTGTGGCGATTTTCATTATTTATCTGAACTCGACAATTCGCATGCTCATCCCAAACAAAGGTGTCTCGATTTATGTGAAGTTTGTCGTAAAATAGTTGAACTTTATCGCCGTTGTCTCGATTCTCTTTCGACGACTCCCATAGCCTTTTTCTTTTTAGCAGAGTATTCCAGCAGAAGTCTTCCCCCAGAAATAACCGCGAACCTTTCAGTTTCGAGCAATTTTTCAGTACTTCCTGACGTTCCTTATAGCAAGCAGTCTGAACCTGTCGCTGTACCTATTGCAACTTTACTTCTGCCTTGTCCCATTCTTTTGTAGTTGTCTCCATGTTCCTCTTCAACACTGCTGCTGACCGTGCTATTCACTCCGTCAACACATCGTTGCCAGCGCTTCTTCCACGCGTGGTATACACTCCCTGGAAGTCTGCAATCGGAATCTCCCTCAAGCTCTGCGTCGAAGCCGTATGAACCCTTTCCAATGTCACATAACGGTGTCCTTTCGGGCGTTGATTCCTCCGAAGGAAGAGAAAAAAGCCGGGCGGGGACAGGTCTGGGGTGCAGGGAGGTTGAGGCAGCGTTGCCACGTTGTGCTTGGCCAGGAACTCCCTTGCGCGTAGCGACGCCTGGCTCCGCGCATTTGACCGATTTGGCACACACTTTCCTTGACTGCAAATCGTCTGACAATGGACGCTGGATTTCTGTACATTCAAGTTTTTTGCAATCCTTCTCATTTTTACACGTCGATCAGAGTCCAAAAGTTGTTTTACTTTTGCCACATTTTCTTTAATGGGCTTGTCGAACGACGTCTTCCGCTTTGCTCCTCCTCGACGTCCTCCCATCCTTCTTGAAACTTTTTGTACCACTATGAAACTCATGTTTTTGGCATGGAACCCTCCCCGGAGGCTTCACAGATCGTGGCAAGAGTCTCATCATCGTATATGTTCAGTTTCACAGAAAACTTGGTCGCAAACCGCCATTCAATCGTGCACCGCGTCGTGATTCCCGACGACACAACAAAACAACTACTCACTCCGGGCGCGATCCACACCCTGCAAAGGCTTGGAGGCAACTGAACCGGGTCGCGTCGTTTGCCCAAAATACTCCACCTATGTCCCTGCCTAGGGAGGCCTCCCTGCACCTAGTCCCATTCGCTAGCGAAAATCAGTCCCGATACTTTTCTTTTTTTAGACAGATCCTGTATTCAAGTGGAAATCCTTTGTAAGTCACCGAAAACAGATACTGGAGGCAGTGGCGTAGGCAAGGGGGGAGGCGAGGGAGGGGGGGGGGGGGGGGAGTCGAACGAACACGCCCCCCCCCCCCCCCCCCCGCCCCCGTTCCCCGGGGGCCCGCTCGCTCCCCTGTTCACGCAGTCGGTTTTGCACGGAGCAAAGGCGAGCGCGGATTATCTCCAACTTATATGCTTTCGGGAAAAATGTTTGTGGGGTAGAAAATGCTCAAATAAATAAAATAGGCAATATTTCTTCATTGATGTGTATTTGATGGGATGCGGAACTTGAGCTCAGATATATAGAGGACGGATATTTCTAAACATTTGTGGGGTGAAGCAAAGTATAACAAACTATCCTCACTGAAATGCACAGTTTAATCAAACCAAAGCGAACATAATAAAACGAACACATTGTGATAAAAAGCAATGCCAGTGATATAATATTCAATACTTTGTAAAAACAACTGCACTCTAAGCAAGGGGTGGCGCTGCACTCACGTGTACTGATCAAAATTACGTGATTTCGACTAGAAATTACCGCGAATCAAAAAGGTAACTGTGACTAGTTATTTCAAAAAAACAATTTACATGCTCTCTTGACCATCTGATTTATGCCAAGCTCTTACACATTAAGATGCAGCCGTCTGCCTTCACGGCAAAAAATATCCAGGACGTCCTCCGCTTGAACTTCAATGTCGCGGTGTATATTCAAAAGCGCTAGACCGAGCAGTCGCTCATTCGAAGTGGACGCTCTCAGGTATGTTTTCAACCGTCGTATGCACTCCCGGCTTGAAGTCGGGCAGCACCACGCATTGGCCACATTCGCACCAAGTAAAGAAACCATACGCGGGCGTATTCAACTCGATGTATCCTGGGTCAAATCCCCACCCCTGCCCGTTTCGATCTGGATGAGCATCGTACCGGCGTGCGGTCGTGTATCACTACTAGCGGTTGTACCGCACTGGCTAAATTTCTCATCTACAACTGGGAGACTCGTCGCCCGTTGAGGCAGACCAAGTTCTAGGCTGTATAATCACACACACACAACCCAATTTTTTTTTTTCAACTCTCAGCCACGAGAAGGGACGACGGCTCGGCGACGTCTTCGTGCAATCGGCTTGCTCGTCGGGCGTGTCGTACTCGTAGTCGTACGGGATGAATATAAATTCTTTCGATCGGTCCAAAATTTCTCTCTAGAAGGAAAACGGAATTCGCCGGTACCGCGAACAACAGTTCTGAAGCAGTGGTCCCACGACCGCCGTCCACTGCCACCCGCGAGTCCCACGAAATGCGAAACGACGCCATGTTGAGAATCATACAGTGAACGCACCGGTTGACTGTGCAACCGGTGCAACCTTTTTTTTTTTTTTTTTTGTCAATCAACGTATTTGCAGCTTTTTGGAAGCCACAAAAAAATGGGTTTCATACTTTTTCTATTTTTAGTATTGACAATCTGCCTTCAATGACCCACGACTTTGATTGAATTTGGTGGTCGCGTCGAAACCTTAGAAAACGGCCCGCGACCACGGAAAAGGGAGTGAGCGCGACTCAAACCGGCCAGTTCTCGATCGGCGGTTTTCGGGCGGAAAGAAACCGAATTTCGAGCCGCACATTCTGTTCTGGGTAGTTGGGCTCTCATATGTCACGTACAACTAAAAACCTCGGCGAGCATGAACACTCTGTCAGTGTCCCTTTAACCTATCGCGTAACGATTTGGTAGATCGTTGGCCAAAGATGGTGCATTTTTTCTATAAAATTCGCAAAAAGCGAACTTACCCGAGGAAAAAGTAAAACAAGAAAAAGGCTTAAAGGCTCGTTCACACTCTTGGGACCTCTTAAAGGGGTACTGCAACAAAATTTCGGCGCTTATTTTATGGTCTATATGTGTTCAAAGGAGCAGTATCACGTCGGACGCACCAATATCTTGTTTAAAAAAGACACAGAAATGAATTTTAAAACGAATTAAACGATTAGCAAAGAGCACCTGGTGGATGTCGCTATCGCCTCGTTTGTAATGCCCGTCTAGGAGCCTCCGGCTACGGCGAGGGGGAAGGAGAAACTCCCCTCTTTCTGAGAATGGACCTTTTTCCAGTAAGGAGTGCCTCATGACGGTTTCGCCGCCTACTACAAATGGAGGGCAACCGGACTCGCCTTCTCCCATAGGAACAGAGTGCCCCCAAGAATGGCGAAAGGGCGGTCAAGGTCAAAGGAAAAGGGTGTGCGCGTGCGCAGACGCTTACTGGAAAAAGGGCCGCGACCGCCGCGGTCGTTTCGAAGACGTTTTCGCAATCGCGGCGCTAACACCTGTCCGACGCGCGAGGGTACAGTGACCTAGAGAGGGGGAGCTTCTAGCAAAGATTGCCGGAATGCCCGTAGCGCGGCAAAACGAACCTGCTGGGAAGGGGTAAGCAGGCGGCCATTACGAATTCTTCTGAGGCGAGATAGGCGAGATCAGGGGAGATGCCCCGCGAGAAAGGAAGTCACGTGTGTGCGCCGAGGGCTGGCCCGGCTGGCTTCCGGTTGAATCCGCCGAAATCGTCGGAGCGACTTTCCTCGGATCCAGATCGAGATCTGGAGCGGGAGCTAATCCAAAACGACCTGTGGAACACGTCCGTCTCGGTCCCGATCGCCCAGGGTATAAATAGGCTCGCTCCAGAAAAGTCAATCCCGGCGCGCTCCAAGACGATCATTGGAATTCGCCATAAGGAATCACAAGTGTGTGAACGGGCCTTTAATAACCGGTATTGTCTCAGTCGGTCGGAGCCGAGCGCAAGTCTGTGCACGAGCCTCAACATGTAACGTCACCCCCCTCTTTTACGAGCGCTGAAAACTGAATGTTATTTTCAGCATATCACCCTCATTTTCCGTTTTCTCAACGGCTTGTTTGAATTCAGAGATACTAAATAGCACGCCGGAGAGAGTCGGGTCTGAGTATTTCGAAAATGTGTATAATTTAAATACCCCCCTCCCAAAAAGAAAAAAAATGGAATTCAGTTTTGGAGTTAACCTAACTAACTACATTTTTGGGAATACCCGGCATTTACTCTTCCCGACATGCTAATTATTATGGGTAAACACAAAACAGTTAGAAATGACTGCAAATGAAGGCGATGCTCAAACCAACATTCAAATTTCCTCGCGCTCTTCAGTGGGGCGACGTCACATGCTGTAGGAATTGCAGGTCCAACGGCAAGCAGTATGTCGCCATTTTTTTTTTGTTTTACTGGAATAAACTTTTTAGGATTTACTTTGACTTAAAAATTAGTGCTGAAGAAGCTCGTTTATTTGCGCACGCACACTGGGTAAGGTTCTGTAGCGTGCTAACTTACCACCGCTTCACGCTGTGGTGCTCAAACACTCCCGGTGACCAATCCTCCAATTAACACCACCAAGCTTGTAACTTGTCGGGAGTAGGCTGAACGCCATATTGGAGGGTGCTGTTTAGAGCGCATGCTCAGATCGAGCTTAAATTAATAGGCTGCTATAACCGGTAATCTTGATAATGTGGAGTGCACGCTGCAGAAGAACATGTGCAAGCTCACCATCAGCACGCGCTCGAGCATTCGCGCACACAGGCATGGCCGCCAGTGGATCCTCCCTACACTAGGGGTGGCTAAACTGCTTGCGACTTCCATGGGACGTCGTCATTGGATTTTCCGAGTAAATATCGCACATCCGCTAGGGACACGCAACAATGCAAAATGCATTAAAAAATACAAAAAAAATGAAAGTTTTGTTTTCTTGTACGATCATCAGGCCAGACTTGGGACCTGAGGTAGCGAAGAAAAATATGAAAACGGTTTTCAAAACCTAGATTGGCGCAGACGACGCACCACGTGTAAAGTTTTGAAGAACAGTAGCCGGAATGTAGAGCACTCAGCCAGCTTAAAGGTTAGCCTTCAATCCCACGCGACGAATACATGTTTGTTAACAACGGAAAGAAAAGTTTCGACGGTGTAAGATAACTGCCTATCTCTGTTCATGGAAAAACCCATCCCCTCTTTACTTGAAGGCCGGTTCACAGCGCAGAATCGGCGCTGGAATTATTATTTACCACGTGCTTTTCAGTGGTGAGCGGCGGTATAACACCAATGCATAAGATAACTCGGCACAGCATCAGCGCCGCATCGGTGACTATCCAGTGCCGAATGGGCGTTGCTCCACATGTGTGAACAGGCCTTTTGACCGAGTGCTGGAGAGGAGGCGAGGAGAGGCTCGCCTTCTCTTCACCGTGGACAACCTGGAAGGAGTAGGGCTTTGTCAGTGGCGATTGTCCCGCTTCCCTAACCTGCGGCAGTTCGGCATATCATGAAGCGCAATTGTAACGCCACAGGTGCTACAAAGTGGGTCCCAACACGCGACCGACGAAGTTTGACACCATGAGAAACAGAAACAAACTAAAATAAGGTCACAAGTTTATTCAGTACTAAGGCCAAGAACACAACACAAGCAGACGCCTCGCAGGGCCGCCAAATGTCCTCAAGTCTGGAACCGCGGCTAAGAAGTAGGGGATCCGCCTCCGGAGCTTGAGTCAACGGTTTCTTCAAACGGCACTTTGGGTTCTGTGTTTGGAGTCTCACTGCGTGGCACTGGTTCCTGCCGAAGAACGAACCGCAGACAGAGACAGGTAAGCCAAGGAGCAAAATAAAAGGCCACATTCCATCGGACGCACCAGCCGATCGAACAACCCAGATGACAAAAGTAGCTGGGTTAAATTTGCAGCGTCAACCGAGGTAAACGCAAGGCGGAGAGGGGACACGAACTTCGTGACAGCGTCTGCGCCGAGGATGCCCTTACCAGGACCGTATACGGCACTGTCTGCCTAGAAGGTGGCAGCCCTGAGACTTTATTGAGAGGCGACGAGGACACGAAGGAGGGCGGAAGGGATGTCAATCCCGACGCTCCTCACGACGGTATTTGAGAAGAAACAGCACGATAAGAAAGCAAGGAGTACCACAGAGCGCTAAAGCACGCCCATCGGGTAATGCATCGTACGCACCACATTTTCTGCCGAAGAATCCGGCGCAGGGGCAGTGATGAAGTGTCGAACCCTGAGGAAGTACCGGATTTGGTCGTTGCGCTGACGAACGGCGGCGCCCCAAGCAGTCACCTCGGCCTTGGCGCAAGCAGCTGCCTTGAAGACAACCGTGTCCAGGAGCGTGAGGAGGGTGGTAAAGTCTGGCGCGTCAGAAGGGGCGCGTTCGGGCATGGCGATGGCGGAAGCAGCCATGTGCTGGAAAAGGACTCGTAAATAAGAACGGGCGGAAACGTAGAAAAGGAAGAGAGCGCGTGGAACTATACCTTGTCCAGGGCGGCATCTAAGACCTCAAGCGCCTTCAGAGTGTAGCTGAAAGTCTGACGAGTGCACGTAGAAAGAGTCTGCACGGGATGAGTGGCGACGTGAAGGGCACCCACGGCAACGGTCTTGACGTCTTGTGCCTGCGTGAAAGGGAGAGTCTAAGGGTAATACGGACATACATCCTAAAAGTCCGTTGGTTGTAGACTCAATTTCCAGTGTATTCCCGTTACTTTAGTGACAGGGTAAACATTCAGTAGATGCCCACCTACAATGCCAGCTTTGTTGCCTTTAACTAAACCCCGATGCACGCGGCGTCACAGCCCGTCAAAAGGTAACTGCGTGCCGGAGGCTGAGCGTCTACTGGGTTCTTAGTCAGTCATTGACTGTAGCACCGTACGCACCTTGGAGACTCCGTACTCCTTGACACTGGCGAGCGTGGAACGGCCGAAGGCCACTGTGTCGATCAAGATCTCCCGTGGCTGCTTGTGGGTCACGTCGGTGTAGACGGCTTCGAGATTGTCCAGCCCTCGGCAGGCAAGACGGTCGACGTACCTTAGCTGGGGACTGAACTTGTCCAGTACAGGCATACTTTTTTCCACGGCGTACTGGACTCCGATCTCGGCCAGTTGCAAGGGGACGGCGACGAAGGCGTAGCTCTGCTTTGCGCGATCGTAAGCCTGAGTCGCCACGCCGCGGAGGGTGGTCACAGCCGGTAGAGCGTTCAGGCGGGCCGCGAAGTTGACGCGAGTCGCCTGTGCGACTTCGGCCGGGGCCTTTCGCCTGGAGGAGGAAGCTTGAACTTCAGCACTCATCTTCTGAAAAGCAAACAAGCAATTGACAGTAAGGCTACAAAAATCTGAGCCGAGAGAATAAAAGAAAAGCTTGCACGACCCGCTAATGGTCGAGGTTACATCATACGGTATTATCAGAAGCTGTTGCGCTTTATACATCAGAGGCCAAACTTACCGATATTTGTCTCCGGTATACCCGTTGAGAACGGAAAACCGACTGACCTAGACTACCAGGAATCGACGCTCTTTATATAGATTTTAATTTGAAGGGATCTGACATCACCTACGGCTTCCGTTTGTCGATCAGGCGTTGTTCGTCGTAAAATAATACTGCAGCATCATGAAGGTGTGATTTTGAACGCGCCGCGCGCTTTCGGCTATCGCGTTCGCTGGAAGAAAGAAGATGCACGATAAGAGATTAACTTGCTGTTGTCAAAAGCATACGGCAGTTGTCTGAACGCGCAAGATACGGGATATGAGCGAGTGCAGCGCCGTCATTCCAGGACTGCTCATTTCAGTTCTGCGCCGCCATTTGACGCTACTTGCTCTTGAAAGAAGAGGTAATATGTGTTTGTTTATTTTGGGGTAAAGGGAAAGGGGGAAGCATACTTCCTTTCCTGGCGCCATTAGGACTTCGAGCTTTCTCCACTTGGGGCCCTAAACTGGTCAAACACAAAGTTGGAGCAGAATGTTCGCGGAGCGCGCTGATTGGACGTCGGCGAAAAAAGCGCGAAGTCATCGTCGTGATGGGTCAATCGGTGCGTTCCGCCAACTTCGCGGCGCAAACTTTGTGTTTGACGGGTTTAGGGGCCCTGATGTCTTCTTTGTGTGAAGATCGTTAAAGCACTGGATGGATCTTATAAACAAGTACTGCCAAGGTGATGCATGCTGGGACGCACTTGAGCTGAAAACGGCGGGGCGTCGCCATCGTTCTAGTTTGGCGCGGCGGCGCGCAATACGAGGGCAGCCTGCAAAAAGCGCGCGTGGCTCCTGGCTGGTGTCCGTGGTGAAGACAACCTTTAGCTTTGCAGGGAGGATGCACACCAGGGAATGGGTTATCGTGCAGGCGAAGCGAGTAGCTTTTGGCAGCCGCTCGCGTTAATCTTCCGGACTGTTGCTGATATACGAGGCATCCGAGATTATCGCCCTGTACAGATGAATTATGGAAGGAATCGTCGGGCAGCTAATTGGTTGTAGACGAATTGAAACGCAAGTGAAAAACTGGAAGAAGTTTACAAATCTTTGTAATGCGAAACTATAGAGCAGCTCTTGAAGAGGAGGAGTGAAGGCTACAGAAAGGAGGGTATGGCCCCCCCCTCCTCCTCTGTACCACCCCCATCTCCTCTCCCCTCCTCCTCCTCCTGCCGCTGAATTTGTTCATGGGTGACGTGACACGGAGTTATGACGTAATTTTGATGTTAACAGGGACCCCGGAACCGGGGAAGGGGGGGGGGGGGGGGGGGGAGGGGCAGCGGGGGCTTGAGCATTTGCTGTCATTTTCAAGGGGGTGCTCGGCAATATGCTGAGCCCTGTGCATTTGGCTCAAGGCCTCCCTCTCCCCCAGGGCCGAATTAAGGTACAGGCTAACATTTACACTAAAGGTCCTTTGGCGTAAAGGTCCTTTTAGGTGCCCGTCTGACAGGGGTATAAGGGGGCTGCAATGCTGTTCCCCGTAAATTTGAAAAAAAAGAAAAAGAAATGCCAGTCGGTTTTTGTTTAGAACAGCTCGGACCTAAAGGTGGGACTGGGCCTTGGCTTTCTGACGTCGTGCCAATCCCCACACCCCCACCTTTTTTTTTTTTTTTCGACGGGGAAGCGGTTTTGCTAGGCGAGCTGGTGTTTGTGAGCTCGTTGTAAAAAACTGCCAGAGCAACAAAATGTAAGTGTTGCCTCCCACCCTCCGGGCACTGACACATCGAAATCGTAATTTATTTTATTATCCGAAACGAATGAAAATGATGCCGGGACATTACCCTCAAAATTCGAAACTTGGGAATTCAGTATTTGTGAATTAAAAAAAACAATTTCCAAATGCCGAATTTGAAATTCCCGCGCTATCTGCGCCAGTGCAGTGAGTCAAATTTTGCGGTCTCCTGCTACTCGACTCCCTTTCGGACCTCCGCACCACGCTGTGAAGCAAAGCGCCGTTGCTACCGCGACCCGAAGAGAGGAGGAGGTGAGCAGGCGGGATAGAAGGGAGCCGGCGCGCAGAAAAACCGGTTTCTTTCCCGACTCGGCGATAAGCCTCTGCTCGAGCGCCGCCAAGTTTTCCGAGGGAGAACACAAATCCAGGAAGCGACATCACACCGAATTCTGATATTTGGTATTTCAAAAAGAAAAGCCGTAATGCGTTCGTCATTGCATTAAAAAAACATGTTTTACGATTGCCGTTATTAAATGTTATAGAAATGTCGCCTACAAAGCTTCTAAATTCCCTGATTTTTGACGTCACCGATCAGAAGAAGCAAGGAGGTGAGCGCGGGAAATATAAACGCCAAAAATGAAAAGGCGCGCGCGCGCGCGGGGAAATTTTTTTTCGCGATGCGGTTTTTTTTGCGTGTCTATGACTACAACTTGCATCGTTTTAGACAATAAAAAAGAATACGACCTTTGGGGTGTCAGTGCCCCTTTAAGGGGTGTCCAAACAGGACACTACAAAACGCACGACTCCGACAAATCGTGAAAATTGAAGCGGGCGCGAAGCGGGCGCGTCCGCTTCAATTTTCACGATTTGTCGGAGTCGTGCGTTTTGTAGTGTCCTGTTTGGACACCCCTTTATCGGAGGGACCAAAGCTGTCGACGTTGGCGGTCCCTTTGAGGTCTCTTCTAATTGAAACCAGAGCCGTATATGGGGAAGCCTCCCAAGTGAGCCAATCAGCACGCGGCGTAGAGCGAGAGGCATGAGCGCATGCGCGTGAACTCCCGGCTGCTCCCAGTCCCACCTGAGTGGGGAGGGCCGCCATCTTCGATCATTCTCCCGGTATATAAATCTCGATTATTGCCTTTTATATCGCTGGCTCTGGCAAGAAAATGACATTCTGTTATTCCTCGGTGGGTTAAGAAGCTAATAAATGAATATTTTTCGGCGTATGGCCACAAACTTTTATTCAGGCGAAAAAGAAGTCGGCCCGTAGCAGACGACGCGTAGCCTCAGCAGTGCTCTTCTCCGACCAGTCTCCGACAGCGTTGCTCAAATATGGCGGTCGTCTCCTCTCCGCTCCCTTCTTTCTCTCTCGCTCCTTCGGCGCTCTCCTCCCTTTCATTTACTTTTCTCCTCTCCGGCGCCTTCGTCGCCACACCCACTGTCTGATTGAAACCAGACGGAAGGACGGCCACGGAGCTCTCTACTGTACTGGGGCAGTGGGCACCCTCGACGTGTTGTATGGACTGTGATGTGTTGAAAGGCAATCAAGTGTTGCCGAAGGTTACACGAGCAACATACATGCTACACATTATTTTTTGTATATTTTTGGTCTTTTAACGTACTTCCATATGGAAAGTTTCCTCCGAAACGGCAAGTTTAAAACAAGCAAAAAGAAATATCGGTAAACCTCCCGAAGCATTCTTTACTAACCACTAACAGGCGTTTCAAGGAGCCGGCTCTTGAGATGTCCCCGTAAAGTTTTCGAGGCAGTGACTGCAAGCAATTGCTCTGGAGCCCATGTCTGATCTGCCAGTGCTAGACACCTTTTCTGCAATCGAGTGATACGATCGCTCCATTTTTTTTTTTTGCGAGCATCTGAGGTATGATTTTGTATTCTTAGCCTAGAGCAGGGGTGGCCAAGCTGCGGCTCTTTGCGTGTTAAAGGAGCTGTGCAACGATATTCAATTGGAATGTTTTTCTCTCTACACGAGCTTACTGGCACACCTGGGACTCAAGGATACTCACACGCAACGCCATGAACCAAGAAACTCCTTTGTTGCGGTGTAGTTTCAAGAACAAAAGCGATCATTTTCATTCATTCTCTCCTTTGCAAAATTTGATGACGTAACTCGGGGATCGCAGTACACCCAAGTGACGATATTTGAATGCGGTTCATAGATTGGACCCGAGCATTGCGTGGGCACTCGACTTGGGCTCGTGACAATTGCTAGCTCGAGAAGCATTCGGGTTGTGACCCGTGTCCAATCGCTGCAACGACGACAACAGCCGAACCATAACAATGTCTGGAACTCAGCGCGTGTCCTGCGCTTTGCCAACCCCAGCGCGTGGCTATGAACAACACTGGCGGCATATAATCGGCTCCAGATCACGTGGTCGCTTGTTCTGGCTGCGAGTTGAGGGGGTGAACGCTGCTCGTTTTTCTTTAATTTTTTTCTGGGACTTCTATTGCGTGGGGTGAAAAACGAACGCGTGTTTCATAGGTCATTAACGTTAGGGATCCGTTTTAAGCGGTATTTGTGCACAGTACAAAAATTGTTGCACAGCTCCTTTTTAAAGTGCAACTCGTGGCCCCCCCTCCCCCCCCCCCCCCCCTTTCCTCTCCCGCCTCCTTCCCGGTCACATGAGCACTTACCCAAGAAGAGAAAAGGAACAAGTTTTAAATTGAGACCGGTTGCGGTTTGGTCCTGTGCTACTGCTACCATACGTACGTATAGTTGGACTGCTTTTGACTTGTGTAGATCTAAAGTAGTTCCAGTTTCATTTATTGGTCTAAAAAAAGTTTTGACCACCCTCCCCCCTTTTTTTTCTGCTTTTACTCTTTCAGGCGGCCATGTAAGTTTAGCGGTTTTGTTTGCGGCTCTTAGGCCGGGTCAGTCTGGCCACCTATGGCTTAGAGTAATACGTCTAAATGGCTGCGAAGTTCTAAACTACTGAACCTAGAAAAAAAAAAAAAAGACCACTTCTAAAACTAATGGAAACATTTTACCCTAAAACAGAGCATGTAGGAGAGGAGTTTGAAAATACCTCCTTGATCTTCATAAGAGATGCCCGTGAACGTGCCCAAAAAGATAGAGTTTGCTATATTACAATCACATTTAGCCATAATTATTTCTTGTATTATTTGTATGCAGAAGTCTGTTAGTTCGGGACACGAGAGTTCAGTTATTAGAAGGGGGTGGACGAGGCGGTTTGAGCCCTAAATACTTTAACCACCAAGATTACTTCGTTGTATGTTTTGCTTTATTGTTTAAGTCCCCATATATAAGATATGAGTAAAGAAATGAATCGAAAAAAAAAAGTCAGTAATTAAAGGGGTCATGAGACAATATCGGGTTGGAATGTTGACGACTTTGAAGCGGCGTACTCGTCCTATAGTTTGTCCGGGGTCGCTGGGTGTTGAGGTCACGTAACGTCAATTTCCCCGCTAAATTTAGTGATAAACTTTCCCAGTTGAATTTAGCGGGGGAAATTTCCCGCTGAATTTAGCGGGGAAACGTCCCATAATGCAACGCGCGCGGTTACGAGGATGGCGACGGAGCCGGAAACGGGCGGAGCTGCGCTGTGAAACCCGAACCGTGAACCGAAAACCGGAAAAACCCGTTATTTTCGCGCAAACCGGAGTTGACCCGGAACGAAATAAATTTTCTCACTCCGGAGCGGAACCGATATGTTTTCCATGCGGTTTTCGGTTCATACGCGAAGGCAGGTTGCGTGAAAAGTGCGCGGTGAAAAACACAGTAACCCTAAAAGTGAACCAAAAAATGAAAGAAAAAAAAATATTTTTGCACAAACCGGAGTTGAGTTGGACCAAAACAAATATTTGGTCGTACCGCCGAGCTCACCCTGCGTCATTGGGGGGGATTCAGTTAAACCCCTCCCTCCCCTCCCCCCCCCCCCCCCCCCTTCCCGATAAAATCCTGGCTACGCCACTGACTGGAGGGCTCGCACATACACCGCCCTCTAGGCACTTGTTAGGTGGTCGACTATTGGAGGCGGAGTACACCCGAGTGATGACACAGGAGACAAAATCAATTCTGCACTTAGTGTCACCATATTCACGGACGGTTGGACGAACGTACGAGGCGGCGGCATCCTGAACATCGTTTTGGTCACCGCCAAAGTCCATCTTCTACAATTCGGTAGAGACGAGAGATCACAGGCACAGCATGTATCACACGAGAGACTTCGAAGGTTATAAAAAGTTTTGGAACAGAAACGGGTTTTTGCCCTGGTTACAGACAACGCAAACAGCATGAAGGCCGCATGAACGATCGTATGTCAACACTTCCCTTGCATCTCTACTTTGGGATTCTGTGTTCATGGAATAAGCTTGCTATTTTACAACTTGTTAAAGATGGTGACATTGCAGGAATTTCAAAAGTCCAAGTCTGTAATCAGGTACGTAAAAAACTATCACGTGGTTGCGGCCCACTTTGCGAGGAGGCAAGAAGAGTGCTATGCTAGAAATGAAACAACTCTCACCAGCTGAAACTCGCTGGGCGGGCAACTTGATGTCACTGGATTGTCTTTTAAAGAACAAAAAAGCTTAAAAAGAAACACGTTTTCAAACGAAATAAGAATAACGGTGTTAGACAAAGATTACTTTTGACAAGATGTGCAGAGCGAAAAGAAAATAGCAGCAGAAATCCTACGTGAGCGACGCAACTTTATTTGTTGCCTTACGCATCTGGTTTACCTTTCGATACAGATAACCTATAGTTCACAAACTTGCGCATTTTATCACCAGCGCTAGCGCCACATTCTCAATAATCTTCAGCTTTCTGTGATGTGCACGTAGTTAGTTCATTTATGCGAGCATGAAAACTGGGCTTTATTTTCTATCACGAACCCGGCATTTAGTAGGCTGCAATTAGTATTCCTCCACCTGCTTTCTCAACAAAACCTAATGAAAAGATGCATTGTAATTGCAATTTTTAGTTTCGACACAGCAATTACTTTCCATTCCGACGTTTGTTGCAAGAATTAGCTTAACAGGTTTCTCAATACATTAATAAACTGAATTCGTTTTTAGAGCGCAGCTCTTAGGCGCCCGTTTCCGGCTTGAGCGGCGTCGCCGTCGGCGTAACCAAGGTCACTACAAGGTCACGTGACCCCTCAGTACCTTCCCTCCTCCTCCTCAAGAGCTGCGCTCCAATTCGGCGTTACAGGAAGCTGTAAACGGCTTTCACTTTTAGAGCGCAGCTCTTAGGTGCTCGTTCCCGGCTTGAGCGGCGTCGGCGTCGCCGTCGGCGTAACCGCGCGTTGCATTATGGGTAAATTTCCCCGCTAAATCTAGCGGAAACATTTCCCCGCTAAATCTAGCGGGAAAATATCCCCGCTAAATCTAGCGGAAATATTTCCCCGCTAAATCTAGCGGAACAATTTCCCCGCTAAATCTAGCGGAAAAATTTCTCTGAGGGGTCACGTGACCCCCCGAGGTCACGTGACCCCCGTGGATACGTGACACCCCCAACGTCACGTGACCTTGGGGAGGGGGTCATGTGACCCCACCAAGGTCACGTGCCGCCCCCCCCCCCCCCCGCGAGGTCACGTGACCCCCCCCCCCCCCCCCCCCCCGAGAACACGTGAACCTCAGTACCCTTCCCTCCTCCTCCTTAAGAGCTGCGCTCTAATTCGGTATTACAGGGAGTTGTAAACGGCTTGTTCGTTTACAACTCTTTTTTTTTCTGTTTTCTTAAATAAAAAAACCCAGAAAAAGATTACAAGTTTTTTTTTCCCTAATTTTTTTGTGTTTTTTTCTTAACCTCGAGCTTCAGCATGCTTACCTCCCGCGCGTTTCATGCTTCGGATACGAGTGACAAAAACGGACGTTGCGCGGTGGTTACCATAGCAACTGCCACCAGCCTTGTGACGAGGACCTATACCGTGCCGTCACGTCACAACGTCTGTGGTGGTTGCTATGGAAACAGCCGCGCGGCGCCCGTTTTTGTTGCTCATAAGTTAGGGGCTTTATCAAAAGCTTCATTGAATACCAGCTGAACGTAGAGGAAAAGGAAGTTTTTCTATCTAAGATTCGACAGATGAAGAGGAAGATACCTCTACGGATAGCGTTGAGGAAAAGGAAATTTTTCATTAGATAGATAGATAGATAGATAGGTTGATACTCAACTACTTGTTGAGGACACAACCATCGAAGTGTCATGGATACCCGCCCACGCGGACATACAGGGCCATGAACAAGCTCACTCTAAGGCTCGCGCGCAGCTAGATATCCCCTGCGAGCCGAAGGGTGTGCAAAGTCACTTACAAGATCAGAGGTACTTGCTCGCGCCGGAGCTCGGTGAAGATGGCGATGAACCAGACTACGATCCCGAGGAGGCGAAGCAACTAGCCAAAAAAACCTCAGGGAGTCAATGCCGCCCTGAGGGCGGCATTGACTCCCTCTGTAGATCAGCTCCTGAGAGGGATGGGCACGGGAAACACGGTGCTGCTCCAGAGGATCGTAACAAACACAACATGCACACCGGCGCGCATGGCACGTTGGTCTACGCGACCCACAGCATCCCACTGCAATTTCTGCAACGACCCTGTCAGTCCTGTCGACCAGTACCACCTCCTTTGGGCTTGCCCAGAGTTGTAAGAGATCAGAGGGAAGCACGTACGACCAGATGTCACCAGCCTAGAGGAATGGACTCATCCTGAGGGTCCTCCCGACAAACGTCGAGTTGTCATGACCTCTGTTTTGAATTTTATTCACAAGGCGGGGCTCACCACCTATCTATCTATGAGTCCCCAAAACCGCCTTCCCCGGCCTTGATCCAAGCTCGTAAGCTACCGGTCCGATCCCCTCCCTTCCTTCCCTAAGGCCAATAAACGCTTTCTGAATTTAACTGAAAATTGATAGTCCAGCAGTGTGGTTCTTTGTTTCTCCTCTCATTCGCTTTCCCTATACGTTCAGCTGGTATTCAAGGAAGCATGTCAAACCAACCGGTTCAGCTCCAGGCCGTCACAATTTATCAAAATGTTTTCCTGGCTTGCACATGACGTCATCCAAAGAGCGCTCATATGGCCATCAGAGAAGAGGGGAGGAAGGAGCTCCCCGCTTACCAGTATCCTCTTCTGTGTCTCTCAGATTTGACCAGACGTCAATACCCTACTGAAAAAAAATATATGAATCTATATAAGAACTGATATGTAATATAAAAAAAGAACTGATAATATCTAAAACTGATATGCGACATATGACACTGATATGAAATATCCAAAAACTGATATGCTATATCAGTTCTGATAATGCGAACATGTCCAATAAACATATCAGAAATAAATTCATATAGTAATTTTTTCAATATACGACGTGCCGTGCGGGGAAGCAAACACGTGACTTGGAACCGCAGTGGAGCGGCTTGTTTTATTGGCTTTCAACTAATTATGCAATCAGCGTTAAATTTTTACTAAGAGACTCATCCCATGAGCCGCTCAAAATGCTCTCAGAGGTATGACATTGCTGAAAACAAATCAGCCTGCTGGAAATATTATGTATTGCTCAGGTGGTCACCGAAAAAAACCATAACTTCAAAACGACCAGCACAAAAGGCGGAAACGCAGAACTCAGAAGTAGTTATCAGGTGTCCTGTTGCACTCATGTTTCTTGTGGCGTGTATGTGTATGGCGCTAAATGTATATGTTCAGCTGATGCTAGTGGTATGCGTAATGTGTATAATAGGTGCCTGAAATGTAATGATGGCGTGAGCAAATAAAAGTATTTTTGTAGCATATGGATCGGGTGGTACCTAGCGTCACTAGCCTAGCTCAAACTTTTATGTGACATGTGAAACTGATATGTGAAATGTGTCCAATAAACATATCAGAAATAAATTCATATAATTCTTTTTTCAGTAGGGTATTCCCCTCCCAGAAGATGATAGAAGATTAACTTGTTACTCATAATTGATACTAAAGCCGCTTCCCTGTCTCTCCCTTTCATGGTGGCCAAAAGTACGCGATGTGACGTCAGTGCAAACGCTATCTAGCTGGAGGCGGGACAGCTGATAGACGTCCCTGCGTTCCCCTACTGGCAGTGATATATAGTCAGTCGATCAGTTCCCGCAAGGATTCTCCCAGCAGGTTACACGCGCGACGAGGCCTAAGTGCACCGCGTCGCCGGCAACAGGGCACTTCTCAGCAGAGTCCGATCTTTGTCCTCGTCTTCCTTGGAGCGTCGGTCCTCAATGAGCTGTCCAGCGTCCGGCACGAACTTGTCCATCACGGCCTCGGCGACGCACAACAGGAAGCGGCGGTCGTTGTCGCTCCGTATCGTGTGCACCCAGTACGTGAGCAGGCTATCCTCAAGTCTGGACAGCGTCTTCTCTTTGAGCACCTGCTTGAGAAGGAACTCGACCAGCGGGTACTTGAGGTGTTCCAGACCGACTTCACCCAGGGACTTGAGGATGCGAGTGATGCGCATCGAGTTGTGCAAGCTCCTGTCAAAGAAACGGAAAAATTAGCTTTAAGAACTCTCGGATCTTGCCCTATGGTTGGCATTGGTATACACTCTCGCTGCACCAATGATCGACGTAGGATGATATAGAACGCAAGGCGGGGTTTACTATGTTGTTCTTCGCGATTCGATATACAGTGTTCTTATCGGCTAATCATTCAATCTCATTGGTTGCGAAGCGAAAAATGGCGACGCCAGTGATTACTACCGGTGATCGATACATCGGCGTGCCCTGCGACGTAGCAACCGTCAGGGAAGAGCAGGCCTAACAAAACTGACGTCGATGGTGACTGCTCTGTCCTGCCTTCCGATATTCACTGGACTTTCTGCAAAAATTCGAAAAAACCGCATATGAAGCGCGCAACGAATTATGGGAACATTCTATATGTTCCTCGCGATATTTACCACGCGAAATTCAGTCTTGGACAAGATACTTGACAAATATATTTAAGGTGAGTTACAAAATACTAGCTTCAAAATGTATTTTAGATTTACTCAAGTTACTTTCACTGCAGAGTATCTTGAGTGGAGTACAAATACTTAAAAACGTAATTCAATTACTTTCGAAGATACTTCCACATTGCTTTAATTTGCATCGACTTCAGTAACACTCGAATCTGCAACAGAAGGAAACAACAAAATTGTAGTACTCTTCTCACAATAATAGACAACACCTTTCTGCTACATTGTCAAGGCTCCGTCCAGCATCCGTAGTATTCCAACTTTGTCAAAGCTCATGACGCCGCAGGGTGTGTTATCTGTCTCGAAACCGTTCTCGGCGATAAAAGAGCCCGCGCCTTACCAACGTGTACGCGCCCGCCGTTAACAAATGTTTGAACAATTTCTTTTCAGATCTCTTCTCGGCGTCAACTATTTAGTGCGTCACTAAGGTTAGCGTAGTTTCCACAGTACTCCAACTTTGTCAAAGCTAGCTGCGCGAGCGCGTTTGAGTGAGACGCAAGATAAAGCCAAGTAATTTCAAAGCAACGCAGGGCTGCAACCCTGTAGCCGTTACGCTGGCCTTGGCATCGTAGCACGCAATAGATGACGCCGAGTATAGTGCATGCTACAATATTATATTTTTCAGACAAATGAGCCAAACATCTGATGGATTTATAATTTGCACCTCCTTTATCCCCCGTTTTACTAAGCGCCGTAGTCGCTATATATGAAGTTTACATTAAAAAAAAAATTATATATTGTGGGATTTCCGCTTTGGGGGATACCACTTAGAAACACAGAAGGTTCCTTGGGTCCGGATAAAGACGTTTTTATTGACTGAAATGCCAACACGCTTCGCTCTTTGACATGAAAAGTCTTGGTGCTGACCCAATTGGCAGTATCACCCGGTTGGTTTCCCGCGCTGCCGCATTAGACAGATTCAAGGAAAGTCGGAGGCCCACAAAGAAAAACCGAGCCGCGTAGAGCCAGGGCCTCCTCCGACGAGAGCCCCTGCCCCCTGGCCCCCCCAAAAAATTGGCTTGCTCTTTATGTTTATACAGCCTTGATGGAGATGCGCCTCAACGGGTAATCGGTCTCTTAGCTGCAGATGAGAAATTTAGCCAGTGCGGTACAACCGCTAACCTGGGATTTTTAACGTCCATCACGCAGTAGTGATCACACGAACGCGTGCCGGTACGAAACTCATCCAGATCGAAACGGGCGGGGGCGGCGAGGATCGAACCCAGGAGGTTCCCAGCGCAAGCTTTCGCTCGACGCTCCGAGCTGAGACGCGTTGGCCCACTCGGCCACTTCCTCCCTTCCCCTGGCCCCCCTTCGGGGCCAGCTTATGTAGCCTCGAAGAATGGACGGGCCCGGGGAGGCCGCTAGCATTATAACTCTCAAGGGTGCGCCGGTGGCACATTCACCCAAAGTGGGCAAGGGAGCGCCGGCCCCTTCGGGGAATTCGGCCTCGGTTTCTTGTATCCGGTAGATCGACGCCATTGGTAACGACGACTCCCACGGCCTGCTCAAAGCTAGGCCTGGATAGGGATATAGGGAACCCCATGGTTCCCACAATATGCAAAAGAATGACAATAACAAGGAGTGTACACTTAGTCTGTAGGCATGGCACTTGCCGCGCCTTCTTCGAATAGGGTATCTCAAACGCTGCGTTTATGAATGACTAAACTTTAAAAAGTAAGGGCTCATGGCCCTTACTTTTTACATGGTGCCAAATATTTTGGTATCAGATTAACTACTAACCTTTCTTGGAAAACCCGCATTGAAACCATTTCTGCAGAAGCATCGAAGACTCTTGAATTCATCAGACGAAACTTACGAGAGGCCCCTCCACACGTTCGAAAAATTACTTAGGAAACGTGCATTAGACCTAAACTATAGTATGCAGCATCGATTTGGAACCCCAATCAATCACACCTTGTCCATACCTTAGAAACAGTGCAAAACCGGGCGACTTGTTTCATCTTATCATCATATGATTGTTTCACCAGTGTTTCTACGTTAAAAAATAAACTCGGTCTAACCCCTTTGCACTACCGAAGGAAACTCTCCCGACTCTGCCTCCTTCGCAAAATTTATTATCACTGCTCAAACCTCAAGGGCTCACTGCTTCCCCCCCTCCCCCCTCCCCCCTCCCCCTCCCCCCCCTCCCCCCCCCGAAAGAATATCATCTCGCCTCAATAACTCTTGTGCTATCAAACGAATTTTCGGTAAGACCAATGAATGAATCCTTCCTTCTTCTCCCCATTTCCGAATGGAACCAGTTGGCATAATTTATATGTTACCTACTGTTACCTACCTACTTTCTTAGTTACTTACTTAGTTACCTACCTACTTACTTACTCTACTGCGTTCCTAAGTGCTCTTCAAACGCATCTTATGTGAGTACTATTTTGCTGTTTTCTATTTTGTATAACGTTTACCACACTTTTTTGTATTATTCTCTATTCGTGCGTTTTTCTCTTGTTTTATGGTTTTAAACTGCCCCCTTTTATGTAATGCCCTAACTGTGCCTTTAAGGTGAAATAAATGAAATAAAATGAAAAGATACCAAAGGCAATGCTGTCTTTCTCACGCTTGTCGACTTCTTTTTTTCTTTTTTCCATACTAAGCTTTAACATGCCAGTTCAGAAAGTTTTACAACTTTGGGCGGACTCATGCATTTCGAGAGGGCGTCCTGCTCGTAGCTTATTCCCTGCCTTGTTGCACTCTTCAGCCTTATTAAAGGGTAGGAATATCACTGTTCTTGCCTTAACAAAAAAGAAAAAATATATATATATATATATATATATATATATATATATATCTTGCGTCTTTTTGGTGTTTTTTTCCTACTTCCTTCTCTTCGTGTTTTTGTTGGCATTTTGAGTCTTTGGTCCTGGCTTGTTTCCAGTTCAGTGTTCGGTCGTTTCCGCTTCAAATTTGCAATTGGTTTAATTTTGCGCGGGGGGTGTGCCGAATTTCTGTAAAATATTCCCGCTCAAATGTTTTTAAAGATTGAAAAATGCATTTGAGGTAATGAGTTAAAGTTATTGAAACATGTATTTAAGATAGAATAGCAAATACTCTCGATCAAACGCATTTGCAAGATATCAAATTACTACCGAAAGGAATTGAAGTACAGTATCTTGAGTAGAATATTTGAGATAGGCAAAAGTCTGCGACGTGATACTGGAGAGAGACAGGTAGAGAGAAAGAGAGAGAGTAGCGCTGTTGCTCGCCTGCTTACTTTTGCCCTCTCCCCTATGTATCTCCGGACACGCGTCATAGTTCCAGGGAACGCCACCCCACAGAGAGGAGCTGTTCCTGGCGCTGCGGCCCGTGCGCCGGTAAAAGGGTGAGCGTGGCTGGCGCGCTGCCGCCGCGTCAGGGAGGGGGTGGGAGGGGGAGGGGGGAGTAGGAAATTCCTGCTCCGTCTGCGCGGCACACCGCCTCGCTCCCTGCTGCCGCTGCGGCGCTTTCTGCTCCTTTCGGCGCCGAGGAACCTTGCGGCGCCTGAACTGCAACCTCGGCCGTAGCGAAACGTGGCCGTCCATGCCTGTACACCGCAGATGAACTCAGGGAGCGGACATTAACGCTTTCGTATTCACAACTTCAATTAAATGCTTAAATGTCTTTAAAAAAATTATGCGTAAGCATTAGAACGCTTGTTTTTACGAAAACCCGGCGGTGTCTTTCGTTCGTGGGCGCCGGGAAGAGAAAGAGAAGGAAGGGGAGAGGTGACGCGTGCTACGCACATCTGCGTTTGAACGCGGCGCGTTCCGTAGCTGCAAGCGAACGCGTTGCGTTGCGAAGAGCGCTTGCGCCAAGCTTGTACGCACAGTTGCGTTGACATGGGGTCAACCGCATTCAAGAGCCAATAAAACATATTATCGTCACTAGCGGCTCACCAATAGTGAGCGAAATTTACGGCAACATGGCAGCACCCAGCGACAGCGTCGAAGTGTTTGATCTTGGGACAATTCCGCTGGCTTCCCCGACATCCTGTTAAGCCTGAACCGTCGCAGCTTTGTAAAAAGCAGTCCCCACTGCTCCCCAAAACGAAAAAGCAAGTTCTGCGAGCGGAAAACCGGATAAGCCTCGCCGAGTGGCGCGAGTGACCCTCCTTTCCCCTCTCGGCTTCTGATTGGTCGAACGCGCCGCAACGCTTCGGAAAGTTGAGTGGGTCTCTACTCGCTTGCGTTGCGCTACTGAGCGTCGCGGGAAGGCGCGCGTCGTACCGCAAGCGACCTCTCCTGAATCCTGCCCGCAAGGACGCCGCAACGCACTCAAACTCGTTCAAACGCGAATGCCCGTACAAGCCTTCACGTGAGCACGCGTCAAGTTCTCCCTCTTTCCCCGGCGCCGACAAAGTGACAGACACCGCCGGGGTTTCGGCAAAACGAGCCCTTTCGTTTTCGGCAAAGTCACGCGCACAGCTGGCATGGAGTCAGAGAGGAGGGGGACCCGCGCAACACCTCCTGATAGCAAAGCCGCAGTGCTCTATGAGACGGCGTAATCAGAGAAGGCCGACGCTGGACG